AAACGCTTTATATATCAAAGAGCTATTGGGCACCTGCAAAAGAGATGAGGAAGAGAGAGCGAGAGAGAGAGAGAAGAAAATCCTCTTAACGTTAGGAGCTGCCTATACCCATCTTTTACCTATATATATACCGAGACCCCCGAAATAACCAAAGCCATTTGTGTGTGTATAAGGAGCGCAAGTAAAATCGTGATTTTCCTCCAACCTCTCGCTCTCTATCTCTCTGTCTCTCTCTCTCGCGAGGCTCTCGATGCGCCTTCGGCTACAGAACGTCACAACTACTGCCGCGACTGCTGCTGTTGCCGTTGCTGCTGCTGCCTCTCGAGTGGCGCTATTTTTCCTCGTAAACAAGCCATTCCCAGCAGCAACTTCAGAATAACAAAAAAAAAACAAGAAAAACGGAAAAATAGATAAAGGAAGAAAAAAATCCACGAGCGCTCTGCCGCTGCTCGGCGATGGCCACTTTTCATTGTGTATAATGTTTTATTTTCTTGCCGCGCAGAAAGAGAGAGAAAGAGAGAGCTCTGCGAGTCCATTGTGACGAGGCGTGAATCGAGCATCCAACCGAATGTTCGCCAAAGATTCTCGCGCGCTGCACACGACCCGCTGCCGTCTCGTTCATTGCGTATTCTTCCATACCTCCCTCTTCTTTCTTCTTTTTTTATCGCATAGGAGGCCTTAACCCAATGACAGATTTTGCCCATCGCTTTTATGCTAGCTTTTGTTTTCTTTCCGCGCGCGCGTTTTTGTTGTTACGATCGCAAGCGCGCGCGAAAACGCAGCTCCAAGCAATATCCAAAAGTGGTTTTCAGCGTTTTTTCCTCGTCGTCGCCTCGCGCGCGTGTGCCTGCCTGCCTGCCATGCCTCTATACCGGAGAAGGGATTTTTACGTACGCGTATAAAAAAAAATAAAAAGAAGAAAAGAACACGAGCTCACCTCTGCAACGCGCGTACACGTACGACGTAGATATTCAATTTGTTAGCGCGAGTATCAGTGCAAGGTTTATACACACTGCAGTGTGATTCACCCACGCGCGTATAACACATGTGAATAGTTACATCGAGGGAGAAGGAGAGAGATAGCCGTATAAGGACACGGGGCGCATTAAAAGGAGGTGAACTTTTGCCACATTCGCGCGGTAAAATTTACTTTTTACTTTCCGCGGAATCTTATGTCTTTTTAAGGAGGACTACTGCGTCCGCTGCAGAAAACGAACGCGAGCTGGGAAGCCTTTATAGCCTGTACTTCTTCTTGCTGAAGCTCCGACTCCTTCTCTCTTTTCCGTCTATTACTACTACTACTACTACTACTGCAGCAGACGTGGAAAAGAAGAAACGACGGCTAAATGCTGAATAATTGGACCTAATTGGAAAAGTTATTTAGTTTATGTAAAAAGAAGCTGGAATCCTTTTAATTATACCTTCGCACGGGGGGGGCTAACATTGAAAATTTTTCGACCTTTAATTATATCGCTTGGCATTGATTTAGTATGCAACGAGTTCGAGACCGCAGCTCATGTATATATCTGTCTGTGTGTGTGCGCGCACATACAGCGCCGAAAGTAATTACTCGTGTAATTCAGAAAATAAAAACTTTGCACGTTCCCTTGCCCGCCCTATCTTTGCCCGCGTCAGGACCCGGCAGTATTTGCAAATTGCAATTGTCTCTTTGAATTTACCTGCATATATAGTACGCGAGCGCCCGTGTTACCCAGCTGCAGCATTATTATGCGTATATATAGTACGGAGTAGCATAGCGTTAGTTATATATACACGTGCACAGGGACGAAAATGTGTGTACACAACGGCGCACGAGATAGAGAAGCTTCTCTACCTCCGCAGCCACCGCCACCACCGCCGCCGCCGCCGCTGCTTCAACTCGGGGGAGGAGGAGGAGGAGGCTAAACTCGGGCGCAAAATCAGGATAAATGACAATGTGCAGTACAGCAGTATCATCTCCGTGTAAATATACGCCCCAGTAGCAGGAAATATAGTTTCTGCCGTGTGCACATAACTGTGCAGCTCGCGCGCGCACACACACACGCGCGTGCATACTCTCGAGCTGTAGGTAATATCTGCCGCAGTGGTAGTGTGTTTCGTCGCCTAGACAAATCTTGGAGCTTACTTTGGAAGAGAAAGAGAGAGAGAGAAAAGCGAGAGAGCGAGTAAGGAAGAAATTTGCATAATTTTCAAAGGAAAAATTTCTTTGAATTAAGCTAGAAATTCCGCTTTGAATTTATAAGAAGACACACGCGTCTACTTACAAATGTACGAATGTACAAAACATATCCGCACGAAGGAGAAGAAGCAGCATAGCATTATATATTTGGCCAAACGCGGATAATGATGCACAGAAGAAACAGACTTTCGGCCCCGACGAAATTACCCTATCCTCTATCTCTCTCGGGCGCTTTTTCTGCCTTCCTCCTCCTCTTGCTCCCCCGCTCAACTGTCTGTTTGCCTGTCTCTATCTGTCTGCATAGTCTGGATGTTTCTCTCTCTTTCTCTCTCTTGACGCTGCGCATTACAATGACGTGGCGGGTGCCCGTATCAAGAACGAAGATTTAATATGCCACACGCGCGTTACACATTTTTGAAAAAAAAAAAAAAAAATTGCACGCGCGAAAGGAGAAAATCCTTGCAAGCGAGCTGCTGCTGCAGAGAGAGATGCACAAAATGAAAGAGTCGAAATGATAATGCCACCGCAGCAGCTCGTTGCCCGACCCGATCGTCGATTTATCTGCGGGAGAGAAACGAGGCACGGGATTCGAAGGAGGAGTAAAAGCATTGCATTACGTATATTTCTCGGGCTAGCTTATCGGAGTGTACGTAAGCAAGGCGCAGATCTGGATTCGCGTGCATCGATATAGATACACAGATGTATGAATGTATATATAGGATCGATATAGGATTGTTGTAATCTTGGTATAGCCGTGAATAGAGGAATATCTCTCTCTCTCTCTCGCCCGTTCCACAGACCATACCCGGAAGAGAAGGAGATATGCCACATATACGAAATTCTATAATATCTCTCTCGGCGCGTACAATATATATATCTTAATACAATCGATCCTCGTGCACACGCACAGACGCACAAACACAACACACCGATGCAAAAATCAGAGTTATGTAATATATAGGCCACATGCAGCAGCACCGCTACATGTATAATAATACACGTACGTATGCGTGTAAATATATACATGTGTGCCTTAGACATTTTTTCCCTCTTACATCCTACATATAGGTAGGGCTAGAGATTGTGTGCTGCATTCTAGACACGATTAAAATTTTTTTCCCTACACTTTCTGCTGCTGCTGTTGCTGCTGCTGCTCGGAATTTCGCGACACGTAGCAGTGGAAGCGGCAGCAGCAGCAGCAGCAGCAGCCAGAGCGCCAGCGCACAGCCAGCCAGCCAGCCAGCCAGCCCAGGATACAAACGTGAGCCGAGTTTCTCAGTAGGGGTGTGGATAAAGCGCAAGCACGAGCGAGCTAGAGCGAAGCGGAGCGGAGTAGCAGCAGCAGCAGCGGCAGCAGGCGGGGGCGGATATGACAAAAGACGAAAAGAAGGCCATAAATTCTTCCTTCCTGACTTTTCGACGTAAATGTAAAGATAGTAAACTTTTGCGAAGGATAGCTGCCTCAGCCTTGCAAGCTCGCACACACATACGTGCGCCGCCGTTGCTGCTGCTGCTGCTTCTGCACGTATTATAACACACGTACACGAAGCTCGTAGTAGCTGTGCTACACAGCCAGGGCCTGGGATCGAATGCGCTCAGCACGAGACACACGAGCCGTGCAGAGCAAGAGTATGCACGGGATGCGGATTTTATGCAGCGCGCCCGGCACATATATTTCCACGTATATATATCGTAATAACGTTTTGTTATTGTGTAGCTGCTGCTGCTGCTTCGGATTCTACCGCTGCCTTTTAAATCGTCGACGCGTTAAAGATTCGTCAGCTTGTTCGCGCGCGGAGGGGCCTTTTATATACTTGCGAGCGTATTTATACATTGCCATTTACGAGTGCGTGCGCAATTGCTACGCGCCGGCAAAATTTGAATTTTACGAGCGACGGCTCTCATCAACCGATAAAATTCGCGCACGAGCGCAAGCAGCAGCTCCCCAGCGAAGAATTAGTTTTCTTCCATTTTTCATATACTCGAAGCCAGCCAAGCCAGCCTCTCGCGCTCTCTCGAGCTTCTTCGATTTCAACGTCGCTCACGACTTTTTTCTTCTTTCGTTCGTTCGCTCGCTCGCTCGCTCCGTACCTACGCCGTACCTACAGCGCAGTTCGAGTTTTTATGCTAAAAGGTAAGTTTCTGGTTTCGTCGCGCGTATACCTATACTGCTATATACAGCGATACAAGCTCGAAGAACGACGTTGCGGCCTCGCGAGCGACAGGGAGAGTGAGAGAGAGAGCGAGAGCAAAAGCTAAGTGATGCGCGAGAAGTCTGCAGCTGCACGGGCCACAGCTACCGCTATAACTCTGTATACATATTACGATAGATATATATGTTTACGTAGGAAAAAAAATGAAAGAAACTTTTCACCGTCGTCGTCGTCTTACTTGGAGCTACCTAATAAAATGTACGTTGCTGCTGCTGCTGCTGCTGTCGTCGCATATCTATGTAATTATGGGCCCCGATACGCGACAACGTTTTCTCCGATAAAAACGTCAAATAACGATCGATTATGCAAGCAGAATAAGCGCGATAAGGCGACTCACGCGCGCTATTTCTCTCGACTCCTGCAGCTCTCCCGCACATACCTGCATTCCCTACGTGTTTATTTTTCTTCTTTTTTGCGAGCGAGCGAGCGCCATCGAAATTTCGCACGCATAAGCGCGCATATATTATATTGAAAAACGATTTGATACGTATTATAATATATCCCTGGGTGGTGGCGCGCGTCAGCCTCATCGAGCTCGCTCATGCGGCATGTATCGTCGATATCATATCTATAGGTATATAATCGCACGTGTATATATTCTTCCTTACCTTGGATTTCCTCGGAGTGCGGCGTGGTGCAGTGCATTGAAGCCATTGTTGTTGGTGAGAGTGATGTCAGCCGCATGATCCAGCAGCACAGCCAGCATGTCGTCGCGCTTCTTCGATATGGCGTCGTGTAGCGGCGTGTCACCTTCCGAATCCTGCGTTTGAAACGAAAATCGCATACACATGCACATTATTATTACTATTATTATTATTATATGCAAGATAATAATGATAACAATGATAATGATAACGACGACGAAGAAGACGATAATAATAATCGCCGAGAAAGGATGATAGTCGTCGTCGTCGTCGTCGTCGCGGGGGTGATTATTTTGCCAACGACAGCTCGAAGAGAGAGAGAGAGAGAGAGAGAGAGAGCCGCCCACCGTAATGTACGAGCTGCGGGCGAGATCAAGCGTAACAAATTTGTTTTGCACACCTTAACGTGCATCGTGAGCACCGCGCAAGTAAATCCAATAAATTAATTAACTTTTCGGGACTGCCGCTCGCCTGCTCGGAGCGCGAATTCGCTCGCGTTATATAGTACAGTATATACACACGCGTGACTGAGAGACAGATACAGGGAGAGAGAGAGAGAGAGAATCAAGCCGATAAATCCTGTAGTTTACTTGGAAAGTGAGAGCAGAGCTTGGTGGGAGCTTGGGTTTAGAATTGGTATAGAAGCAGTAGCATTCACATCATCCGCAGAGACAACGAGCTGCTGCTGCTGCTGCGACTATTGCAGCAGCAGCAGCCTGAACGAACTCAACGAACGAGCTTTCGGGCGCGCGCTCGCGTAACTTATCTATGCCAAACACACAAACACACAGCCACACGCACCTACACACACACACATACACACACAGCAGAGAGCGAGAGAAAGAGACAATGGAGAATTTCGGGATAAATTAAAGCGATAACCGACAGAGGCAGTATATAGTGGAGAGCGGTAGACTAGCCTCGAATTCTCTCTCTCACACACTCTCGCGAGTGCACATACCAAACTTATACACATATAGCAAACATTATTATCCAGTGCAAACTTTCTTGTTGCACGTATAGTATAGTATACAAAGATTCGCAACCCAATTTCCTCCATTATATATGTACAAACTCGTATACACACATACACATACGCCAACGGCCGGCAACGCGTTAGAACCATATAACAGGTAGCGTGTAGAGAAAAAGACGAGCGCGAGAAAAAAATGAAGCGGAATTAGACGCACAAGAGGCGACCAGATGCGTATAGTGCATTATATAAAGTCGAGGAGACTTTTTTAAGCAGGAGAATATTTCGAACTTTATTTTTCCCCGAGAAACAATGGGATTTTCAACGCGAGTGAGCGCGCGCGCGAGAGTAGCAAACTCTTTTTTGCCCTCTCAATCTAGATACTCTCGCGTCAGAATAAAAATAAAAGTGTGCATAGCTGCTTCACTATACAGCGAAGCGACTATATATTGGAGGAAGATACAACCGCAAAAAAAAACAACAACAACAACAACGAAGCAAGCTGAAAGTAAGCAGACGAAGAGATTGAAGATTAAAGTATTTGCAAAAACTCGCTGTTTGTGAGTGTGTGTGCGAGTATTTACGCGATACATGCTTCGCGAAAAAGGCAAAGCTATGTCCAACAAAAAGCAAAAGAAACGAGACGAAAGTTAAGCACGAAAAGAAGAGTCTTGGGGAAAGTTCGAAACACGATACAGTCGCTGAATTTTGAGTGATCGAATTGCTGGATTTTTTTCCTCCCTCCTGCAGAGCTGCCCCCTCCTCCCAACAGCAGCAGCGTCGGCAAGGTCGACGATATTCAACTCGTCTCACTATATCAGCTCGGAATATGCATATTCGCTTTAACTTCAGCACGAGGGCAAAGTTGGTCTTGTAATTTCTAATTACGCATGCAGGCGCACAGAGGGAGGGTGGGTGAGCGAAGTCATCGCTCGACGCGAGCGACGAGGACAAAAGTTACAATTTAGGACACATACGTCTCTTACAGGGCTCGGCGTTTGTGTGTGCGTTACAATCTCTCTCTCCCAACTATATCTCTCTCTCTCACTCGCTCTCTTCTCTCGAGCGCACAGCCGAAAATTAACATAGAGCAGTAAAGAAATATCCATATATCTTGCGCTCTAGGATGAACTAATAAATTGCAGCGCTGCCTGGATTGTAGCTACGCGCGTAGGCACGGTATAATGCAACGCAGCCTTAGCCATCAGAAGCTAGAGAAAAGCTTTAATAAGCATTTTATTCTCGCGCGTGCAAGGCAAAGTATAAATTATACTGCAAGCGGCCTGTGTTTTGTTTTGTATTGCTTCTCTCTCTCTCGTTCTCTCGTTTGGCGTTGCTTATACACGAGCTCGACTCAACTCAAAACAAAAGCATTGCAAGTTGTTGTGTGAGCAACGCGCGAGCGAGCTTGCAACGAGTAAAAAGCCCGTGAAATATTATCGCTCGCGCACGCACTTGTGTAGCGTAGCGAGTATGTGCGGTAGAGAAAATATATATGCACGGATCCTGCGGCTGCTGCTGCGTTATATCAATTATAGTAATATGTAATTTTCCATCGTTACGTTTAAATGATTGCGAAAGGCGCCTGCGCACTTATTATTCATAAAAAATAGATAAATTTAACGAGATAAATAAGAGAAAGAGAGCGCGACATCGCAGCGCTCTCGCTTCACGAAAATCCAAAGAGAAAATAAAGCCAAGTTTCGAAAAGCTTAGAACGCCGCGACGTAAAAAATGGGCTGCTTTAGGATTAAGAGGATTTACCCACAGAGAGCTAAAGAGAGAAAGGGGGGAGAGAGAGTGAGAGAGTGAGAAGGAAGCCGTTATCAGGCAAAATGCCACGGCAGAGAATATAGATAGCTCTGTGTCATCGCTGTGAGAAAGGAGAGCGAACGAGGTAGACAGAGAGAGAGGAAGAGGAAGAGAAAAATACAAGTAATATGCAGATTTTTAGCAATTCCTCTTCGACGAAAATAATATATTTATCAAAAGTCAGGAGGCGCTTGGGTATGCCTGCGCGTGTCTGCGCGTCTATATAAAAGCTGTGCGCGCGAGTGTAGGAGAGCGCCAAGTCGGTAAAAAAGGTAACTCGATTATAAGAGGTATTATTGGATAAGTAGTAAAGCGTGAAACTAGTCAGACGATAAGGACGATACGGCTCAGGGCCCACGCTTTCCTCGTTTTCTTCTTTGGGAAATCGATAATTCCGCTCCTCTAACTTTGATCGCGAATAGCAGATATACATCTGCTATTGCTCAAATTATCTCCGCCTTTAATCTTGATACTTTTCATGGTTTAGAGTGACTTTATTTCTGTTTCAAATCGTCTACAAATATCCGAGCGCTCGATCGTAATTTTCGGGCTTGCTCTACTTTATGGCTCAACGATTTGAGCTTTTATGAGAAAAAAGTTCGACAAAGGAAAGGCGGAAAAATCTCTCACCTGCAGACTGGGGTGGCAACCGAATTCGAGCAGGGCTCTCACGACCCCGGCGTGACCCTTGTTAACGGCTATGTGAAGTGCAGTTTGGCGTCTTTTATTTCGGGCGTTCAAGTCGGCTCCCGCTCCGGCGAGCATACATATTACAGCCGGCTCGTCTCCAAATGCGGCGTGATGAACGGCTCTGTCACCGTCCTTATCCTGCGAGAGAAATCACACAAACGATGTAGAATAACACATTACTCATCGACGAGGATGAAAAATAAGTTGCCGTTAATTTCATTATTATTTACTTCGATTTCGACGTCGGCTTTGTACAAGAGCAATATTTTAATAACGTCGAGATGGCCGTTTTGACTGGCTGCCTGGAGAGCCGTATGACCGGCAAATATTCCATTTACGTCAGCTTCGGGTCGTTTGAGGCATTCCTCGCATTTCGCTAGGTCGCCGTTCGCTGCGGTTTTAACCAATTCCTCGTTCACATCGCTAGATACGTGAGTCTCGAACAGTTTCTTCAAAAGAGCTGACAAACGTTCTGCATAATTAGATTTTAAGTTACCGAAATATTTGGAAATACTCGGCATGCATATGGCTTTTATTGAAAATTTTAAAAACGAACCTCCGCTGCCATTACCAGTCGTACCGGTATCTATACTAGCAACTTTTGTCACAGCCTGTGGATTGTAAGTCCAGGATGTGCTGCATACTTCGACTTTCAAATCGCCATCGTGATAGATTTGTTGGACTCGACCTATTTTCCCCAAAGTCTGAAAATTAAACAAAAAAGTATAAAGATATTGAGCAATAAACGAAAATTGAAAGAAATTATGACAAAAACATACTGGAGTCATAGCTTCTGCCCATTCTCCATGGCCTCTTTGGAGTAATTTTATTTTATCCAAGTCAGGGCAAATTTGAACTAAATCTCCAACAGTAAATGGTGGATCATGAACATTAGAAATTGAATTTATTGATGGTACAGACACAGGAACTTTAGTTAACACAGCTGGATTAAATGTCCAGCGGTTCCCACTTGGATAGGAAACAACTATATCATGATCTTCATCAATACCAACTACTGTACCAGTAGCGCTTAAACTTTCCATCATACCCTCTGTCCAACCACCATGTCCTTGTTGGAGCAAACTAACAACTTCATAGTCCAAACCAACATTGACCTAAAAAAATTATATTTTATAATTAATAATCCAAATATTAAGCCTAGTTAGTTTCAGTCTCTAATTTGTTCTACCTGATCACCAATTTGGAGACCATGAGGTCCTGATCGACCTGATCCTTGCTCTCCCAAAAGTGGTAAATGGTCTCTGTAGACATTATGACCCTTTGCATCGTTTACTACTTTCAAGTCAGCCTATAAATGAATAAATATGTCAATAATTTTAACATAACTGTTAATCAAAAAACTTTAAAATGAAGGCTTACCATTCCTTGATAGCCCACGCGATATAAATTTTTAGCACTATTATCCCAAATGACGTATGCAGCTGATCTTGGACTGGTGGCAGACCAATCCTGAATTTCATTAACTTTTCCTCTTCGACCATTCCCACCATCTTGATCTTCCCACTGCCAATCAACGCCTCTGACCACTCTGGCTCCGGGGAATATGCCACGAATGGTGATCTAAATATTAAATTAAATGAGCGTTGTGTAAATATAAAATTAATTAACAATAAACATGTGACAGTTCAAGTTCTACCTTCTTTGATTTTCTTCTAGGCTCTAGGAGTGCTCTTTCACTTCCAGGTGTTGTTATTCTATAAAACCTATGCCTCAAATGATGTTTATCTCCGTGATAACATATAGAACATAAATCATAATTGTTGCACTCTGCGCATTTAAATCTTATACCAAAAATTGGTGATTGTCTGCATGTATCACACATAGTTCCATCGTGTTTCACACCTGTTGGTGCTGAATCAAATATCCTCAAGTCAAAAGCACCCGAGCATCTATAATTAGCTGCAGTGCCATTGTCCCACACAACGACTACCTCTTCAGGTGATTCAAAATTTCGAACAGTGCCAACATGTCCCTCTCCACCATCCTAGAGAAATAAGATAAGAATGTCATTGACATCATTGTATCATATCTATGAAAATACTACTAGATTCTAGTTTCATCAGTACCAAAAATTACTGTATTCAAGCTGTCATCCAAGTAAACATGTTGAAACAGTTGAAAAACTTCGACACATAGAATATTGTAGTAAACATAACAATGAAAAAACAAAAAACTAACAAATACGTAATTTTACATAACCTGGTGCGCGAATGAATGCAATATGCAACTAACCTGTTTTCCCCATTTCCATTCAGGACCTCTAATAACTCGTGCACCAACACCTTCCATCATAAATCGTGTGGTCCTTGCACCAGCCGCGACTCCCGTCTCCATCCTGGCGATTTTTTCTGAATTGTAAGCCAAAACAAATCTAAATAATCATAATTTTCCTATGTACAAGTAGATGATCGAACGCACGAAAACAACAAAAACAATCAGCTCTCAAAACGTAGGTAAATCTGCCAAACTGCGGGGGAATACAAAACCGCCATCTGCTATATCGCAATTCTGCATTCTATCATAATGTCAGATAATGGTGTGGAGACTATCGGGGTGCAATTGCCAATGCTCGGTTGTTTAACTTGAAATTAAATATTTCAATTGTGAGTCAATCCGCAGCGAGTCATTTGCAGAAATCGCGTACGATATCGTGCACAATCAACATGATGTTATAGGCCGTTTTGGTTGGTTCTGCAATGGTCACTCATGCACTCGGTGCACCTGCTGCTGCAGTACACACAGCCATAGATCGTGGTGGTTGACTCTCGGCGCATTGAGATCGTTCGATTTTTCAAGCGATCGAAGCCAGCTCGAATTGCATCGTGATAACGACATGCGTTAAACAGCTCGAGTACTCGCTGACACTTGTTATACATTCAAATCGCCTCATCTATTTGTTTTTGATTTGCAGGTTTCTACTATGCCGAGCGACGTAGCGCGCACTCGCACCGATATCCAACGAGGTCCGATTGCTAGCGGCACATGTCTGCGACTGCTCGAGACCAGACAGCAACAGTGTCGCTTTTTCACGTGTGTTTACATCTGCTCCGAATTTTTATAACCTGTGAAGAGTGAAGTGAAAAAACAGTTAGCCGATTCAATTCTGTCAATATCAACTTGATTAGCTTGATAAGCTTAAATTTTACTGTTGTCATTGCTCAGTTCAATAATTATTAAACATGGCCCTTATGAGAGATAAGAATGCTAAGCTGTCCAAATCAATTTTGGAAATGAAGGTTTGTTGATTTTTTTTCTCATAGTTTGGGTATTCGTTACTTTATTATACGTAATGTTTATTAATTCACTTATATTGTAAAACCAGTTCATGAAAAGGACAAAGGAAAAAGTAGAACAGCAAACCTATCAAAAGGAAGGAGAAGATTTCTTTGCTAGTAATGCTGCAAAACTTGCAAAGTCAAAGTGAGTAGAACTGATGTAAGCTTTTTAAAATATAATTTCATGTGTCAATATTTGATAATTCTATAATTTTTCTCAATTGCAGAGGTGAATTCATCACTGCAAACAGTTATGTTCAATGTGAAGATTTAATCGAAGGTAGACTCAGTTTTCAAGGAGAAAATCCAGAATTAGAAAGAATGTTGGAATTAGAAGAATTGGCAAAGAGAGCACCTAAGGAAGAACCAGTTGATCAGAAAGATGTAACAGATGAACAAATGGCTCGCTTATATCAACAAGCAACAACAAAAATCAACGTGAAAACTACAACAATAAGAAAAATTGAACAAAGTACTCCAGACAGAAGTAAAGAACCAAGAAGAAAAAGGGCAAAGTTTATCAAGCCCAAAGAGGATGACTTTTAGGCAAATCATGTATTTTATTTCTTTTTGTAAATATTAATTATGTTAATGAACAATTGTTAGAGTTTAAATTTTGAATTTCATCTGCTATGTTACTATATTGCAAAGTTTTTTTGCAAACTTACTATCCTGTAAAATTTTTATATTGCAACGCTAATGCAATATCATAATGTATGAAAGCTTACATGGAGCTTGCAGTAAGTTGCTGAATATTTTTTGTCAAAAAAAAAAAANTTCATCTCCGCAACGCTGCAAAAAAAAAAAAAAAAAAAAAAGGAAATGAAAACATACTCGACCCTGAGTAAACACAATCTGTGTAATGGAAAAAAACTGTACAGAAACGCGTATAATATAGCTATTGAAGAAAAGAGCCTCAGTTTCCTAAACAGACGAGATAAAATAAATACATCGTTTTATCGCATACAAAGTGTCCTGCTTTAGATTTCCACCTAAATTCCTATCTGCAAAATAAGCAGGCGTGTGCACGTAATAATAATCGCTGTCGCATGAGCGAGCGAGTAGAGTAGTACAGATCGATCGATCGGCTACTCGCAGAGTAGGGTAACATCGATAATAATCTGAAAAGCCATGAAATCGCGTGCGCATCGTCGTCGATAATTACGATAATGCAAATCGCGTGCACATCGTCGTTGCACACACAGGGGCATATAACAATAAACGAGTAGAGCGCCGAGGCGCGCTGCAACAACGGAGAGCTCCTCCGCATTATTATATATCGATGCATGTGCGGTCGTGGACGCAGCTCGACACGAGTCGCCCCACATTTTGCGTGATATACAGGCGTGCACACACATAGTCGCCCCTGAAATCCAAAATGGCGCATATCTGTCACGATATATGTATATTCGCGCAGCAGTAGCAGCAGCAGCAATTCGCCGTCGAGGGCCTGTTAGCCTGCCTCATGCTCGCGAGCAGCACAGCGCAGGCAAAGCAAGCCAGGCCAGGCGCAGCGATATGGAATCCGACCCCCCACCCCGTGTGTGTGGCGTGCTGCTGCTACTGTTGCTGCTCGCTCGCCACGATCGTCAGACGAGTCGTTTTTCGTAGTGCCCGTCTCCGTCGTCTACGTCGTCGTTGTAGCCCCCTGACGCAGTTAATACGGGAGAGTAGACCCAAACGCAGTCGCAGAGGCAGGGCAAAAGAGTCGCTCGCGCGGCCCGAGAATCTGCGAGACAGAAAGAGAGAGAGAGAGAAAAAGCAGAGTTCGTGCTGTGTGCGTATAACGCCAAATGGCCAGTGTGCGAGAAACTAACGACGCGTAACACGCCTGCTGCTCTGCATTCGCACTCCCAAATATATACACACATGTATATCGCATAAACTACACAGTACAATATATAGATATAACAATAATACTCGCGCGAGATAAAAGTGAATGTGCCTATACATGTATTTGTGTCCCACATCTATACGTATATACGTTAACGACGGCGACGACGAAGACGACGCAAACCCGCGCTTACAAGCTACACGAGAGCGCGAGCAAAGAGGGAGAAAGTGTGCGTGCTTTTACGGAGTGAAATGTGATTCTCTTTTTTCGTTGATGTACAAAAAAGAATAATAAGGCTGTGTGTCGTGCTGAGTTTTACGTAACGGGAGAAACGCAAACGGAATCGAGAGAGGCATCGACGGCGGGTCACGATTTCGATTCTCTCTCTGTGTGCTGCTGTACAGCGACGCTCCGTCAACGTCGACGTTTTGACCTCGTGAGAGAGATCTCGACGTGCTCAGAGCCCACACATACACGCACGCGCCCAGGCACACATATAGCAGCAGCAGCAGCGCTATAACGAATATATACAACACACTCCTCGCGTCGAGAGCGCAGTCGTGTGTATATAGCTAAAGAGCGTCAAAGCCCAATTTATATATATAATAATATATATAAATATATACAACACACACACGCTCAGAGAGGCTCTCGTGCACGCGGCGCTACGAGAGTTGCAGTGCAGCAGCAGCGAAGGAGGAGAAGGCGGTGCAGCAGGAGGATCACTCGCGAGTGCAGCAGCAGCAGCGAGCTTCTGGCGCATCGTCGTCGACGCTCGTCGATTGTTTTTCTTCGCGAAGAAACAAACGAAAAAAAGTAAGTATCAAGTGTTGTTTTGTCTCGACCTGCGTTAACATACCATATACTCATCTTTCTCGTCGCGTTTTCATTTTTTTAATCAAAAACGCACGCTTCTCAAGGACGTTGGTTCGGATCGCGAATCGCGCGCATACATTGTGTTGTGTATAGATATACGAGGCGCGAGGCTTACAACATAGGCTCGACGATGGACGCGCTTATTGTCCACGGGCAGAGAGAAGAACAGCAATAGTGCATGCGTGCGCGTTTACACACACACGCACGCACACCTACGCACACATACATAACGAATCGCCCCTACTCACGCGCACCGTCGTGACTCGTGAGGAGTCGCCGTTGTCGTCGTCGTCGCGAATACATGTTACATTTAACGTATCGCACGCACGCCAACGAAGACGACGACAACGACGGCAGACGTTCTCTCGCTCGTTCTCTCTCTTTTTTTTATATGGCATGCACGCGCAAATAAGCGTGAAAAAAGAGTACATCGTCGTCGGAGTGCGACCAAGACGCACTTGTCAAGTTTCTTGAGTGTCGCGCGCGCGGCAGGACACCAAGGCCTGTGTAATACAATTACATACTACTTTGCAGCTGCCACTGCACTGCGCACGTATATTGGTGTTACAATACACGCATACAAGCACACATCTATAATATAATACGCGCGATATGTCGTTCGTTACTCGCGCGGGGCCCAGAATAACAGCAGCAGCAGCAGCAGCAGTCGGAGCTTGGCGCTTGTGGTCTTCGCGCGCCCGAGAGCGATCAATAAAGTTTCCAAGCCCACACATACATACATACATACACGCACGCACACAAACGGCGAGTTGAAGCGCGTCGTGTGCATGTGCCGTGTAGTCATCGTCGCGAAATATATGTATATCTATAGATATAAAGAGAGCCAGCCCGCAGAGAGTCGCGCGCGAGCGAGAGAGAGAAAAAAGGGCCGTGTTGCTGTGTGTGCGCCCTCGATTCGTGCGCGGCTCGCCCCCTCCCCTACTTTTTTCCTTCTCTGCGCACTGTACACGTTTGTTCGTCGTCGTCGTCGTCGTCGTCGTCGACATCGTGTACCGTCTCCGTCGTCGCATAGTCGTCGACTCCGAAGCGCCCGTGCGTATTATATTATATGCCTGTATATAGTTTGTATATGTGTACATATAAACGTTGACCGTTCGACGTAGCCTGCGCCATACAGCCGTCAGCGGCCCCTTTTTTTTTCTCTACACTCACTTTTGTATATACACACACACATATGTATACACGCTGTATCGCTGACAACGTATATAATGCTTGCGCGCGCGGAGCAAGACGCAGCACGGGGTCTGTTTTATATTGCTCGGTGCCCGTACCAGTGTATACAGAAAACGTATATAATACGGGGCACTAAAATTTCGCTCTCTCTCGTTCTCCCCCTCTTGGATGTTGTTTTTTTTTTGGGGCTGAAAGTTCTCTCGCTCTCTTATAGCTTGCCGATCGATTTGCTCCGAAGACCCGAAAGGAAAAAAACCTACGCACACACCGTTCGTGTATATTGTGTTTAAATATATATCGACACGTACGTACGTTTTGCACTTGCACTCGTTTTTATATCAATGATTGTTGTCGCGCTCATCGTCGTCGCCGCCGCCGTCGTCGTCGTCGTATAATAAATACATATAAGCCGCGGCATTGCACGCCAAACATGATCATTATTAACGACGTTATCGTTGTTTGTTTTTGAATCGCAGATTGGAGTGATCAATTTGCCGTACACCATGGGCACGAGTCAGCAGTTTTCCCTGAGATGGAACAATTATCTCAAACATATCACCTCGGCGTTCGACACGCTGAGGTGCGACGAGGATCTCGTCGATGTTACCCTCAGCTGCGAGGGCAAACGCATCAGGGCACACAAAATGCTTCTGTCGGCCTGCAGCACGTACTTCCGGGATCTGTTTAAGGTTTGTTATTTTAACCTTTTTTTATCGATTGAAACATCTGACCCTTTAATTTATTAAATTCGCTAATGTAATTGATTGATTTATCTTGAAGGAAAATCCTTGCCAGCATCCCGTTATTATATTTAGAAATGTCAAGTTTGATGACTTGGCTGCATTAGTTGATTTTATCTATCAGGGTGAAGTTAATGTAGTACAAGAACAGTTGGATAGTTTCATGACTACTGCAGAGCTACTAGCTGTACAAGGCCTTACAGATGGAACTAGAAGAGACGATAGCGTAGAGGTATGACTCTAAAATATGATACAATATGATAACAATTTTGTTAAATTTTAATAAACATTACTTATAAAAAATTAATCTATTTTGTAGGAGGAAGTAGAAATACCCAGTGAACCTGAAGTACAACTTAGGAATCCATCTGGTAAACTTATTACAAACAACAGAAGGCACAAATCTCCAGCTTCTCCACAAGAAACGCACAGATCTGAGGCTCCAGGACCTAAAAGAAGAAGGATTCGGGAGAATAACACACACACTGAAAAATCTACCAGGCACACAGTGACTTCACCTAAAGAATCAGATAATGGCAAAGTGGACCCAAAAGCAGGATCCGATCCGGTTGAAATTATTCCTATCATGCCAGGTCTAAAAATGGAAATACCTGAATATTTGGAACAAGATGGGGGTAGTAGTTGTAGTTATGAAGAACAAAGTGTAGAATGTCCTAGAATTGTGATGGAAGAGGAAGAAAATATAACTGATGGCGATAAACCAGATATAGGGCAACCTTTTTATCAAGCGGATACCTTAGATGTATCCAAATCATCAGATATAGGTAATCTTTCAAATAATTATTTCATGTCTAAAAATATTACTTTGAATGATTTTACTAAAATGACTTCTATTTTACTAGGATATTTACTTGCAAAACCTGGTACGAGTGCTGGAAACAGAACATCACATGATTCTCGTGACTCACATGGTAAGTTTTTTTCTAAAATATACAAGTTGTCGAAGGTTCCCAGAGGTCAATTATAACATACAATTACACATTTATGTAAATCAATGGTCTACTCAATGGACAAGAAATTGAAAATTATAATTTAAAAGTATGTTTTCAAAGAAAACAGTATTTAAGGGATAAATAAATTGATGAATTTTAATTGATTATAAATGACTTCTAGGATAATTCTTTTTTACTTTGAGTACATAGTTGCTGACTAACATCCGTTTTTGTCTTTCGACACAATATGACTCTATGATAGTACTTTGCTTTTATACTGTGCACTCAAAGTATACAAAACAGGCTATACAAAAGTTAATAATATTAATCTTTATGGCTTTCAAATCAAGCTTACACTAACCCTTGCACATGCTACTGAATCATTCAATACAGTCGAAATTACACAACAAATGAATAATTTTCATGAATCCAAGCCATAAAATGATTATTTATTATCTTTGCTTTTCTAATAGTCTTTTTCTATGAAGTATGGACTTTGTAAATCTTTTTATTACAATTCATGATTTACAAAAACAAAAAGTTATATTCTACTTTATTAGTAAAGGGGTAGTTAGCTAATGAAGCTCACACATTAAATTCAAATATATTGGCTCTGAAGCCTTTGCAGCTTTGCATTATCATACTTGCATACGGATGAATCTGGTACAATAAACTTGGGTGAAAATAGAAATGATGATAAAATAATTTGCTCACATTTATTGTCATTTCTATATTTTATATCTTCTCTAGGCTCTATAAACTGTTTTTATCATTTACCACATCTTGAAACCAAGCTTACACCTAAGTTCCATTTTATATTCTTACTAAAAACTCATTTATCAAATGTAATTTAATACATTTTCGAAAACATTATTTTCTTGATTAATAAGTTTTTACAAGGTTACAAAAAAAAATGCGGTGAATGGTATAAAAATTAGAAAATTATTCTTGACTATTGCAAACTCTTCTATTTTCCGTTGACTTTCAATGATTTAATTATTCCTCTATAGTATATTATACAGTATGCATGGAGTTCTGAATGTAAAATATTTGCTTTGTGACAATCAGGTGTAACTGGGATCTCTTTTGTAGTATTACTTTTTCTAGTAAACATTGCCAAGTGCTGTATGTGAGCCGACAATCACTAATGTTCCTTTGAATGATTAATCAGTTTTTACATTTTTATTTTATCTTTTTCACAAAACCACCGCTGTTTTTTAACATAATTTTTAACTCTTGATGAATAATTCGATTTGATACTTCTCTCTAATATTTTGTGGTAGACAAGTAGTAATTTTTAAAATAAATCACAGAATACATTTTTCGCAAACCATCTCGACATGCACAATGATAAATTATTATCGGAATAATTATTCAAAATTGTTTCTCAACTTAACTGTAACTTTCTTTCTGATGAAAAAACGAAATACTTTGTGATACGAACGAGATACTGCTTACTGCTCTAAAATTAAAATTGGGTGACGGTGGTACAGGTGATAAAGTGGCGTAGTATGCATTTCATTCTCAAGTGATCCTACGAAAATGCATCAGCTATTTTAGTACTTCAGTAAAACAATTTTTTCCTCTTACTGCGTAATTTTTTTGGTCCCGTTGGTTAGGTAGTTTAAGTAATCTCTAGGTAAGTATTATGATTTAGTTGACTTGTTAATTATCTGGCATGACTATTATCAGCTTTAAACAAACAAAAACAACGAAAAATTACTCAAAGTGTTTCAAAACCTTATGATTTTCTTTTATTAAGCCAAAAAAATCTGTCAATGGGTTTATGGTTAAATTTTTATTCAATACAAATTGTCAATTTTTTATTACTCTAATTATTATGTGTCATCGACGAATATGAAGTTTTATGTATCATGAGGTATCTTATCATTCACTAATGCTCACAAGTGCTGGAAAGTTTATTATTAAAAAAAATTTAACGAAGTATTTCGAAATCATCTAGTAACACTTGTGAGCATAAACAATTTTAAATAGATTTAATGATATGAAGCAAAAAACTTGCTTATAAGCTTATAACGGGTTTAATTATTAAAATAATTATTACAAATGTAATGAGACCCTTTGAATTAAAAAAAAAAAATTAAACGTGAAACCATAGGCAAGTTTTTTTAATTCTCAGACTAGCGAATAAACTACCAGTTAAGCCTATTGTAAAATTATTCATCCACGAGACCGTTGTTACCTCATGCTGTGCGACACAAATTGTGCGAATAAAAAAGACCAACACACGCTTGTAAACAAATGTACATATACATACGACGTATTTTGAATACGTAAATCTTTTTCAACGCGTTGATTTGTTCTACTTAACTGATATCGTACAAGCTCGGGAAGCTTTCAAATAAGACTGTATTACAGCACCTGGCAATGCTAAAGTTTTTATGGGTAATGGTGACTTTAATCATTCGTATAATCATTCATACTGCGTATCGAAAAAAATGAATTGTTGACTCTTGAATGAGAAATGTTCTTAACCATGTAGCTATGCGAAACCTTTCAAAAACTTGGCTTCTTCTGTACGGTCCTGTATGTATTTTCGTACGAAACTTCTCCATTTTTTATGTATATGATATTAATCAACTGGTGCTGGGTAAACATAAACGGTGTGGGGTAATTTTCTTCATACATTATTTAAAAGAAAAAACATGAATACTAACGATTGTTGCTGCATGACCAACATCATCTTCATCTTCATTGTGACTATCTTCAAAACAATTATATACCAATCAGATATAACTCAGTCTTTATGCTTTGCTCGGAGAAATCACGCGGATAATAAAAATCAAATAAAAATTGACTGAAAAATTTAGAGGAGAGAAAAAACAAAAATATAAAAAAACTTAAGAGGAACATAACTAACAGAAGATTATTTGTCCCATTTATTGTTGTTGTCATTGTTGTGTCATCATCGTGCTCATCATCACCATCATCACCACCACTACCACCACCACCACTGATCACCATCATCGTGTTGTCAACATCACCACCACATTTTGTCTCGATGAATGAACCGAACGAACGTCCGCAACGTAAACTGATCTCCCACTTTCTGTAAACGCCATCAGCCTCAGACAGTCCCGACACCCCAAAGATAATTTGGGCCGGAAAAGGCGCACCGCACGAGCTTAGCAAGGCCAACGGACACGGCAAAGTTTGCATTTATTGCAAGGCAGGTGGAATTCTCACCTCCAAAGGCAAGCTCAGACAGACGAGATTCAAGTGCTGGGATTGTAACGCTTGCTTGTGCCGATGGCCATGCTTCAGCGAGTACCACGAACAAAAAACCCTTCCCTATGTTCTACCGTTATAGCAAGAATACTCAATTTGCACCATCGCCGATGATACACTTGACTCGAATCTGAATCTCCGTTCGAGGATGAATCGTCCTGTTATTAAAGCCCTGACGGTGCTCGAAACAATATGATCTACGAAATTCAATCGTTTCCTTTTTTATGTATTTTTTTTTATTTTTATACGCATTTTGTACTATTTTGAAGTAACAACAATCAATCATGTGTTATTAATTTTTATACATTTATATACATTTTCAATTATTATCATTAATTTAGAATTAAATTTCATTTTATTATTAATTAAAAGTAACGAAAATTCATGTGCTTTAGTATCACTGAATCTTGAGCACAATTATAGTAGTGATTAAACTTTTTTTACTGTGCAAATCAATTATTCAGAAAATTGGCAAATGAAAATAGAATGAGTGAAATTTCCAAGATTCAAAACTGTATATAAAAATGTTAATTAAGGTGTTGTTTTCAATTCCTTTAATAATAATTGAATGTATAATTGTATATTTTATAAATATACATATATAAAAATTTAAATTATATATATGTATATTTTATAAATTGAAATTCATCTGGATCTAGTTTTATTTAAAAACAGTACTTATATTTTGAATAACTTCAATTATTGGTTGTCATTGAAACTGATGAATCAATAATTTAAATGATAGGATTAATTTAAAAAACTGTCTATAACTGTAAAAAGTATAAAAGTATGTAATACATTTATGTGTTAATCAAAAATGTACTCATGATGTACACATAGATGTATAATCTTTACGAAGACCTAAAACTTTTTACAAGTTAAAAGAAAAATTAATGGTTATAACGCTGTAAGGATTATTTGACTATAAAATACGTAAGGTAGATTTGATGAGCATTCTGTAGATAATAATTAAAAAAAAGATAAGAATGAATTTTTGTACCTGCGTAGATATATTAATTAAAATCATGAAAAACTAATATTATCAGGAAGGTGCATATAGGATTAAATTGAAATTATACAGACTGAGAATTATTGTTAACATAATGAATTTTGTCCATTAACATAAGATTGTACCTTAATATACCGTATCTGATTAATACTCATACTTTTTACATACCTAGAATTGTATATGGTGAGCTTCTGTTGAGGAGAATTAAAAATGTACAAAGAATCAATGACTATATAAGTAAACATGATATTACTTATGAAACATGTTTTTTGTATCTGTAATTAGTTGAAAAAAAATCTGTAATGTTTGCATCCATAATCTGTTGTGGGAATTTCTTGTTGGGGTTAATGGAGCTTTTCAAGCCTTTATTTGAATGTGTTCTATCGTCTTGTCAGGCTTTTTATCCTTTAGCTTCTGCTTTCACACACACAAACACACACGTCACTGATACAATCAAATATTCTTGTTCTATCATATATCATTAGTGTGTGCATCCATGAGGGTGTATATGTTAATGTTGAAAGACATTTTCTTTATGTAGAGTTTAGTATTTACAATAAAAGTAAATTCGAAAGAGAGAACGAGCGAGAGAGATTGTCAAAGACACATTAAGCATCATCGCGTGAAAAAATAATTAGATTAAAAAGTAAAAAAAAAGGTTTCAAAAAAGCAAAGAAATAAATTGAGGTGATGTGTTGTGTTTATATTTATAGAGCAGCCAGGATATCAGGCACCAAATCAGCAAGATTTTAGCGCGTATGTCGATGACGACGATAACGAGCAGGGCTCGGATTCCGATTTATTGTATCGCTGTCGAATATGTTGGAAGGCTTTCAAGCACCCGATATCCTTAACGCTACACAAGGATTTGCACACGGGTCAGACGAGGTGTCCCATTTGCCACCGCATCTTTAGTCGAAGTTACGATATGAAAGTTCATCTAATGCGTATACACAAGCGGCCCTCGTTGTCGAGCGAAGGCGGCGGCGGCAGCGGGGCCAAGCCTAGCACCACCACCACTTGCGCTCAGAACAGCAGCCAAAAAAAATGAAAGAAAAAAAAACAAAACAAAAAAATAGCTCGCGAGCAATGTGTGTAATTAAACGTTATATATTTTCTCCGCTTCTGAAGTGGAAATGAACAAGATTTGCGCTCTCAATTGCCTTATACCATGCACGCGGCAGAATGTGCGAAAGATCGGGAAACAGTTGAAATTACAGTATTCGTTACCTCCTTTTGCTAGTAATGTACAATAAAAAAAAAGTGACGATAAAGAAAACGTCGTGCCATACGAACTCACTGCATGGAAAGCTGCACTTAACTCTGAAACAAGTTTTTTTAATCATTTGTACGATTAATGAAAAAAAAACATGTACTATTACAGATGATTGATAATGCGACTTATTAATTAGTTTATTAAGATATAGTTGGGATGTCTGCATAGACGATAATACTTCATTTAATACGTCTATTTAAAAAAATCGGTTGTTTTATAGATACATGTACATTGTAATACACTACTATGTACAATTTTTTCTATGCAGGTCTCCATTCATGTTATTACAATCTTGTACTTCAATATTTGTTTGGAAAAAAGTTCCTAGTTGCTTACAAATCAAAGCTTTGATACAATTTTTTGAATTCGGTATGCGCGTTTTATACAATTATTTACACCCTTGATGTTCAACGTTAAATGATAGTTTGATGATAAAATCACTGGTAACATATTACTAATGTAAATCTGACATTCCTGTTAAATTATTATTTTTAGAAAACATGATAGTTTTTCAGCTTAAAATAGTGAGAAAATTCGATTTATATGTATTTTAGTTTACTTAAAATTGTTGATTACGTTAAAATACTCATTGAATTCTTCGAGAGTAAAAGATTTTTTTAATTTACTTAAAAGGGTTGATAATGAACTTTGCTTGTAAATGATATGTGCGTTCTTTATTATGGATTCTTATCTTCAATTAAAAATATTGTTTAATTTTTTATAATAACACGTAAGACCCGTGATAGTTACATATTCGCTAAGTAATAAGATGTTTTGTAATGTGATACATAAAAATCATCGATATGCTTGTTTCAATGGCATGCCTTAATAAATCATACGAAGTTTATGATTGGCCACACACACACACACATACTTGTGTACTTGGTGAATTGCGTGTACGTGTCCTGAAAGAAATCCCTTGTCCGATTCGACGAGCGCACGAAATGTTTTTTTATTTTTTCTTAAATCAATCAATGAATTTCTTTCAGTGCACTTGGGTACGCGCGTTCAAAATGTTCAATTTATAGTGCGACTTAGAAAACTATCTTAAAAAATCCGTTGAATAAAGTTAAAGTTAATATAAAGTTTTAATGTGCGCAGTGTAGACACTGGCGATAATTATACATTTAATTTTTGTAATAAAAAAACATTTATAAATGGAAAAAAGAATTAATTTTTTCACATTGTTTTTTGTTACCAGTCTTTTGAAAAGCGATTAAATTCTTTTTATTTCGACTATATTGGCATGATGTGTACATTTCATTGGATAAGTCAACTTTTAACTATCGTTTGGATATATTAACCCATTTCTTCATACCGTTTTTTTAGAATCTAATTTCTCCTATTCAATTTTTAAGGGTGTAGGGTTTTTTGTCGATTATAAATTCATGCTTTTGATCTTAACACACAGAATTATAGAATTGACAAAATTAATAGACTGTGTACTATATAATAATACTCGATGGCGCTTCCCTACATACTGTTGGTAGTAGATTCCTCCGATTGATCTGCCTTTACATAATAAGCTAGCTATACTACCCTTGAACTACAAAAAATAGTGTGATTAAATAATGGAGGTGTGAAGCAAAAAATTTTCAAAAAAAACTTGACCGGTGTGTGTGTCTTTGGTGCGCAGAAACAGTTGAAACTCCATTTCATGTGGATGTCCCCATGCACGATGTCGTTGATCCGCTACAGGACGACTTGATGCAGAGTTTCGATGAACCACAACCACATCAACCGCTACAGGAACAACAACTACAGCCACTTCCACAGCTGGAAATGGAACAGCGACAGCCACCAAATCCATCAGACGCGCCAGTAGTAGCAGTAGCACCAAGCGTTGCGGCCCCTACATCTCGTTGCTGGCCGAACAGTATTAATCCCAAGCGAAATTCTAGCAATCAGGAAAAAGGACGTTGGGTCTGCGACGTCTGCGGCAAAGTCTATGCTCGCGGCGACTCGCTGGCGCATCATCGTAGCATACATCGCGGCGACACCGTCTGTCCCGTCTGTCAAGTTGTCTTCACGAGAAAGTACACGATGCGATGTCACATGGCCAATGTGCACGGCATGCAGCTGCCGACGTAAATTACATCGAGGCGAAGCAAAAAATAATATTATCAAAGTCGCCTATCGAGCATAAGCTTTAGTCATTAGACAAACTGGTGAACGCGCATAAATATTAACACACGAGACACGATGCTGAGTTTCGTGATGATGAACGATATACGCTCGTTTATGCCACTCTCTCGCAACTGTTGTTACTACCAACTCTATAAGACTTGGCGCGCTGTGCGCGTATTTTGTAATGAGCGCCGATCGACACTCTTTCGATTTGCAACATTTTTTTTTCATTTTCAAAACAACAAATTTAGGTACCCAACACACGATTATATTGCTTTAAGGACGAATTCAAGTTTCCGGATGATTTCAACAGTATTTTTTTAGGTTGTTAGCTTTTTGATTATGTTTAAGAAAGAATTAGAAACTTACACAACGAACCCTTTGTACATTACACTTTTACGACACAACAACACTTTTTTTTATTCAAAATCATCATTTTTGTACTTTATACATCGATTAATGAACTGACTGAACTGTCGAGTAATGAATCCATCGAACTAGATAGTGTTTAAACGAATTCATTTGAAACGACTTGCCAATACCGATATCCAGATTATGAAATCAATTCGTACCGAGTACCTTGGCAATTCGATTTTTTTTAGCGACTCGTTTTTTTTTTCTTATTTCATAAGGTGCGCTTCTGATGTAAATTAATTATTTTTGACGTTTGTATAGACTAAAAGACTTATACATAATGTGATACTTATCAGATCTAGAATATTTGTCATATTCTGTCATTTCATTCGACTGATATAATTATTAACAATAATTGTAATTTTTTATAAAATATAGTTGTATTTACTTATTTAAAGAAGAATATTGTTTCATCTACTTGCTAAAATTTAACTTCATCAAAAGCCATAATTTTTTGGCCCAACGTTATAAAAACATTTGATATATTGTTTATTGCAGCTCTATTGATTTAGTTCATGTTTAGCTCCGAGTAGTCGTATGACATTATTGGTTTACTGTACTTTCAAATCGATTTTTCTATGTGATAATCACTTATCGATTAGTAATTTGTTAGTTATTTGTTGATAAACATATAGATATTACATACATTGAATGTTCAACAATATTCATACCTAATTTTTTCAATAAAATTATAACTGATCATAGTACTTATGGTTATTGCAATTTATTTATTTATTTTAGGTATTTTGAGTAGTCGTGAATGTCTAGGTGGGTTTTCTCAATAAGAAATTAAAATAAATTTTGCCAATACAATTATTGTGTCGTCGTATTAAAAGTGATTGTCGGACACCCGCAGACTTGTCAACATTACCACTCAGATTTCATTTCCCATTCCCCCGTCATTTTCAACGAAACCATTGCTAGATTTATTACAATTCGTTGTAAAATGTTGAGTTCATTTAATGCTTATTCGAATTTTATTTTTCGTGAGCAGAAAAATTGCCATCCATCCGGCAATCGTAATTGTGCATGATAATATGATATTTTTACTGCCTTTATCACGTGTACATGATATTTGCTTCATATTATTTAACAAAGTCAAGCCTGCAAGCAGCAAAGTGGTGAAATTTCAATCAAGTTTTATTAATATTTTTCATTTCATTATTTTGCTACATTTATGTGTTTACAGATTTATTATGTATCATATTCATACGCCTAATAATTGTTTAATTTAGAACATTTAGCATGGTGTAATATTCATTTTAATTCACAGTAAATCAGAGTGAGTGTTTTTTTGTTTCTTACTAAGATTATATACATTGTATCGTTGCTGTGCATTTTCATCAATTGTTTTATTTGCTGTAAGTGTTATTGTGAGTATATCAATTACTAATTTTTATTTTTTATTAATTTTTTTTTCATTCAAACTCAATTTTCTCATTAAACCATTGAATTTTGCGAAATATATTTAATCATAAAATTGGATGATCAACCCAAAAGTTTGAAAGGAATAAAAGAAATATTATGTGATGCGACGTTGCAAAGTGATTTGAAAGAATAAAATCTACCAAACTTTTTTTGTGTGTGCTAAGCAAACAAACAAACAAACAACAAAATTGCAAAAAAAAAATCATCAATCTAATGATAGTCCAAAAAATATAATTTGCTTATTCAGATCGTTCACTGGTCATCGAGCAACCGTCACACTCGTGCAAACTCTGCGGTAAATCGTTTTGGAATCGCGATTCCATGTACAAGCACATGAACATGCACAAGGGAACGACCCAGTGTCCGGTCTGCCAGAAAGTGCTCAGTCGCACGACGCACATGAAGCGTCACTTGAGAAATCGGCACGGCTGGGTCGGCTCGAGCTCAGATCCAATCGCACCGCAGACCGCCGCCGCCTTGGCCGCAGCAGCAGCAGCTGCAGCAACCGCCGGTGCTGGTGGTGGAGCTACCAACGCCACGACGACCATCGCCAACGCTACATCGGCTACGTTGGCGACGACAACGACACCGGCTGGAGGAGCAGCGGCATCGACGACGACGAGTGCCAATCGCACGACGACGACGGCGACGAGTAACGCAGCCACCCCCTCGAGAAGCAGCAGCAGCGCCACCGGAGGCAACGGAGTCGAGACGTCGGCTGGGCCCGGATTCACCACTATACGCATAAGAGAGAGTAGCGTCGAGAGAATAACTTCTAGTCCCATTCCTTAGTGACGAAGATCGTCCGCAGGTGGTAAAAGACGAAGACGATGAATAATGCGTTTATCGATTTTGCCGGCGAATTATCATCATCATTATTTATTGTGAAACAAAGAAAATAAAACGTCGTTGCATGTGCAGCGTAGATCGATATTTATTATGTTGCCTATTGTGCTCCACGAGCTGCGATAGTCGAAATTCAATTTACTAATTACCATGCGTCAACTATACCTAGTCATTTGTAATAAGGATGAGGAATTCTTTGATATATATACAACAAAAAATTATATATATACACACATTATTATATTATGACTATAGATTATATCGGTTTGAGTGTGCGCTTGCAAAGAAAATCCTATACAAAAACAAAAAAATTATAAATGTATTATAAATCGTGATGAAAGTATATATTATATTATATACACGTCGCAAGGATCAGCTGTTTTTGCATGGATATAGCATGCTGTGTAAACGTTGAACTCGCGCCATACGATGTGTATCTCTGTGTATATGTGTTATACTTGTGTGTGGGTGAGTCAAATGCACACAACACGTGCGATTTTGCGATCGTTTGCAATTCGGAATGCGCCGCGGCGGTCCGCGCGTGCCGGAGCCATTTAACATATGGAGAACATTTGAATTTTCAACCTCTTTTCGTTTGACCTTTGATTCAGTGTGAAATGACATATAATATGTGTATTATATTTCTGAAAACACCCCCGTAATAGCATTTTACCAAGACAACATTGTCACACAGGCGCTATAACAAAATGTCTATAATATATTTTTAACCAAAGAGTTTAGACAAAAAAAAGTAATGCGATTGTGAGGATGACAAATGATTTCTTTCTTCTTCTTTTGTTTCAATCTAGTCAAGGAGAATTTTTGTCAGTACTTATAGAAAATGAATTTAATCAGAGACAAAACGAGAAAGTGGAAAAGTTGCGCGCGAGAAAGAGAGGAATGTGCATCTTCTATTCCATTGACTTTTAACGAAATGTATAGCGAGTTACATTATTATCTAGAGACAACGTGAATTTTCATCCCGTTTGTGTATGGATGTTGAATTTTCATTGTGTATATCGTCGATAAAAAAAACCGTTTTTTGATTAAGTAGATTATAATATAAATGACAAATTTCACCTGCTAATTGATTTAAAAAATTTACCATTCACCACTCATGAATCACCTTTTTGTATCGTAGTTGATACAAATTATTACGTAATGTCTTAATGAGTGTGTTTGAAAACGATGCCATAACTAGTCTTAGAGAAAGATTATTTTTTCAATGATCTCTGAAAAGCTGATGTAGAAAAATTTTTCTCTGTGCTCATTATCATTTACATTTACTTTTTAAGCTACACATTAACCTCATATCTTTGTTAAAATCTTCAAAAAAAGTAAATAAATTTCTAATTGTTACATTTATGAATGTAAAAAAAATCTCTTCGTAACTCTCGGACTCATTCGTAATTTAATTGTTTAATAATTCAATTCTTATAAATGGGTGTAATAGCTTAAAAACTGTTGTTTCTAAAATAATGGTCATTATTTTTTAGGACATATAGTACAATGAATAAGCGCTAAGTACCAAATATCGGCGGTTTCTTTCATCGTAATAAATTTTAAAAATTTATGTTGTTTAACTTAATAGTTAAGTTTAATAATTGTAGTGCAATGTCATATGTTTTACAGCTTATTTATTTAACTTATTTATAGCTTTAAACATTATTATTTCGCGTAAGTTCACTCACTGGTGTTCATTGATAACGTGACCAAAGTCTTGTTTAACTTGAAAAAAAACGATCGCGAATTAATTTCAACGTCGTCAAACAAGTGTCATCTGCTTGCTCCAATTTTACCAAAAAAAAAACACAAACATTGTGAAATCCAAAAATAAGATTAAGCGATTATTCACAGGATTAACGTAAATAACCACGAATATGCACATTCCTCGTTATTCAGTTTAAATGTAAAATTAAGTACAAGAATGCCAATTTTGATTTTACTATAAGTGATGATGTAGTAAAATAGTTACATTATAGTTTTTAATTATTAAAAGATACACACTCGCACAATGGGAGTATGAAAAACAAATTTAATGAAGCTATGATTTACAAGTATTTATGTTAAACTTACTAAAATATGTAAGTAAAAAAAAAATATATGTGTGAATAAAGTTTAAAAATATCTATGCACAAAATTTGTCATACTATTTTTACCTTCATTATAATACATTTTATACTGTTACAATAGAGAATTAATGGTGCATTCACTCATTTCAAATTATCATAACAAGGGCCATTTGAAACTTTTGTGTAGACCAAAATGAAACTACGCTTAGCAAAGTATATTGCAATAAGCAATGAATCACGTATAGTAGACAAAAACAAATCAAAATGTGTAACATACATGAATCTAAAATTTACTATCATCACCATCATTATAAGTAGATGCATTATATCGAATTTTTATTTCAAACGACTTTTATTTATGAATATTTATTACATAGTGCGTGTGCTATCGAGCAATTTTCCCATGCATGCATTGCCTATATCGTATAATTTTTATTATACGTTCACATATTTTTTTTTCATAACCGACACACTTGTACGATAATAATTTCAAATTAATTTTATCTGCACATTATTTTATTGACGAGTACAATTATTACATAATATAAAATACGCTGCGTGTATGTTGGAATTGGCTTGAATGGCAATGCACTACATATTTTGTAAAAGCACACCGGTCATAAGAAACAATTTTTTTTTTCTCAAGCGGTATGATAATGCGTGGGGCTGTTATGACCTATATTGAAAAAAATCACAACCCCAGTAAGCAATGATGATCGAAACGACGGTGGCGAGCAATCGAACAAAAAACCTCGATCGCATTGTGCATAGCTGCAGAAAGAGAGAGAGAGATCCGTGTCCGATGTTAAAGATGAGTGTTGTTTACAGGCAGGGGGGTTGTAGGCCGATCGAAGCGAAAGACCCTAATAAGCGATCAGTCATCGTCGACGAGTGCATCGGCGGCCGCATCCTCCACGGCTAGCAGTGCAGGCGCAGCAGCAGCACCAGCGCCAACAGCGTCGGCTTCCTCGTCCACCCCCGCAGCCGCGGCAAAAGAAGACAACAAAGCCTCCAGCGCAGCAACGGCAGCAGCAACTACCGATTCCGAGCCAGTGGCGCAGGTGGTCATGCAGGCGCCGGGCCGATTCTCGTGCAGCCTCTGCGGCAGCGTTTACAAGCACTTGGCGTCGCTCACGCAGCACCTCGAGGTCCATCGCAATCAGACGACCTGCGTGCTCTGCCACACGACCCTCAGCCGCAAGACCGACCTGCGCAGGCACATGAGGCTCAAGCACAATTTGCAATGGCAGAAGTCGCTGCAGAGGCATCGAGCGCCCAGGAGGCAGTCGAGTACTTAAAAAACTTTCACTCGTCCTAACTCACGATACACATTTATCCGTAGATTAGATAGTAAAAAGAATAATTAATAAAAAAAAATTAATTGAATCTTATTTGTGTGCATAGTAGTTGATCTATAATGAGTCACTTGTCAAATTTTATGCGCCTCTCGCATCGAGTCAAGTCGACGATCTCGAAGAACCTGCAGCCGTTCAAATAAAAGAAAAATATTTAAAAAGATATAGCTATTTTCGGAGAGTAAAAAAAGAAAATTACGTCCACTAGCGTGACGGATTGGATTCTTTGTAAAATCTCGTAAATATCGTAAGATGATGTTCTTGTACAGATACACATAGATTTAGATGGTAAATTATAAAAAAAATCTCGTTTAAAAGAGACAAAATTATATCTATAAATAATTTTAAGATATTTATCGAGTTGAACGTTATATTATATATATATAGCACGTGCACATATATTATATATAATTAATAACAGCCTGAATAATTTTTCATGCTTAAAAAATGAATCAACAGAGCATTTAAATCGAAAAAAAAGAAATATATTACATGTAAAAAAATTAATATATTGTAAATGTATCAAATTGTTAAGTACAACAACAAAAAAATATAGAGTAACGATGTTGATGAAGAACAATGTTATTTTTATTGATAAAAAATTGCTTCTTTTCGAAAAACGAAAAAAAAAGAGAAAACATACAATTATCATTGGGAGATATCGATATCAGAGTACATAAAAAGCATTTTTGGAAGTCCTTATCGAATGGTTTACTAAAAGCCTCGATTGTGATATTTGTTTTGACATTCATTATGTTATCGCGCAGGATCTTGGAAATTATTTAAATAATATATTGAAAAATGCATTTGAAAATTTTTATGAGTACTCTGGCTTCAAAATCCCTCTATGAAATTGCTTATAAATTATTAAAAGAAAAAAAAATATTTAGAATAGGAAAGTGGCTAGTCATTTTTTAGTACAAATTACAATATGTTCCAGAATAGAATAAGAATACTTGTCGTAAGTTTAGTTGCCTGATAGATGTAAGCAAAAGCTATGCAACTTAAAACGGTAAAAAAGTATCTGATACGAATAATATTAAAAATCATTAATCGATTTCATTTCAAAATTGCATTTTGATTGTTTTGAATATAAATGTAATATATACATAGAAATTAAAAATGTACCTTCATGGCTAGTGTATTTTTTCACCAATAATTTAATTACATATAATTTATGATATAAATAAAATGTATTAAATGGAAATAAACTAATATACAATTCATCATGAAATTCTGAAACTTTCCACATTGCTAATTGAACTTGAGTATCTACCGCACTTGGCTTTAAACATTTTTTATATTTTTAAAAAATATTAAAATCAAAAATAAAATTTTATTTTTCACTTTCTTCAAGTCATACAAATTTCATAAAAAAGGAGGAAATGTTACTTTGCGTTAATTGATTTGTTGGTATTATGATAATACACATATGGTAAATAAATCTACTCTATGAATAAAAATTTTGTTGTTAAATTTCGTTATAAGTTATACCTTACTAAAAAAACAAACCACCTATCATTATTTGATGTACTGAAAAAATTCAAGATTATTTTCACCACAACCAGTTAATGGGTACTCAATTGAAAAATGAAGCATAAAGGTATGTATAAATAAAAAGTCTAACGTTCTCTAAGAAAAAATTACATTTTATTCAGTTCAGAATTTAGCAAGTACAAAAATAAGTAACCCTAATGTGCACCACAAGTTCAAAGCTTTGCCTTGCAACTTGTTGCTTACTATAAGTTAGATGTTATCGTAGGAAAATATGACTTTTATAAGAAAGTATACAAAATATGAAAAATGAAACAATAATTTTGTAATATAGTCATTACAAATTTCAATAATCCTTAAAAACATAATTCTATGTTATTAGTTCTAGAAAAAGTATTGTTTCTGAAGACTTCCATAATACTTTAGTTTCATCACAATAATATAAATGAAAATAATCCTTATAATTAACAAAAAAGAAAAAAAGAAAAGAAAATTAAATTACGTCTACTCTGTTAACAATAATTGTTTCAATCTATTATTCATAAAATAAGGTCTGGCTTCAGTGCCGTCATTTCGTTCAAAATCTTCTAGTACAGCAAGGAAAATAGTGTTAATAGCTGTTCTAAGTACCATAAAGAATGACAATGATATCAATATATTACATACTACGATTACTGTTCCAACAATCCAAAATTTATCGTTATATCCATATGATGCAAACACAATCAATAATGAAATAATACAATTCAATAAGGTTCCAATGAACAAGATTGCATCCGTAATCTAGAGAACACAGAAGTAAAATTAAAAATTAATTAAAAAATTTTTTAATTAAAAAGTTCAGAATTTATAGCGAAAAGTGAAAATATTACCTTATAAATGACAATGCATTTTACAATGTTTCTCATCAGAAGATAAAATGCATCCTTAGCTGATCTTATGAAGTCAGTACCATGAGTGATGCTCATAATGTAAGCATTAGTGTTGATCAAATTCATGACTTTTTCCAAAATTTTGAATAAAGTTCTGAAACAGGAAAACCCGCATCCACATCCCCATCCACAACAGCACAGCCAAGCAATAGGACTACAGCGTCCTTTGAATATTTTACGTAAAGTTTCAATCATCATATTAATAACTTGACAAAGTGCGACAATCAATGATCCAAGAGCAATAGTTCCAAGATGATACCTGCAAAAAATGGCAACAAAAAATCAAAATATACCACTTGGTATTTAATTAAAAAAGAAAATAATAAAAAATTTACTTGGATGTTATTTTCATAGATTTAATAATAGTGTTTTTGGGTACATCACTTTTGTTTCTAGCCCAATACCAAGTCACAAAACCCCCAGAAAGAACCATCTGCGTAAATCCTGTTACGAAGCTGGTATACCATAAGAATCCAAATAAATTAATGAAACGGAACAATTTGGTGTGAGGTGGAGATGTCCCATGGAGACCAGAAGTTACCATGCTCAAGTAAAAGTCAACAGATGTACAAAAAGCAAATGTTGATATGTAAAGAATGTAAGGCAGAATTGGAAATAGAAGGGTCGATGGAAAAAATAATACAGCCCTGAAAAAAAATTCTTATTAGTTCTTGATCCTTGGTTTAATAATAAAAATGGTAAGTTGATTTGCTTACTTGCTCGAGTACTTGATAACTTCACAGGCAATCACAATTTTTTTACGCAGGACTAAGAAAATTACTAATATGATTAGGAAAATAATGAAACTGAATATAGCGAGTAGAAGTTCCCAACTTGTCTCATGTAATATATATGAGTAGGTGCAAAAACTAAATACTGCAACTACTGCAAGAAAAATGAGGCCAATAACAGAATAAACTACAAATTTAGCATGGTATCGCAGTAGAATGATGTATGCTAAAGCCAATAAAATTCCTAGCACATTGAGTCCAAATATGGCACCACTGAAACAATAAGTATTGGATATATAACTATAATATTAAAATAAATATTAAAATACTAATTATTAATAAATTACCCTGCTTCATTTACTGTTCGTATGATGTCCGCAGGAGTTTCGGTTATTGGGTTCGATGACAAAGAACGAACTGTTCTTATATATATATGACTTCTGCCTCTGACATGAATACTACCTACAATATTACCAAGTTTTGAGTACTTTTGCTATCAATAAGAAATCTTAATATTTATCACTTTTAATTATTAATAAAAGAATATTTAACAATAATGTATCAACTGACCAAAATTATCACTTGAACCAGTATTATAGTTCTCCTTATTTTCTACATGAGATGTAGATCCAAAGTTTGTAGATAAAATTTTGTTTGAATTAGTAGATGGATGTCCTAAACTACCAGCAGAGTAGGCTGCAAAAAGTTTATTGTAGTAAATCACAGTGAAGAGTAAAATTAAAAAATTAATGATTACTTACCATAAATCGCAATAGCTAGTCCAACAGTAAAATAAATCCCGAGAGTCACAAGAAACGGAAAATCAGTCCGAGTACGCTGCCTCTCTAAAGGCAGCTTCATCGAAGGATCATATTCGTATTTTTTGCCTGCAATTGAAACGCAATCGAGTATAAAATCTGCGAATGATCAAGTTCACATTGAAAACTTACCGATTAATTCGACTTGATCACCTGTGGGGTCCATCATCATATTGTATAACGGCTCGTGGATTTTCTTTGTCAGCAAAAAATCCCTCAGTCGCACGAAAAACAATCGAAATTCTTCAGAGCGTAGGTGTTTCTTCAACCGACTTTTTTACTGTATATTGTTTAAAACAACTATCGCGAACGATTAATAACGAAATGAAATTTGCTTTACACTCAAATTTAGAAACGAAAAACGCAAAATCGTAAGAAAAGCCTCGCCGCTCGATGTGAATCCTTCCAGTGGTAATCCCCAAATAAAAGCCGCGGTACAAGTATCCGTGATGAGTGCCGGTGTGCTTGTGTTCCGTCCGTCCACCGATCGCTACTACACACACGACGTGTTCGTGCAAAGCGACTTTTGCCGCGCGCGATTTGCCGAATGCCTGCGTATAGTGCACGAGCGTTAAGAGAAAACAAAGGCTGCTACTGCTGCGGCCTGCCGCCGCTACATACACATATGTATAACGCACATATAGCAGGGCAAAAGACGCGCTTGGTATCGGCATACAGCTATTCTAAGAAATGAGTTTTACAGCTTCACGCACGTTACAATTTTTACCGCGGTTTCTCTGCACCCGTAGGACTAACGCACGCTGTTCGTTGCCGTTCATTCGTTTGCATGCCAATTTTTATGTATGATTTTTACGTAAAAAAATTACCAAGCTAATGAAAAAAGTCAGATAGGATTAACTCATAGTTTGTAATCATTAAAATCGATTAAAAGAGTCGGGTACAACAGGTCAAAAAGTATTAATGAGACTCAAGTTCTCTACTGTTGCTATGAATTAGGTATGGAACGTTTTTTTATTTTATGTCGAGTTGGACGACGTCGACCCTACCGGAAAAGGTCATAAAGATACTCATATTTATGTTATGTCAAAACTATTTAAAGAACTTTGAAGTTTTTTTATTATTTCTTCAGTATGTATGCATTTTTTGTCTAAAACATCTGTGTGGTTTTGAAAACTATAAAAGTATTTTATCTTAGTGACGGTCTACGTATCTTACACGAACAAAGAAATGCGGCATTAATTTAGCGAACGAATATTATAACATAACGCACGAAGATAGCAAGGGTAAGCAAATTAATTAATATACGTATAAGTTTTACGGATAATTATTCATACCAAAGCAAACCTTTGACCAATTCACCCCGCCCATGTACTAAATTAATCAGTCGTCGTTCGATTGAAAAATACAACTTCGTCATGGAATTATAGCAAGTAATAACAAAATTAAATCAATAAGTTATATAATTTTCTTAATAGTTGATGCGTTTACATATAACATAGTCAAATACAACAAATCATATCAATCGGTAGGCATTGTCCATATTTAACAGAATAAAAAATGGTACCTAAATTACCGCTAGAAGGCGTTGTCCGAATTCTTAAAAATTATAAGAGAATAAGTGAAGTTTTTAACATAAAGTGAAAGCCAATTTTTTACAGGGACTAAAGATATTCTTGTTGTAGTTTTTTACTTTACTTATTACAGTTTTTATCAAAACTTACATTTAAATATATAAGATTTTCGTATTTATGCAGTTCAACGCATTAGAATTTGGCACTTGATTCATATAATATCTCGCTTATTAGTTTACGTTCCCTTGTCGACAACTTCCTGCAGTAAGTAAGGATTATTATTATTTTTATTACTAATGATCATTTATTACAGTTTTTATCAAAACTGTGATAAATGATCGTTAGTAATACAAATAATAATAATCCTTACTTACTACAGGAAGTTGTCGACAAGGGAACGTAAACTAATACACGAGATATTATATGAATCAAGTGCCAAATTCTAATGCGATGAACTGCATAAATACGAAAATCATATATTTAAATTTAGAATCAAAGAAAACTCAGAAGACGCTGACATCAACACTATCGCTGGATAAATTTAAATTTTGTTGAAGTTTTATATTTTGAAATTATAAAATTAGGGATGATAAATATTTTTGTCTCATAATTTGAAAAAATCCTAATTCTATGACAACTAAATAATTCGAATTATCGCATCATTCCCCAAGAACAGCAAATAAACGGTTAGAAAAAAACAGTATAAAAATGTAGTCAGCGAAGTACTCTGCAGTGTTCTTTGTTAACTTTAAATTTAATCATTCCGGTTTTAGCAATAAATATTTTAGATTATATTTCATGCAAGCAAAAGTAAAGTAGTTATAAAAAATAATTCAAAAAATGAACTAAGGAATCTAATTAAATCTTCATTTATTTAAGGATAAGAATTTTAAAGCATTGGCCCAAAATCAATTACTTCAATACAACAATACAAACATTTTTTGTGGTCTTTTAAAAAGTTTTTAGCAATTAGAAAAACAATTTAGTTTTCAGTTGCCAGGTGCATTGATCTAAATTCATATTTTCGGGTTCAAGACTAAACACATGTACAATAAAGAAACTTTTAATGTGTTTGTTTTTATGTTTTATTAAATATAAAAAATATGAACATTTAATTGTATATACTTTTAATGTTTACAGGTACAAAGACTAAACTATAATAATTAATAAAAAAAGAAAATCAAAATTGTTTGAGATAAATTAATGGAGTATTACAAAAATATCGTCATTATGATGTTATAAATCTATTTTACAATTATCAGTAGCTAGTTCAACTAAGCGTCATGTCAAAAATAAATATAAATATTGTATCATAAAATTCATTATTTAACTATAATTGTAATCGATAATTCTTCAATACTATTACATTCATAATTTATACAATAAACAATATAAACAATTGAATATGTAATTAAATTGACGTCATAAGTTAAATCTATGCGATGGTCAAGTACTGTCCTTGTAATTTAAAGTCTAATTTCCTCCTCGTTGGCGAGGAGCAATTTCTTCAGCTTCTTGCTCATATAGTAGGGTTTGGTCTCGGAGTCGTCGTGTCTCTCGTAATCCTCGAGCACGCACAGGAAGATGGTGTCACAAGCGACTTGGAGCACCATGAAAATAGGAATGACGAAGAACAGGGTTACTACGAGGACCAAGAGAATGGCAATTGCTATTATGGAACCTTCTTCATTATCTTTATGTACGAGAGCGTAAGTGACTCCTGAAGTGATAGCGAAAACGAGCAAGACACCGAGCGCCAAGACGGCATCGATGACCTATAAAATGAAAGATATCGTATTTTAATATAAGAAATAAAAGGTGAAACGGTAAAATAGCATCGATCGACGCAAAACGTCTACTGCAAATGTGTCTTACATTGTTGAGAACCAGAGTGCTGACGAGGTTGCGCATGATGAGGTTGAAGGCGTTCTTGGCCGAGGTGAAGAAGTTGGTACCATGGATGGCACTCATCACGTAGGCATTGCGGCCCATAAATTTGACAAACTGCTCGATGTTTTCCCAGAGAAAGCCGCACCAGCAAGACATGAGACGGCCAAAACCATTGCCACTGTTGCCCGAATCCGATCTCGCTGCCTGGAACAAGCTCTTGATCAGCTGGCAAATGGCAATGACCAAAGAGCCGAACGCGACGGTGCCCATGTGGAAGCTGCCGAGAGAGAAATAATTTTTTCAGTGTGTTATGCTCTCATTTAGAACTGTAAAATTATGTAAAACACTATAAAATATTCACTTACACAACAACAGTTTTGCAGGATTTCAAGAGGGTAAAACGGGGAACGTTCTCCTTGCGATGAGTCCAGTACCAGGTACCGAAAGCGCCAGCCAAAGCCATTTGAGTGAGACCATTGGTGAAGCTGCAGCTCCACAAAAGACCGAAGAAATTAAATAAGTGAACAGCATAGATCCAAAACGGTGTGCCATCTTCATATTTGGCGGTAGCAATGCTCTGCGCGTTCAAGAGAACCACGAGGAAGAATACCAAAGATGCAAGGTAAAATACAGCTGGAATGAGTAAAATGAAGAAGGACGATGCGAAACTCAAGTGAGCCCTGCGACGGAGGAAAGTTAGCCGTTAGGTCGATTGTATTTAATGGGTATATAAGAAAATTTGTCAATTGTCGATATAGCACAAACGTACTTGCTGGCTTCGCGAATAACTTCGCAAGCGACCTTGATCTTTTTACGGAAGTAGATGACGCAGACGACGAAAACGATCAAAAATATCACCATAAGGCCGGTCTTTACGTATATTTCGCCACCAACTGGCGTATTGTTCTGCGAGAGTCCTGCGATACTAAAGATGACTCCAGCCGTAAGAATGACGATCGTGAACACGATGGCTGACCAGACGATGAATTTGGCGAACCATCTGAGAGCGACGATGTAGCAGACAGCCAAGGCAATTCCCATGAATATCATGCTGATTATGACTCCTCTATGGGATAAAAATTAAACATATCAAGTGACACGGTGTTCGTGACTGCAGTGACGATTTGTCATTCCAAACTTACTGATGTTTTGAAAGCGCACGGAAGTCAACCATTGAGTTGTCATCCGACATTGATCTTATCCCGTATCCTTGAGTGATCACTGCAAATGAATTTCCATTAATGAGGCTGCTTTTTCCTTCGTGAAAAATAATTTCTAGTTCATAAATAAGAGATTTTCTTACTGATTCCTCCAATGATGAGCCACGAAAATAGGAATACCACGAAGCCGATCAAGAAACCCTGGTCGGTTTTGGTTCTGTTTGTTTTCATCGGGCCTTCCCATAGTGGATCGTACTCGATTTTCGTTCCTACAACAAATGAATAAAATAAATTGATTTCCCATTATTAAAAATGTAACAAAGTAAAAACTAAGAGAGAAAAACTCGATCGGTCTCGTCGTAACAACGTTCGCATACAGAGATGTTGCACTGAAATCGAATAGCGCGTACGCCGGCAGAGAGAATAAAACAATCGTTTTTGACGGCTGGATCAAAGTCACGTTCGGGCTCGCGCGTCCGCAGATCGACTCTCTTGACAAAAATGACGCGGTCGCAATACATCACATCACATCCGGAAATTCCCACCACTAGTCGGCCCTGCACTTCGTTCTCATAGAACGATATGTGCGTGTGTATGTGTTCTGTATATATATGGCCGATTCTCTGTGAAATCGATTGGTCAAAAAAATTTTTTTTCTGCAAATATGAAAAACTTGTTGTATTTGATGTCAGATTTGTCCCAAAAAAATTTTAGAAAAATTGGGGCCTTCTATGACACTTTTTCAGAGGCCCAAAGTTGGCCATTTTAGGGTTTTTTTGAAATTCATGAAAAATCACAAATATTAAAATAATTTCTGGATTAAAGTAGAATGATTCAAAAGTAAAAGTGCCCAGCAACTTTTTTGTTGGAAATTGTCCAAATTTTCAGAAAAAAAATATGCCAAAGTGATTAGAGCCACCTAAATACATAATAGTGGGAAAACATAAAAAAAAAAACATAAAACAAGAAATCTACTCGAGTTCGAACCGGACTTTCATTTCCTAAACTATGTAAAAAGCTTCCCAAAGATATCAACTAATGCCTGATAAAGTTTTGTATTGGGTCTTAAAGTTTAACGCAATGTAGACAACAATGTATGGCATGTATGGTAATGTATTACATAGTTAAGGAAACGAAAGTCCGGTTCGAACTCGATAAGATTTCATCATTTATGTTCCTTTGGAAGTTTTTTTGCTTCACACTTACCTAGATTGTTCCAATCACTTTGGCATATTTTTTTTCTAAAAATTTGGACAATTTTCAACAAAAAAGTTGCTGGGCACTTTTACTTTTGAATCATTCTACTTTAATCCAGGAATTATTTGAATATTTGTGATTTTTCATGAATTTCAAAAAACCCTAAAATGGCCAACTTTGGGCCTCTGAAAAAGTGTCATAGAAGGCCCCAATTTTTTTAAAATTTTTTTGGGACAAATCTGACATCAAATACAACAAGTTTTTCATATTTGCAGAAAAAAAATTTTTTTGACCAATCGATTTCACAGAGAATCGGCCATATACATAAAAAAAAGCAGCGCGTGTCAACGAAGACTCGCCTCTTTCTTTGCCGGAATACTGCGGACAATATATCGATTCATGAGGGTATAATTGATATAATCGAAAAATGTCGAAATCAACTTTTTCATCAACGCTGATAGTACGGCCACTGAATGGTTTTCGCGGCTGATCGAGGCTATTTTGTCAGCTTTACCAAATTATGCAAATGGCAAAATTACGCAAATTTTAAAATTACTCAAAAAATTCTAAAAAGAATTCCCGTGTATTCTTTTGAGCTCTTTCAAAAGCTTTTTATTATCGGTGATTTTTACCTAAAATTGATCATTTTCGAGATATAAATTCACGAATTTGTAAACAATTTTTTTCATTTTGCAAAATATTTTCAACGAAGAGTAGTAAACAATATGCATATCATTTGTGCATTTTGATCCATAAAATCGAACTCTATGGTAAACTTGAATCGTTATCGGGACAATTGTCGATTTTGTGAACCAAAATCGGCCGCGAAAATTCGTCCAGGGGCTGTAATTATCGACGGACAGAAAATTTTTTTTTTAGAAGTATATGTGGACAGGAGTTTTATAATCCATCGATCATGACACAAGGTACTCAATTATAAAAATTATAAAAGTATTATAAAAGATTCGTAATATCGTCATAGGTAGTAGGCAATCGCGTCGGTGTCGTTAGTTACGGCTAATAACTGCCGCCAAATACGGAGTTAAATGCGCATTTTTGCTCTCTTTTTCTCTATATTGTCAAGTACCATAAGTGTGCCAGCAGATAAAGCCCGAATTCTTCATGTCGTCTCACTGGGATCTTCGTCAGATTTGATAAGAGACTCCATGAAATAAGTTTTGCAAGAATGTGTGATGCGATATGCTTATTTTTTCCAATTTTTTTCCAAATTTAATACGATAAAGATTACGTTAAAACTAATTCTCAAAAGCTGTGCATTTACTTTGTACATTTCGAGTACAACCGTGCAAAGAATAGAATCGTTAACGAGCCAGAGCCAATTGATAAAAGCGGACTTTATCGTCAGATTATTATTTATATTCGTTGAAAATGTGAAGAGTTTTTACAATTTATCACGACTCGTCTGATTCACAGTTGTAATGGCCATTGGTTGGTTCGTGCTTTATTATCGACCGACTGACGCGAGCGCGCCTTATCGCTACTACGATAGGTTGTATTTTGAATAAATTCTTCGAAAAGCGAAAAATGCCGAGAATTTCGATGAAAAATTTTGCCATAGACGAAAGGTTACGAAGCCGGTAATCGGGCGAGTCTACTAAAAAAATATACGCAATCGTTATTTTTTGTTATTTAAATTTCTATTATGCTTCTCTACGGTTCGTCTTCCCGAGGAGCATCTCATTGTCATCTGATTTTTCAACGAAATGCAAGCAAGTCAAAAGAGGACTCCTAAAGCCTCATTTGTATTACATTATCGCGACTAGAGCTATGTATACATCCATGACGAATAACAATGAATCAACGATAGTCGCGTCGCGTCCCCCTTGCCGCTCGACATGGTCAAGTATATACTTAATATCGGCCTATATATAGCGTCATCGTAAGTAATATCATCTTCTCGTGTACTCCGCGACGACCACCCCCTCGCCACGAAAGACCTTCGCCGCTTAATACGAGTGTTCTATCCGATCTGCAAAGAAGAGACGCGCAAAAGTCGCATAGCCGCGCGCCGGACCCCCTCGTCCAAATTTGGCCGGCGAGAAGTGGATGAGCATGGTATTATACAGAAGAGGAGAGCCATAGAAAGCGCGATCGCAGAATAGTATATGACGCTTCTGGCACATTCTTTCGATACACACTATACATCGCCGTGTTGATACAACAAGCCGGTAAAAGCCGCGGCTTCTCTCTTTCTCTCTGCCTGCGTACGCGAAGCATCGCTGCACTTGCACTACTTCATACAATGCATGCGTCCGAGATCGCGTACCGATTTTGCGCTCGCTTTCACATGCGCGCGCGTGAATTTTTTCTTTTTCGACTCACCGTAGTCCTTGTTCTTGAAGCTGTCCATTGTGGCAGCCGGTCCGCACACTCCCAAACGTACAAAAAAAAACCTAGAAAACTCAAAATCCAACTGCGAGTTCACTGGCGAAGACGATCCGTGCTAAAGGAAGGCCCGCAACGTACTGATGCGATCGCACGACTGTCCGACTCTCTCTCTCTCTCTCTCTCTCTCTTGACTCTCTGCTCCGCGGCGCTGCTCTGCGTTCAGCCCGATGAGAAGGCGGCTGGCTGGAGTAGTAGTGTGTCGTGAGCCCACGGTCTATATAGGTATTGTACGATCTCGAAATAGAACAGCCCGGCATACGCACACATCTGTTCAAGATCACCTATGTGTGAGCTTCGTAAAATAAACTTTGGGATCTCCACGCGCGTCCGCAGCTGTTCGCTATACACGATGTATATATGGGCGATTATCGAAGAAAAAAGCTCGCACGTGTGTGTGTTGACTCACACAGGTAAATGGAAGTTGAACTCGGTCGTCTGAGCTTGCGACCTTTAAGTATTTTGCATGCAAGTAACTTTTCCACGTGCTTACGAAATCATTCGGAGGATCATTCAAGTATGCTAATCAAAAAAGGAGCAGGATGTAAAATCAAAAAAAAAAAAATTGTTCGATTTCAAGCATCATGTTCAACTTCATGCGTTGCAACAACGACTTCTCGCTCCTTTCTCCTTTAAACATATGTACGAGTAAGTTGCATGCAGAATACATAAAAGCTGCAAGCTCCCACGGTCAAATTGAGCCACCAAGGGCCCGCGCGAGTCAAGAAGCAAAATTTGCCATTTTTCTTCAATAATCGCCCATATACACTCGTTTACTGTCGCGGCAGTTTAGCATTGGCGAGGAAGAAATATGCGAAGCGAGGGAGAGGTACCTATAAGAGTGTGTGTGTGCGAATCTAAGGGCGGGGAGAGTACACGTACTGTGCGTGTGCACGGCGCGGCCGCTCCTGCGCCTCCTGCCGCACATGCACTCTCTCTCTCTCTCTTCACGATCTATATGTGTAGTATGTCGAATGCGTACTCACGCGCTTCTATCGATTATTGTCCCTTTCTCGAATTAGGGTCAATCCCGTGAGTTTTCCCTTTCGCTCGTTCATCGAGAAGCGTATTGTATACAATACAAGGAAATGAAAGGGAGATCGCGTAAATTTGGATGACTGAAATCGAGGCTTTTGTATGTGTGTGTGTGTATGTATTTTTTTTTATCAAGTATACCTATCTGATGCGAAGTGGCGATGATTATAATGTAAAAAATGTGTTAGTAAACCAAGCGCATGAGAGAGAGAGAGAGAGCAAAAAACCCCGCCTCGTTCTTTTCCCACCGGTCCTCTCCAGCCGAACAATCTCATCGGGCTATAAGACTTGCCGGGTGCATCGCTTCGGGTGGGATTATTCGTTTGGGCTTTTACACGCGTCCACGTGTTGCAGCTTTGATTTGCGGAATTGCACGCGCGCGGAGAAATGAACTTATTATGCAGTGCGCCGATTTTACCCAATCGTTTTTTCCATGATCTCTCTTTTCTCTTGCAGAATTGTTCGTTCTTTTTTTCAGCTCGTCAGCTTTTTCATATTCGGGTGTGTTTGGATTTCCAAATTGTTCATTTTCTTCGAGGAAATCTCATTTAAAAATGTTAAAAATTGAAAATCTCAAAAGTAGAATTTTTACGTTTACTCTTGAACGTACACAGTTAAGAACGTCCAACGGTTCATCGATACTTCTTGCGGGTGCATTACATATGGGTAATAAATATACTTACGTTTAGATGCGAAGATGAATTGATCAAGGCAAAATCTTTCAAGCCTCGTAGTGAATGTAGCTTTTACTTATAAGAAATATCACGTGTTTAAGAGGGATAAGTGTTTTATGCCGGGAATAGAGGAACAATGGCGATCGTTGTGTCATATTTTTTCAGAAGCTACTATTAATTCCTGTATCCCATGAGTCACTCACAGCTACACTCAGTCGTCTGTACGATTTTGACACCATATCTTTTTTTTTTCTTTTTTAATTCGACAATGAAACGTTCATCGACGAGTCATTGAACTGTGCGAACTTTATACGCTCAATACGTAAATTATTTTAATTTTAATTCAATGTTGAGTTGACCATTCCATTACCTTGAAAATGATACTACGCGTGTATGATGTAAAGCGCTGACTATTCTACGCTCAAAATTAAAAACTAAATTTAGATGGTCGTAAAAAAAAAAAAAAATTCATAACCCGCGTACAACCTTGATTGCACGCTACTCAGAAATTCTCTTTTACAAGTTCGATAATTCTTCTTTTTTTCAGTTTTTTTCCGTACACCAACTAGCGCACGATACATAATACAACATGCAGGAAAGAAATGAAAAAAAAATTGGGCCTTGTTCAGTTTGTGATTGATAAAACTCAAAAAAAATCGACGATACAAAACAGCCCTTTTTCGTTCCACCAGGGTGACACATGTATAAGTAAAGACACACTTGAGACTTGGTAAGAGAAAAACAGAAATGACGTTTCGTTCCTCTTCATTCCGGCAAGTTTCTGCTGATTATTAGCTCGCGCAGTTTATCGGTCATGTGGTAGGGTCTGAGGCTGGCGGCGTTGCGCTCGTAGTCCTCGCACGCGCACAAGAATAGGGTGTTGGAGGCGACGTCGAGCTGCATGAACAGGATGTGGGACAGCAGGAAGATCAGCACGACGACGAAGACCAAGCCAAACGGGCTTTGAACTATACTCAGTTTCATCACTTGCGCCAATATCAGCCACATAAGCAAGCCCACAACCGTGCAGACCGCCAACGTGAAGATCAACACCAACACCGTGATCATCTTTTTTTTGGTTTTCGACAAACAACAGATTGAACATAGATCGCAAATGTGTGATACAATGATAATCAACGATCGACACGTACGTGTCTCAAAACCCTGATCTTGCTGCGATTCCTCCTGCCGAGATGGAAGGACTGCTTGGACGAGATGCAGAAGTTGTCTCCGTGCATGGCCGTGAAGATGTAGGTCTCGTCGCTGTACGGGTCGAACAACGCAACGAAGACAAATATGAAGTTCAAGAACATTGTGATGACGCGCAAGATGTAACTGAGCGGGTTCGGCACGTCTCTGCCCTCCAATAACCGAAAAATTCCCGTAAAAAATCGGAAAACTTTGCACAGGAGGACGATCGGGCCGCCGAGCGTTGCCGTGCCCAAGTGGTGTCTAGGACAAAAATGTATGTCTCGATCGCGATCCAGATCGGTATTTAATAAGGAAAAAAAGATGGGTGTCTCACAGAAAGACGATCAGGATGAATCTAATGGGCGTGAGATGCGGCACTCTGCGCTTGTCCATGGTCCAGTACCAGGTGCCGTAGGAGCCCGCGGCGACCATGCGAAAGAACGCGAAGAGGGCGACGACCATCCCTACACCGCAGGGACAGAGAGCGAAGAGATAGGCATATACTTCTTTCTCCTCTTTACCGAAGGATGCTGCACATTGACGGTATTTTAACCAGATTGAGAAAATCAGTGCACCCCAGCCGATCAAGCAGCCCGCCAGACCCCAGACTAAGACAGACAGCAGGAACATCGAAGGAAAGAACATCATGACCCTATCGATCGATTCATCGACGTACGATCATTACGTACAGGCGCGATTACGCAGAATTGAATTTATTTTTATGTTTGAACGCTTGCCTGCTGGATTCTCGCACGAGCTCGCAGCAAACCGGGATGAATTTGGCCTTGATCTTGAAGACAAAAAGGAGGAAAACGAAGCCGCCGATGGCCAGGATCAAGTACACCAGTTTCAAGATGCTTGGGTCGTTGCCGAAGTAGTAGGCGAGATAGGCGATGCCGGCGCACACCACGGAGAACAGCACGAAGATGCTCGAGTAGATGACGGCCCAGGCGGAGACTCGCATCAGCATCAGGCAGAAGATCGACAACACGCCGGTCAACACGAGGCCACCGGTGATCACCCATCTGCACGCGACGTACGATACTATAATGGCTCGATGCTTCGTTACTAGCGATCTTTTTTCATTATCGCGACTCGCGGGAAATTTATCATTTTTGAGTCGACTCGCATTACCTCTGATCGAAAATCGCTTTCGTCGCAGCGGCCCACTTGTTCATTGGCACAAATTCTTCCATGCCTTCGGATATTTTTTCCACACGATATGGGTCGGTCATCCAGAATCTCCACTGCCAACCTTAAAGCGCGTTCGGGCAGATATATAAAGAAGGAAAAATGTCACCATCAGCCTCTTTTTGTGACCATTACTTTACACCTTACTTTACCATAATAGGATAATACGGCGTAGCCGATGATTGCGACGATCAAAAAAATAAGAAACAGCTTGTCTGTCAAGCCACGATGCACACGCAGAGGACCTCTCCAGAATGGATCGTAGCCGAATTTCAGACCTGCAACGAAGAAATCGTCACGAATCGATCCAACAACTTTTTTTACTTTCTTTTCATTCGATGCAATCAAGGCCTACCGTAATCTGGCAGTTCTTCCACGGAATCCTCTCTGCTGTTCATTGCTCGCGGTTCGTGCGTGCGATCGTGTACGAGCTTCCCAATTCAACGAGCTGCTGTATATCTTGAATTGTCACGAGTCTCGTTTCATCGCATAAATCGTTTTGTTCTTTAAACACCCGAGGCACACGGCGCACTTAACCTGTGCCGTTTGTTGACTTTCGCAGCTGCGAGAGCTTTTGGTGAAAAAATAACCAAAAATCATAATCGACTCTTTAACCGATGCTATATTTTCTTTCAGTCGAATCAATGCCAATCAATAATAAATGAAAAAAAAATTCAACTTATTCGGATTTTTTTAAAACAATTCAAATCGATTAAAAAATTACGTTTTATTAACAATAACTTAATTACATTTATTTTTCTATTTACAGATATCTTACAAATATAACATTTTTCATTTTTTTTTCGGTTCTAAAAACCTATCCAAAACTCCATAAGATTTTTCGGGTTTCTTTTTGTTTTCTTTTTTGTCAATAAGAACCTTGGCATCACGCATCTCTTGAATAGCCGCTCTCTTAGCTTTCAATTTCAAAGCCTTTTTAGATTTGATCACTTTAGCGGTACCACCTTTACCCTTGGCTTTTGTTTTACGTGGTTTGAAATCTATCTGCCTAGGTTTAACGTACTGAAATATAAATTTAAAATTGTTAAATCATTGTTGACTATTGCAATATTTTCAAAATAATAGTAATTAATAAATTAAAACTAACCCCCAATTTCTTCTTTGAATCCAACTTATGTTGCAATGCCGCTACATCAATTTCAGCAATTGCGTTAGGATCCAAACAAATAAATTCAGGTTGAATTTTATCCAAAAGAGCCTTAACTTCAGCTTCTTTACGTTGCTTTTTATTTTGGAATGGATTAGTTTCTAGGGCATCATAATTGGCCTCTGCACTTCCTGGTACCAAAACTGAGGAAAATCCTTTTGTGTGAGTTAATCCTAAAGCATCTTCATAAGGACAAAACTTCAAATCTGACAAAGCCCAACTTGCTTTGTGTCTCATATAAGGCTTCAAATTAGTATGAGTATCCCTAAAATCACAAAAAAGTTACTAATCACACATATTCATTTTAAATTACATCAAGCTGTAATGAAAGAAAAGTATCCAAAAAACTTACTTGAAAATTTCAACAACATTTCCCATCCCTACAGCTAATAAACCACGTTGACTGTAAGACAAATGTTGGGCCGCTGATCTCAAAACTGCATTTTCTACAGGTCCAGACAATTGTCTAATATCCCATATTTTTAAAGTACGATCTGGAGCACTAGTGGCCATGTATGTTCCATGAGGATGTACAGCACAAGCACTTACAGCTTGTTTGTGAACCAACATTTTGGCTAATGGTTGATGCGAATTAGGTGACCACATGGATACTACCCCTTTTGAATCACCAACACACAAAAGAGCATTGTAAGGATTTTGAGTCATTACCTGATGAAAAACATTGACGGTAAAATTAATGTAAGGAGTTAACTTATGCTTTTACGTTTATTAATTCAATTAATTTTCTATATCAATAAAAATAATGGGAATAATTTCAGTGTGAAGTACAATTAATAATTAAAAAAAATGTATGAACTCACATTTATGCGTCCAAGTTTTGTATCCATACGAGTAATTTTTTCTCCTATAGAAACATCAAGCCAAGATAGCCCACCAACTGCTGAAGAAGCAGCCAGTAAAAAGTGGTAAGGCAAGAATTCTAATTTTGTAGGTTGATTCATTCTTTTTAAACAATGCAACTCAATTCCTTGATTATCATAGATATAAACCCATTCTTTTTGAGCTACAGCAAACATAGTTTCTATATGCAACCAACAAACGTCATGAACTGATTCCATCACATTCATTTCGCAGGCTAATTTTTTTGTAACCCAGTCAAAAGCTGCAACATGACCTTTTTTGCCACCGATTACTAAATGCCGTCCATTCCTTGTGTATCTATATGAGACAAAAGAGAAATAAACATTGTACAATTGCAGAGCAAATCTCTCATATTTCATAATAATAATATTTCCTACCTCATGGAATAAGGACCAAAGTCCAAATTTAAATTGAAACACTTGGCAGCACTAATAAGATCTACATTTTCAACTAATTCTCTTTGTTTGAATTGAGTTGTTGTTTCTCCAGCATCAGTTTCAAGACAACCATAATCTTCAGTTAAAAGAATTTCTCTACGTGCAGCTTCTTCTGCCATAGGTGCCAAGAGTTTTTCCTTATTATGTACCCTTAGACGGTGTACTTTATTTCTGATACCCTTTTTCAAGTTTATTCCTTCACCCATTTCGTATTTTTTTAATGTTTCTGGGTCAACAGGAATTTTGTCACGTTTTCTCCCTAAAATAAAAACATGTCATTGTTATGTATACTTTTTCATGTAAAAACTATAAAAATTAGAATCGAATAGACTTGAGCAAATTTTATGTAAGATATTAGTTAGTTAGTTAGTTTAGTATATTAAAAAATTGTATTTACCCATTTTGATAACTTTTATGTAGACACGTGCGACTTATAACCTTCGTCACGACGTCTGGTTCGTGATGGCTTCGGCGACTGCACATGAGAATTGAGAAGCCAGAAGCAGAACACCAGAAAAGACTGAACGGTAGCGCCACTGCAGTTGAAAACGTAAACTATTGAAATTTACTTCTGAATTTCCAAGGTTCCCTCTCTCTAACACAAATTGGCAGTACAAAACATAGCCGTACGGCGCGCGCCAATACATGCGAAAATTTCTGAATAGTGGATGTGTCGTTCGAATTTGCCGGCAGACCGAGCAGAATATATGTGACTGTTCGATGCGCGCAGCGCGGTTGAAATTATACAACGCGGTGTTGGTTATATGCATGATTGAAAGTTTTCGTTTGTTCGAATTCGCCCAACAGTTGAGTTTTTTTTAATGACAAGCAACAAGATAGCATTAATCAAATTAACAAAATGACGGAGTGCTGCCCGGCGCCGAAGGAGGTGCAAGTAAGTGATCGTTGTTTTGACGCACGACAATGATAGTATATACTGAAAATAACCGCCAAATTTTTGTGATGAATGTTTTCCTTGATCAATCGGTGTATGTTTTTGTTCTTTTTTGCAGGATTTTCAATTTAAACAAGCTAACATTGGCCAGATTTGCGATGAGATTCCTAATATACCTGTTTGTTCGAGTTCGATCGCGGTCGATGAAAAGAGGAGTTTACTGTACATTGGTCATGACCAAAAGTTGATAGTTACTAAATTAGCAAATGATCAAAACCCTGAGTGGAAGATAGAAATTGAATTGTCCAGCAAAGTTAATCGTATTGCTATTAACTGTGACAATTCATTGATAGCTGTTGTATTTAATTCGCCACATGTGTTGGTTTATGATGCATCGTCAATTCACAAACACGTAAGTTTTTATTGTAACATTTCATTTTTACATGGTTTTGCCTTTGACAATTTATGTTTTCTTATATATAAAGCAACTAGATTTACTTCATGAATTGCGAGTATGTACATCTGCTGGAGACATTTATGTCACAGACTTAAAATGGAATCCAGCTATCCCAGAAATGCTCTGCTCTACAGCATCTGATCATACAATTGGATGTTTTCAAGTAGGAAAAACAAAACAAGCAGGTGTTCAAATATTAGGTATAGAAAAACCTCAAGGAGTTGAAGCAATGTGTATGTCTTGGAGTCCAAAAGGCAAACAGCTAGTAGTTGGTTGCAAAAATGGAGATATCATCCAACTCAAACCAGACTTAAAAATAGCTAGACACATAAAAGGACCAAATCCTTATCAAGGCATGATAATTTCTATGCTGTGGATTAGTAATTATCAATTTTTTGCTTGTTACCTTCACCCTGAAGACCAGACTGTCAATGTAATGATAGTCGATGCAGCCAAAAATGTAACTGTGGCAAAATTCACAAACTATGAAGATGTTACATTTGGTACTGGTGAAACAACTGGATTGTGTTATTATTTTGAACACATATCTGAGTGGGGTATTATATTAGCTGCTAGTACACACAGTACTGAAGTAGCAGTTTTAGGGACATTTGACAATGGTGTTACATGGCATCAATGGCATTTGGCAGATGGTAGTAATGTTCAATTGCCTCTTAATAGAAAGACTAAAGCAGAAAATTATCCAGTTGGCATTGCATTGGATAAATCTATTACTTTTAAATTACCTTGGGGTGAAGGTAGTTTGGCAAATCCTGTTCCAATTTTGCATATCCTAGTCACTAGTGGTCAACTGTGCTGTTATCATTTGGTAAACTTGAAAGACATTGCTCCATCTATTTGTTCAGCACCTACAGAAGTTGTACCTGCTCCAGCAGCTCCGAGACCAAGTATTATTCCATCAGAAATATCTTTTAATATGCATGCTGAAGTAACAAGTACACCACGCCCTAAACAAACAACAGCTGAAAATCAGCTTGACAAAACTAAATCAACAAGCAACACAGAAAAATCACAGGACTCACCCTTTTCATTTTTAGGTGCACCTAGCAAAACTCCTGAAGGAGCTATACCTCCAGAAATGAAAAGTCCAACATTTTCTACGATTCCAACACAAAAACCAGGATTATTTGCTCAAGGAGATAAATCAGTAAGTCCTTTGCAGCAACAGCAACAACAAGTTCAAATGCAACTACAGCAGCAAAGATCGCAAGCTCACCCTCTTACTCAACACATTCAACTACAGCAGCAGCACATACAACAACAACAGCAAGCTTTAAGTCAACAACTACAACAGCATCAGTTGCAACAGCAAATGCAGCAGCAACAGTTGCAACAGTATCAGCAGGAGGCACTACAACAATTACGTCAACCACAAAATCAACAATTTTTACAAAAATTGCAGCAACAGTATCAGCAGCAAATTCAGCAGATAAATAATGTAGGAGCTAATCTACCAACAAAAACTCAAAATCCTACTTCACCACAGAATATTAATCAAAATCAAAATATCCAACCTCCACCATATGGTTTAAAAAATGAAAATAAACCGTCAAATATTCCTCAAGTAACACAAGGAGATTCAAAGTTACCATTTATGCAACTGCAGCAACAATTACCACAACAAAAAACTTTTACACCACAAGAATTCCAGAAGCAAATATTCCAACAACAACAACAACAGCAACAACAACAACAGCAACAACAACAACAACAACAACAGCAGCAACAGCAGCAACAGCAGCAACAGCAACAAAAACCACAACAACTACAAACAAAAGAATTAAGTTTAACCAGCAAAACCGAAGCAAGCAAACCTCAACAACGAGTTTATGACGACGCCCTCTGTATGGTTGCGTATCACGAAGAGCAAGCCCGTTTCGAGAAAGAACTTAAAAATCGGATGAGTATACCCCTTACCGATTGTGGAACTGAGGAAGAGCGCTCGAAACTTGTCACGCAATCTGGAGAGATCGAAGCATTTTTAAAGGAACTGCGTGAAACTACGAGCGGGTTATCTAGTGACATAGCCTACCTCAAAGCCTTACTGTTGCAGTCATTTGCCTGGCTCGAGGAGTCAAAGTCGAAAAATTCCGCCAATTCGGACAGTCTGCCGAGTCACATTCAGAAAGAAAACAGCAAACTCACCGAGCTGCGGAAATTATACAATTACACGCAAACGCAATTGATTCAAGCCACCAAAGCTCTTGATTTGGAGTGGTCGGACTACCAGACTCGCGAGCAGCAGCGGATGAAAATCCCGAGTACTGAAGTCATCTATCAGAGTCTCATTCGCTACGGACAGATCATAGCGACGGAAAAAAGCAAACTCGAGGAGTTGAGCAAAAAGTGGCGTTCCCTGGTTCGCGGTGGTACGGCTGCTTCAGACAAAACTAATACTCCTCATTCGAACGGACATTTGTCTGCGCTAGATAAATCCATGTCCAATTTGAACCTGTCCCAGTCGGCGAGCAATGTCACCGACAGTGCAATTGAATTGCGCTGCAAGCTCATCGCCACGAACACTAAGAATTTCAGTCGTGAGAAGCAAATTAAACTGAGGGACTTGCTCTCGGAATCGGCGCCGAAGATTATTCGAGCTGCCAGACCAACAGCTGTGCAGGACAAACTGGAAGCTACCTTGTCGTCGTTGGCTTCGAAAGCTAATGATAAAAAAACCAAGGTAGCTGTTAAAGAAACTCAACAAGCTGCAACAGGCAAACTATCCTCTTTATTATCGTCACCTCCTATGCCCGCCTCGCTCGCAAATGCTCAAGCGAACAAAACCAAAATGAGCATGGAAGCTCAAATGCAAATTCAGCAACAACAAATGCTTCAGCTCCAGAAGCAACAGCAGCAACAAATACTTCATTTACAGCAGCAGCAGCATCAGCAGCAACCGATTTCACCACTGGCCACGCTCGATCAGTTGGTTTCCGGCTTTGGAGGATCAACCAACCGATCGCCGGTGTCCATAAATGCATTCGCACCTGGTGTCAGTCCTACTAACTTGCAGCAACAAATAACGCCACCTCAATTGAAATCTAAGGAAAATCTGACGTTCAACGTGACACCGACGAAGGGTAATTCTGACGCCGCGGCTAGATTACCGGAAATGTCGAAACTTCTTCAGGGCGCCACGATGAACAAGGATGTACCGCCTTTCTCACCCCTACGGGGCTTCGTTCAACAGGGTGCAACGTCCCAAGCAGCGCCATCGGCGCCCGTGACGTTGCTCACAGCACTGCCCAAGACGACGTTGAATTTCTCCGGACCCACAACGCCGAACGCAGCGTCGTCGGGTGGCTTTGCCTCGATGGGGAAGCTCGACAGCAATACTTTCAAATTCTCAAGTGGTGCTGCTGCTCCTTCTTCAGCGACTCCGGAATCCGCGAAGACTTCCACTTTCAGCTTCAATAATTTCCAACCCTCATCTTCGGCTGCACCGGCGATCTCGTTCAACTTCAACAAGAACGCAGCTGCTCCAGTGTCATCTCCATCCACGATATTTAATCCACAGCTGGGTAACCCTGGTGGTGCTCAGCCCGTCAGTACATCACCACAGGTCGGCTCTACTACTCCGGCCACCACAGCATCGACGAACTTTAGCATTAATTCGATGTTCGGAAGTCTTGGTGTAAACTCCACAGCTACATCAGGTACTACGCCGAGCAACACTCCATTGAATTATTCGAATTCAAGTGCCTCTAGCGCTGCGACCCCGACAGCTCCGTTCTCCTTCAGTAGTAACGCGGCAAGCTCGTCGTCGACAGCAGCTACCCCCAAGTTGACAACGCCATCCACGGCTCCTGCTTTCGGTGCTAATAATGCCTCTGCTGCTTCTGCTGCTACTGCCGCTGTTGCGGCTGCAGCTGCCATGAAACAATCCACGTCGTCCTCAGCTTTTTCGTTCAGTAACTTGAACGCCACCAGCAATTCTCCGTTGACAGCTCCAACTTCTGCTTTTTCATTCAACAATCCGACTTCTGCCCCGCCCAGTACACCAAGGTAATAACTTTTTTAACTTTACAGAAGCATGTGAAAAATATACTCATTGAAATTGATTTTTTAGTTTTTCAAATCTGCTGAGTGGTACCGGATCCCTGAGCTTTGGTACTCCAGCGACAAATACGACAGTAGCCGCCTTTGCCAAATCGGCAACTCCGACGAACGCCAACATTTTTGGCTCAGCCCCGTCTTCGGCATCATCTTCTACAGCTGCTACTAATAGCCCCGTAACGACAACGACGACGCCGGCAACGCCAACTACCACAACAGCATCGTCGTCGAGTAGTTTAACAATAACACCTGTTGCTCCGACTTCAGTTTATGGCAAGACTACCACAGCAGCTTTATCATCACCGTTCGCTACTGTAACGACGACCAGTAGTAATAGCAATAAATCAATATTCGGAGGAACAGCCAGTAATACCGCGGGTGCGACTGGTCCATCAGTTTTGGTCGGCCAGACCACTATTTCCGTTAAACCTGCTACTAGTACTCCTTCTAATAGTACTGCTTCTCCTACTCCAACCGCCATCGGTTCCTCCGTCACTATTACACCAATCTCAAAAGCTTCAGTTTTTGGTGGTGGAACCGCCACGACGTCTGCTGGTTCTACATTTGGTGGTGCAGCATTCTCTTTCGGATCGATTTCTACTCAATCAAGTAGCAGTAAGATAAAACTTATAAGATTTTTTATGAACTTAGTGAATGGATAAATAAATGTTGTTTGCTTTACTTATTTTCAGTATTCGGAGGCAGTAACGGTACCGCTACTACGTCCAGCGCACCTACTGCTGCATCACCTTTTGGTGCCAGTTCCGTAACAAGTACCACTTCATCGACGACTTCATCTATCTTTTCCACATCAACCAATAAACAATCGTTGTTTGGTGGAGGTACCGCTGCAACAACTGCCGCAGCGACGAATGTGTTTGGTAGTACTACCTTCGGTACGGCTACAGCAGCTAATAATGCATCGCCTTTTGGCGCTTCGTCAAGCACGGCGAACTCTTCGCCATTTGGCGCTGCGTCAGCAAATGCTTCGCCTTTTGGTGCTGCTGCAGCCAAAACTACGACTGCGTCGATATTTGGTGGTTCTTCAACTGGCACTACAACTGCCTCTCCTTTTGGTGCTGCTCCAACTAGTACTGCTGCCGCTGCACCATTCGGTGCGAGTTCAGCAAATACAACTGCTGCCTCACCTTTTGGTGCTTCTGCGGCAAGTACAACTGCTGCTTCACCTTTTGGTGCTTCTGCGAGTACTGGTGCTGCCTCACCTTTTGGTGGTACCGCAGCGAATACTGCAGCCAAATCGCCATTTGGAGCACCTGCTTCTAACGCGACCGCAACCCCGGCTTTCGGCAGTACAGCAACTCCCAATGCATCCGTTTTTGGTGGAAGTACGACATTTGGCAGTTCTAATGCATTCGGTGCCGCTTCAAGTAGTACACCTGCCCCATCTGCTTTTGGAGGCAGTGGCGGCTTATTTGGTAGCACTGCATCTAACAATACTTCAGTATTTGGTGGCAGTGGTGCCACAGCTACGGCTTCACCTGCTACTAGTGGATCTTTGTTTGGAGGTGCCACCAGTTCAGCCTTTGGCTCCAACGCGTCGGGGGGATCTACATTCGGAGCATCGGCAAATTTAGGGGGTGGATCATCGGCGTTCGGCAGTGGAGCTACAACCTCCCCTGGTATGGGTTCAACATTTGGTCAAGCTTCTGCATTTGGAGCTAAACCAGTATTTGGATCACCTACACCGGCCTTTGGTGGTGCTCCTGGATTTGGTTCTCCTCCAGCTTTTGGAGCTAACCCTACCACTGGTAATATTATTATTCGTTTTTAGAAGAACTTTTCATAAAAATCCAAACCAAAGGTTTACAATGCTAACATATTTGCAGGATTTGGTAGTCCACCGGCACTTGGAGCACAAAGTACCAGTCCGAATAAGATTTTCGGTAGCTCTACTTTTGAATCGTTAGGAGCCCAAACAGGAGGATTGTCATTTGGTAGCTTAGCTCAAAAATCACCTGAACAAAAACCTCAAGCTTTCCAAGGGTACTCATTCAATATTCAATTTTACTTTGTATTGCATAAGATTTATAATTTTTTTCAATGCTAATACGAATATTTATTTCAGGTCGAGTTCATTCTCCAGTTGGCGATGATTGTGTTCAATATTACAAGTTGAGGGTGCACATTATTTTTGCTATAACTTAATAATTGTAAGCGTTAGGTAAAAAATGAATAATTATTTTTATAAATCTGATATTATAGATCTTGATGTAAACTTCTATCAAGAAGAGTTTTTTTAACGATGTGATGTACTTGAGAAATCGTAAATGATATTGAGGGGATATCAAATGGGAGAAAAGTAATTTTTCTCTATTTATTGAGCATATTACATATTCTGTTCGTGTGACTCGAGAATTTTTATTTATTTAATTATTTACATATATAAATGCCTATAAATATTTTACGTATTGTACTATGTAACTTAAATTTATTTTTAATTTAGTAATGCAAGTAGCGTTATATCGTTAGTTACTTGCACCACAAAAAGTAGTAGATGCATAAGTAAATTTTTAAATGGCCACAAATAAGAGTACAATATTAGTGCTAGAAGTAAAACTTTTAGCTACTGTTTTATCAGCATTTGTTGTTTGAGCTCTAAAATGCGCCGTGCATATAAAATACTACTTAACATATTTGTATTTTAATAACTTAATCCTAACTAATAATTAAATTCCTCCTCTTTTCATTTGTTTCGGTGAAATTGTTATCTTTGTAGGTTTACATAAATCAATTACACACGCATCATCAAGTCTTTTATGTGTCCCAGTTGCAGTTGAATTTGTCAGTAAAGCTATTGAAATTTCAACAGAACAGGCTTCCATCCATACTTGATGAGATACAAGTACTGTCGTTCTTAGCCTGTAGTCATTTGATTTATCATGCTGCAACTTGAGATCATTTTGTCGGGGTAATATCAATTGAACCTTTTGATCTGGATGTCGCAATTTTATCCTTACGTCTGTAGGATTACGAAGATTTAATATTTTTGCTGTCAAAGGTATACCTGAAAAATCAAAAAAATTAGTTAACTAAGCGTATTCTTTGTTTATATGAGTTGCTAATTAAATATGAATTACCCAAAACAAGTCCACCAGTAAATTTTAAAACAGTATCAGAATCACTAACGGGTTCTTCTATAACTGCTTGGCAATATTTAGTTGATTGCGGCGGTCTTGGTAATTTTTCTTCACCTTTCTTCGTTGGATTTATTAACAAAGGTAAAAGAAGCTTTGATAATATCTGTGGTTTTGCTTCCTCAACACTTGACAATTGTTGAATTAATGCTTTTGAAAACGGTGGAAGTTTCTGTGGATCATCAGGTAAAGTATCAGCAGCTAAGAGAAGTTGCCTTGTTAAAAATTTTGCACTAGCAACATCAGAATTTTTTGTCATTCGTACTAAATCTAAGGCCAATGCTTTAAGCCAAATATCAGTTGCCAAAGTTGCTTCATTTTCACCTAGTCCAATGAAAAGTTGCAATAATCTGAAAAATAATTATTGTATAAACACACTGTCGCTGCAGAAATTAATAAAAATTGTTGAGTGTAACAACTTACTTTTGTGCATTCTTCATGAGAAGCGAAATATTACTGCTGATCGTAGTGGATGAATGCATTGCATTTCCATTTGGAGACAATGCATATAATTTAATTAAATTTTTAAAAACCAATAAACATCTTATGTATAAAGCTGAAAATCTAGCCACTCCTTCCATTCTTAAATCCATTCCAGCAAGTCTATCTAAATCATCTGCTGCAGCTTGTAATAATTGAGTATAAACTCGTCCACCAGGCCTAGCGTTTTCTATGTTACTGACCATTTTTTCTAAAAAGTGTCTTGCATTCTCATCTTCTACTTCTTCATCTTGCCTTGTTTTTTCATCAGATTTACCTGTATTACCAATTAGCAAGGCAGGTTTAAGTCTAGGGACTATATGCGGCATTGTATCACGCAAGTAATGATAATGTTTAACAGCATGATGAGTAAATATTGAATGCATACTTGGGCAATGTGCAGCAGCATTAAATATTAGAACTAAAACACTTACATCTGGAAAAGTAAAAAAAAATTATTAAATCTTTGTTTTCATCATGAAAATTTGAAAAATATTCACTACGTACATGATGGCATAGCTACATTTGGTTCTGGTGTATCAAAAAATGCATGCTGTCCCAATAGTTGTGGTACAAGAGGCAAAGTTAAATAAGGATGAGTAGCTCCCATTGATGCTAAACAAGCATATATAGTATCTTGATCTTGAGGATAGCGATTCAGATTATCAAGCAACTTGGTTACACACATGTGCAAGCAGGTTTTTGTTGATAAGTGACTTGCACCTAATGTATTATGTAAACCTTCTCTGACTTCTCCAGCACGGTCCTCCAGAGCACCTAAAATTGTTTCGAGCTGGTCTTCATTCAATGTTACATAAACTGACATCTTTCTAAGTGACTCAATGGCTCTTATTCGAACATCTTGAATTTCATCATTAAACATATCGACCATGAATTCTAATGCAAGATGAGCAATTTTTGGAGTTTTTAATGCTAATGCACACAAGGAATCAACTGCAGCTGTTCTGACCTAAAAGGAAGTAAAATATGTAGTATTGGAATACATAAAGAAAAGAGCCTCAATATTTAATTTACCTCTAAAAATTCATCTTCAAGCCCATGAATAAATGCTCCACACATATTAATTCCAGTTCTTTCTTCTGGTGGTCCACATTCAACTTCTACTCTAATCAATTTTTTATCCAAAGCTTGTTCTATGTGACAACGAGAAACACCATTTAATGATCCTAGTAATGACATTGCTGCTACTCTAACTTTAGGTGAAAGATCTCCCATAAGAATACATAGCTTACAAAAAGCACTATCCACCATCCTCATATCTTCATTAAATTCTCTTCCTCCGGGTACCATGCTAAACCAAAATGATAGTTAAAAATAATTTCATTGGTTTATAAAATTATTTAATAGTAAAAAAAACTTACACTTCAGGATATGCATTTCCTAAAAGCCAAATAAGCTTTAGAACTGCTCTTCTCACAATTTCATAATCATCTTGCAAACACAAACAGACTTCTAAAAAAAAACTTGCAGGGATTCTACAGCCTCTTAAGGAGTGCAATTCTGCCATTGTTTCAAATGCTTGAGCTCTCACTCTGGCATCTTGTGATTTCGCATAACTATTTACCAATATAAGTGTATCATCAGCTAAATTTGTAGGTAAATAACGGCCTATGATGCATAAACATTGAATTTGAACTCCATGCCAAGAATCATTCAAATTTTCTGTGGCAGTATTTAATACAAGATTTCTGTAAAATAGTTATTGATAAGTAATAAGTTAAATGTAATATAATGAAAAGAAATAAATTTAAATTTACCTATTATGGTCCCCTAATGTATAAAGAGTGGCTAGACCTTGACATTTTACTCTATGGGCTTTTTCATTCTTGATAAGATTTACTGTTTCTGTAATAATTGTAGTTTTATCGAGTATATTGTTGGTTAATTCACCGAGTTCTGCAAATACTGAAAGAATTTTTGCACGAACTGCAGCTTCTAATTCAATTTGAAATCTTCCAGTTAATTTCTTCACAGCAGTTGGAATATCTTCCAGCTTTATTTTTCCAAGAGTATCAGATATTCTTATCAAATAATTCATAGCTTCATTACCACTTTTGCTGTGTTCCAAACATTCTATGTAGGCCATAGCCGAGTTGGCTCCATATAAATTTTCATTTTTTCCATCGATAGAAGATATGAGTTTTGTCAATTTTATACGTTTTCTAAGAGGTTTTTCTAATGTTACAACCTAGACAATCAATAAAACAATAAATAAATTTACTGACACACTCATTCATAGTTAAAATCTTGTGAAATATATGTACCTGACTCTGATTAAACTCAGCAAGTACCCTTTTTTTCATTAAAGCTGCCATGTTGAGAGTAAATAAACTTAGAGACAAATTTCTAAATGATTAACTGGAAATAAATCAGCGTTATTTTTTATTCGCGTTACGAGATTCACATAGTTGGCATTACACGTGTGGCTTTGTCTGTTGTTATTCTTGCAATCGCAATACTAAATGGCATCTTGTCATCTGAAGACTGAAACCTACAAAAGTGATAAATTTTAGATTTGAGCACATGGTGGGGGAGAGGAAACTTGTCACGTGACTCAGCCCGCAAATACTTCAAATGCAAAGTTTTGAATGAATTTTTTGAAAGTTTTTTTTATGTCAATTTTAGCATAAATAACGATATCAAGTAATGGAAACGAAAAAATTCTCACAACATTTCAAAAAACGAAAACGTGAATTTTCCGATAAGTAGGTAGACTGCACTCACGCAACAGGTTTAAGATGAATCGTGAGCGTGGGAGAAGGGGGAAACAGCATATTTAATCGACGAACACACCCAAAGCGGCTCATGGTTATTTCGACATTCGTACTGCTTGTACAACAACGCATCTCTCTCTATAATACTTCAGTTTTGCATTGGTGTTTACCGTGAGTGGTGTACGTTCATCACGTACACAAGTTTTTCTCTTAGGTTTTAAATTCGTGGGTCGTGTTTTCGTATAGGTTCTATCAACTGCAGTAAGAAATAAAAAACGAACGCAAAAATGATTCGGCGACTCATCAGATTCATCGTTCCATTCATCGTACTTGCGATATTTTTAACTTCCCAAGGTACGACTGCTAACAAGCCCGATTATTATGCATTATATTTTTCTTACCTGTGTATCTTGATGGCACATATCAATTATTTTTTAGAAGATTACCGTTTCGCCGTTCAATACCATCCCGTGCGATTTGGAAATTATTTTTAAAAACTAACCCTGTAGAGTCGTTGAAATAACCCGTACCCACCTAACGAGAACGAAACTTACGGTACGGTGTTCATGCATGACAGAAAAGTTCTTTATTAGTCACACGGTTTTGCAGTTTTGCTAAATAAGACTTAGGTTAAGTTCATTGATAGACGTATTTCGCTGCTGCGGGTTATTCATGTAATACCCTCTTGTTTTGCTCTCTGTCACCTACGCCATGCAGGTGTTGACGCTATCAAGTGTTACCAGTGCAGCAGTGACACCGACCCCGACGGGGACGATGTGTGCGGTGCGTACACGAAATTCGACAAAGAGAGAAACATCGCCGTTGAATGCAACAGCGATGAGTCGAAGATGCCAGGTACATTCTGCGTCAAGCTGACGCAGCAGAGCCCACGTGGATTTATTTGTGAGTATACACGAGACACCACTTGTCGTTTCCTTATCATTTGACAGTTTTGCTCTTAATTATCGGCCTCTCAAAGACTTGCTGCATTACATTAAAAAAATCGTTGAGATCGATGAATCTCGTCATCGTCGCAACGAACGAATGCTCCTATTTTCAGTAACCACACCCATAAAAGTGGAGCTGCGCTATATGATATGAAAATTGCAAATCGCTGCACAATAAAACGAAGTTAACGCTGTTTTTATTATTATAGGGGATGGTCGTTGGCGTCAGGTTATTCGACGCTGTGCATCGGTGGCCAACACTGGAGTCACGGGCGTCTGCAATTGGGGCGTTTACGAAAACGGCGTCTACTGGCAAGAGTGCTCCTGCTCGGAGGACGCCTGCAACTCAGCCAACGGACCTGGCTTCGATCGTTTCACGATAATAGCCGTTGCAGCCGTTGCTTTATCCATAGGCTCGTATTTCAGTTAATTTCTGAGATGACGTACATTAGCTTGACACTTCATTTTTAATGCAATAAAAGTCGAAGAGCAGCGATTTTTTAATATGCCATTGCTATATTTTAATCGTAAAAATCACAATTGCCTTATAAAGATACTCTCGTCAATTGTTATGAATGATTTTTAATAATAATTGATTGAGGAAAGAAGTGATTATCAACAGAAGTAGACTAACTAATCCGTCCATTTTGACCAATTGTATCTAAAGCGAAATATATATTATTTATATTTTTAATTTTAAGATTTAGATACATATTGTAAAATATAAGCAAAATCTTATTGTTTACATTCCTCACACAGTTTGTACAAAGTTTTATTTGTTAAAAAAACAAGAATCTCAAATTTTATACCCCAGAATTATACAGCAAAAATTTTAAATAAAAGCGTACCAGATGTATAATTGTAAATAATTTTAGTTAAACTACTGATGATTTTGTCAATTAGTTTTACTATACAGAGCATCAATTTTGCAGATTGTAAAAAATTATTTCTTTTTATTAAAAATAATAAGAAATATTTCTCCCGCATTGCAGTACAACCCAGCGATCCTTGGGATTATTAAATTTAGTTTTATTATTAGGAACTGCACAACCTTTTTATGTAATTTTCGAAAGAATTTTTCTACGCAATTTTTGTTAATGTTGATACATGTTATTCGTGTTGTTCTCTGTAATAAAAAATCATGATACAAAACTACATCAGACTTTTGTTGATTATTAAACTTTGAAAAGGTATCTATATCAAAATACTTTGAACTCGATAAAATTTCAATTTTATGATCGAATTCCAGTTGCGAATTTTTATGTCACATTGTCATCTTTTCGATTCTGCGCAAATAACTACGGCGCATTTTCCTGTGTGTTTGTGTGTTACTCCGGTGCATTGCTGGCGCGACGCGTGCTGGCTGCTGCACTTTTGGTGAATATATATAACGAAGCTATTACCATCGTCCATCCGACTTCTCCCTCCCTTCCTCTCTATAGATACACCTATACATACATACAATAGCTTTGTAAACCTGCTCTGGGCTGAACCTCCTATTATCTCGGTCCCGTGCGTATGACCAGCTCGTACCAGTGTGCGATTGTGTGCAGTGCATCTAAAAATCGCGTATTCATGCGTCGAAGAACTCCGGTACCCGTTTCTGTGACTTCAATAGTGAATCCCCGTGTCCGAGTGCTGTTCTTGATGTCGCTCTGAAACGTGGTCGCTGTGAAAAGCATCTTATCTCGCCCAGCATTTACAATTACGATTCAGTTTTTGGTTCACGTGCTTCCTATTACTGCGTGTTCGTAGGCTTGTAAAACGGTGCAAATTGGTAGTTATAGTTAGCGGGTTAATCTTATTCTTGTTAGACGAAAAACAAAATCAGATTCAATGATGAACGTGGCCGACGGTATCTCAAGAAATGAAATTATCATGCTTCTTGCGAGGCTTTCATTCGTTACGGCGATTGGATTTTTCAGCATGAAATGGATTATGAATCAGCTGGATCCAAATAATAAGCAAAAACGCAAAGCCAAAAAGAAGGTACGATTGTTGCATCACAAGTCCTAATGTTGAGCTTATGGCCCATTGTTCTCCCACCGATGTTAATTATTTTATCTTACATGATATTGCAGGCTGAAGAACAATTAAGAAAATTAGTGACAGCAGATACCATAAGTCTAACGAGATCTATAGATTTGGAACAACTGACTGATTATGAAATGATGATAGCTAGTCATCTTGTTGATCCTAAAGACATTAAAGTATCTTGGAGCAATATTGCTGGCTTGGAAAATGTTATTCAGGAATTGCAAGAAACTGTCATTTTACCTATTCAGCGCAAGGAGCTATTTGAAGATTCCCAGCTTACGCAAGCACCAAAAGTACTTTGAACCTTTTTTTTTGATTTTACAAATGCATTCATTCTGATTATTAGAATTCGGTTTGAATAATATTAACTTATGACTATTTTCTATTTTTTTAAATTTTTCATTAATTTTAGTGTCTTTTTAAATGAGGTTATGTATGAGTAAGCTGAAAACAAAGATACTTTCTTTTTGGATACTTAATTAAAAAATCTATTCATTATTTTTAATTAGTATGGTAAAAATTATTTATTATATTTTCAAAATTTTTTAAAAATGTTATTTGTTATTTTTAAAATAGGGAGTGCTACTTCATGGACCTCCTGGATGTGGAAAAACAATGATTGCCAAAGCTACAGCCAAAGAAGCTAAAACTTGTTTCATAAATTTAGATCTCAGTATTTTAACTGATAAGTGGTATGGAGAGAGTCAAAAACTTACATCAGCTGTATTTTCATTAGCTGTTAAGCTACAGCCATGCATCATTTTTATCGATGAAATAGGTACTTTATTTGGTCTTTATTTTGTATATTTAAATTCCTAACTGATTTACAATTTTACAATCAACTATTCTTTACTCTGTAGATTCATTTTTACGAGCTCGTAACTCTCAGGATCATGAAGCAACAGCTATGATGAAGGCTCAGTTTATGTCTCTGTGGGATGGATTGATAACAGATCCAGAATGTACTGTCATTGTAATGGGAGCTACAAATCGACCTCATGATTTGGATAGAGCAATTTTGAGAAGAATGCCAGCAACTTTCCATGTTGGGTTGCCTGTAAGTTATTTTTTAATGCAAATAACAATTCATACTTATAAAAGTTGTATTGTTTATTCCGTTTATCTCAACTGCTCATATTATTATGTTTCAGAATGAACAACAACGCACACAAATTTTGGAATTGATTCTTCGTAATGAACCAATAGCAGACAATCTTGATATTAATCAATTAGCAAAAGCAACCGAGGGATATTCTGGATCTGATTTACAAGAACTATGCAGAAATGCCTCTGTATACCGTGTTCGAGATTACATCAGAAATTCATAGTAAGGATAATTTTATTTATCAAAATTAAAATAAAATTTTCAAATCCTATAAAATAATTTTAATTTTATAGTGCTACTCAACATCACGATGATATTTATCACGATGCTGTCAGACCAATCACCATGGAAGATTTGCTGACTTCTCTGAAGAAAATGAGATCTTCAAAAGTACACACAGGTAGTTTAAACTTATCTAAGTTAGATTTGGATTAGAAAATTAAAACAACCAAAATGAATGATTGTTTTAAAGAAAGTGTGATTTCATAACATTTTGCCTTATCAGCAAAATCCATAGTTAAATTATAGAATTTTTTATGTTGATTGGAATAATAGTAGATAGAATTGTTTACTTTGAAAAGATGAACAACTAAACAAAAAATTGATGCAAGTTGAACACAGCTGATGGTAAGATTTTACTGCCTTTGCAAGATTCTTTTTTTTTAATTGTTATAGATTTGCAGTTATAAAAAAATAATTTTACACTTACTTTACTTGCTTGGTTCATCATTTCAAATAAGTTTAATTTAATTACAGAGCGCAAATTTTTAAGTCTTAAAAAATGTTAACCATTGAAAAAATATAATCAGAATAATAAATTTAAATTATCAAGTAGAAAAAAATAATGAAAAATGCTAGAACTGGTCATGTCATACCAGTCTAGAAAAGCATAATTTGTCAACTCATGTTTTTGTAGGTGGCATAAGTGATACACAAATTTATAAGTATCGACTAATTTTGGCAGATCAACATTTTTTTGTTATACTAGTTTGTATTTTGTAAACAGTATATTTAAAATATTGTTTATACAATATCAAAAAAGTTTTGACTTATATTAAAATATATTTTGTAATTTTGGTTTTTTTTTCGTACAAGAGTTTTAAATACGAAATGGTATACTCGAAATATGTCCGTGAAAGGGATAATTTAAATCAATTTTATTGTTGTATTTACAATTAGGTAGGCAGAACCCTAAAAATACAATGTGTACATAAATAATCTGAAAATATATGGAATAATACTTTTATCATCAAAAACTTGATTATGTTATTAAGAAAATGTAGGGCAATATAACATAATAAAAAACAAATGGATATGCAAATAAGAAATCTGCTCAATAACTTCATACGTTTTTTATAACTATTTTGAACTAGTCAGATATGCACTGTTCATGTGAAAAATTTAACTAACTTAAAACATTTAATTTGAATGATTCTGAAAAAATATTTTGTAGGTAAGCTTTTTTGCTCGAAATTTATTAGATATTAAATCAATGTGATTGAACTTCTTGCTGAATTGTAAAATAAAGCATGAATTAAGATCAAATAGCTTTAGAAAACCTATACATACATAATAATTTTTTTAATAAACCATTATGATGTGGATAAGCATAAATTTGTAAAATATATATGTAAGTACAAAAAATGGCACGAAGCCATTCATTGATTGAAATCAAACTACTTATACATATAACGTATGTAATAATACTTTGAAATCTGTGTGTTTTTTCCAATCACTTGGACAATACCCACCGATTTTTTTAACTTTGTAAAAACGTTGCGGGCTGTTTGAACTTTCACTTTGTTTATACTAAATTTTTATTTTATAATTTAACAATGGTAGTCAAGATAATATCGTAGATTAACTTAGATCTAGAGGGTTTCATCGTGTATAAATAATTCAAATTTACTGTTTCCTCTCTCATTGATGAATAAGTAAAGAAAATAAATAAATAAAATGTCTAATAATTGAATTGTTATGAATAAAGAAAAGTATAGTAAACTTGAAAAAGAAGGAGGTTGTACATAATAACCATTAACTTGAACGATTTAACATACGTACGTTACAACTCGTAAAAATGTAGTACTTATAATTCGAGTAACTTGTGCAATTCAATTGGACGATTCAGTTACAAAAATGGTAAAAAAAACCTTGTTGGTGAAACCATCGCAAAAATTTTTCTAATCGATGAAATTTCCGAAAAGAATACATGTATTCCAAGCTTTTCGACAAAAACACCGATTATTGTGTAAAAAGTATCCGCGACACAAAATTGTAGATTCTATTCTTTTTTTTTTTTACAAATAAACGATTGTTCGTACTAAAAATCAGCGTTAATTGAATTTTAAAAAATACCACTGTGAACCTTCCCATTCATCGGCGTATTTGTGCGCTTATTCCGCGAATCAATAGCCGTAAATCCAACGATATTATATATTATTGGCCGTGCACGAATACTACCCGATCGGCGAGCGCGATTTCCTCGATAAATAAGTATAAAGAATAATGGACAAAAAGATGCATTCAAATTTCGCGCAGCACGCGCATCGACCAACTCATATAATCTATATAATATATAATATACGCACAACGGAGAGGACAAGAATTGTCATTGTGCCTGTATTATATTATGAAAATGCATTTTACGTTAGCATCGTCGTCGTCGTCGTCGTCGTCGTCGTGTGTCGCGCGATGGGAGCAGCGCCTGCTCCAAGTGCACCACCAGATCGCGCGCGACTCCACGCACTCCTTTATTATTGCACTTTATAGATATCCTCTATATGTATAGGTGCAGTCTCGCGCGTGTATGTGTGTACGTGCGCGTGTGCAGCAACTTTCTCTCGTCGGCGACTCGCGTGCTGCTGCCGCTGCTGCTGCGCTTTGTACTCGTTATACGCTGCGCGAGACTGCAGAACGCAGCGCAAAACACGCAGCACAGAGGAGGCATCGGCGGCGCAGAGTGCTCGCGTGTATTGTGTATATCCTATATACACTACAGCTACTCGCGAAGAAAAAGAGACAGTACCTATGTAAGCGCGAGCGGCGCAGCTTTTATTATATATACACGTTATTATAACGCACCACGCACTGCACTCGGCGGAGAATCATTTTTTCCTGCAGCAAGTGCCACAATTGACACGATACTCCGCGTACTTATATAGACATTGAAGTTCCAAAGTAGAAAAAGTGATACGATTTTTTGTTGTTATTCGGTCGTCGAGTCCTCGACGACGACGACGACGACGACACGCGGTGAGTTGCCGATCGATCCGTCTCTTTAACATAAAAATTCATCGAAAGGAGAAAAAAATAATATCTCAATCTGGAGTCGATTCAAATAGGCCGACAGTGCGAATCGCGCATTTAATACAAGACAATCATTACAACTATATACGAGGCACCGTCGTTGCTGCCACCGCTCTTTTGACAAATCGCAGTGCAGTTTTGTGGGCAACACTGCAACAGCAGCAGCAGCAGCAGCAGCAGCAAACAGCACGCAGCGGCGTACAATAAGCGAGTTCGGAGCGACTAGTATTGTTACGTGGATGTTGTAAATTTTCTCCCATTTTTTACAATACGCATGTGTGTTGGTGCTTGGACTAGTGAATTGGTTACTCCAAAAGATACAATTGTGAGTTATCGGCGCGTCAAGAAGGATCAACGCGGACCAGATGCAGAACTCGCTGCTCCAAAGGTATACACGTTGTACGCGAAACTCGAGGCATTGTTTCATTAATTTTTTTTTTTATCAAAAATGTGGATAAAAATCACGGGGCCGGTAGGTAGGGTCGAAAGTCCATATTGCAATATACAGATAGACGAGCCGTTGTTTTGCATAACCTGATTGTCGAGCGCTGGCACCAAGTGCACGTACACCTATATACATGTATTGCATGCGTCGACACAGTGGCGAGAGAGCAGCCGCGGCTTTTATGTATTGTGCATGTATACACATACGCGTTCGCATCACCGGCGTCTCTCGTTATAACGAAAACTAGCGGTATACACGCGGAAAAAACCATATAGCATATAGATTCCATGGCTTGCACATATCGTTCGAACGCTGCACAAATATAAATGCAAACGTTTCGTACTGTACTCGAAAATATACGCACGACGTCGTTCTGCCTGCACCGCGTTGGCGTTTATAGCTATACGTGCGCGTGTGTGCGTGCACGCGCTTTCTATACATGCGCGTGTTATTCGTTTGCAGTACTTCTTTTGAAAAATGAACAAAAAAATAAAACATCGCTCGTTCTTCGAGAGCATTGTACATATATTGTGCGGCGCAGCGGCGTACACAAAACGCACTCGCATACACACACACACACACAAGCTTATAGGTCTCATACACGTACTGTATATCTATATTCTATGGGTGCAGGAGAGGATAAGAGTCGACGAGAGAAAAGAGAGTGCATCGAGTGCTCCGAGTATACGGTATATAGCATAAATATATACGTGTGTATACGCGCATTTATACACGCACTAAAACTTTGCGGCTCTCTCTCTCTCTCTCTTCTCACTCGAGAGAGGAGAGAGACTCTCTCTCTCGCGAGCGGCACAAGTGCGAAAGAGAAATCACACGATGATAAGTCATATGCTGTATACCTATATACGGCGGCTCCGCGTGCGCAAAAGTTTGCGCTAACCGAACCTGCGCCTACTGCCTCTGCCTGCGCCTGACGTGAAGTGTGCGTGCACATCGCTCTCTCGGCCGAGTCGGCTGAGTCGGCGGAGAGTAGGGCAGCAAAAAATTATTATCATGCGTTCTCGCGAAGAGCAAAAAAAAGGAGCCTAATATTTTCACAGCCGCTGCACGTGCGTAACGTGAAATTTAGTAGAGTCTCGAGATCGGCGACGGCGACGGTCACTTTTTGCTGCTGCTGCCGCTAATATACGAGAGAAAGAGAGAGAGAATAGCCTGCGGGAGAGTCGACTCTCTTTTTGAACGTAGCGGCTCATCGTGTGTCGAGCGAATATATATATACACACTTGTGTTCTGTAATGACGCGGATAGCTTTCTTCTCTCTGTCTCTCTTTCTCGCTATTCTTTTCTCTTTTCGCCTCTTTCTCCCCTCTCGCACTTATAATACGTATGTATATTGTATATGCGTATATTTCAGATGTTTTGGCTAAGAAAGAGGCACACAAACACAGCCGGAGAGCAAGTGAGAGAGAGAGAGAGAGAGAGAGGCTCCAATAATATACTCGTAATACAATTTATGTTTACACACTGTAAAGTGTAAAAGGCACGCTTGGCCCTCGCCGAATTAATTCAATTTTCCGCTCGCCGATGACACTTTCGAGTCGGCACTCGAAACAGAAAGACATTATAAGGGAAATTTGAACCTCGGTTTCCATCGTGGTTTTTAGCAACGAGCAAGAGAGAAAAGGCACACGAGATCGGGTCCAGCTGACGCACTGGACGCAAGTATCATTGACATTGCTGAAAAAGTTTCCTCTTTCCCCCTTTTTTGTCGAATAGACCCGCAAGTTTCAGGGCACAAGACGATAGACCGATAAATTACAGACTCGACGGTATACAAACGTAATAACGTACAAACCATGGGCGCTTTTCATAGTATCATCGACCGCAATGTCAACACCAACGTCAGGTACAGTTTGCTCTCGACTCTTTCACATTTCTGCCATCAATACCGCAATTTTTTCACGTTCACACGCGACTTATAACGTAGGTGCAAAATACGTTTCTTTATAAACGTCCGTTATCTGTCATTAATCATACATACACAGGCGAGAATCATGCTCCCGCATTGAATTCGTATACTATAGCGTGGCAGACAGACTAGACAGCAGCAGCCACATTCGAAAGTCCAAAACAAAGCCGCGAATCATCCTGCTCCATTTCTAGTGACTTTGCCGTCACGTCGCGCACACGGCGCACGCGAGTCGAGCCGCGCGACGTCTTCTGCTGGTCCAAGTGTGTATATAAAATCACTATACATACAGCGCGAATATATTTGCCCGTGTGTGCGCGCGTTGAAGGAGGGGGGGGATAGAGAGCGTGCATGTATACACATTACAATATTCGCGTGCGAATGCGCGCGCATCTCCGCACGTACATACATGTACACGACAGCCGAAGCTCGAATGAGAATTCATATATCCTACCTTTTCTCGTTAACGTGCCCTATATATATCTGTATATATCGCACGTAACGCGTACAGTGTATATAGACATAGACTGCCAAGCAGATTTTATGTGCTGTCTCTCTCGTACGGTTAGCCAGAGCCGTTTTTGCTCTAGAACAAAGCACAGTGGCTTGGCTGCTACTGTACTCTCTGCCCGTGCTGTACATTATATACCATCGAGCATAAGTGCAGTCGTGCCGAAAAAGAGCCGAGGCGATTACTTCTCAATAGCTGTTCCGTGTGCTATCGAGGTATTATCTTTTTTCCTCCAACGTGCGAATTAAAAAAACGAGAAGTAATAAAAAAGAAGTAGCGAAGCAACGAAATAATGACCATTTTCGTGCGAGAATCGCGCGAAAGAACCTATAAAATCTAATCAGTGTGCCTCGTCGTATACGTCAATTAGATCTGCTGACTGCTCGGATACACTTGGACACTCTAGCAGACAAGATAACGATGTCTACGCGGACACTTATATTGTGCTGTGCGACTAGCGATTGCTTCGTTGAATTTCGCGCTTGAACGTGTTCTCTCTTCTCTCGTCTCGAGTTAAAAAGTAACAAAAAAAAGAATTGCCTCACGCTCGCTTTCCTGCGCTATGATTCTGCCACAATAGATATGTCGCTCGACTAGATTGTTATAACCTTATTCATGATTTTGCAAATGCCGCTGCCAAAGATCGATAATCGAGCGACGCTTTTGTCTAATTGCACGCATTATATCGTGCCCCATATTTGCTGCTTCGATCGCCATTTCTGACTTTTTCCTTTTTTGGCAAAGTAATCGGAGCTTCCTTCACGAAATGATTATTTTTTTGGGACATCAGGTTTTTTCCGCTCGTCGCGGTTGAGCGTGCATTTGAGAAAGGAACGAGGGTAAAATCATCATAGAGTATCACGGTACACACGTACACACGCACTCATTTATGTGTATATAACTTAGGTGTTATTCTTACTAATCTATAATCACGAAGCATATTAGTAAAATAATATACTCTGTAATCAGCTGTCATTTCTTTTTCAACAGGATATCTAATCATCATCATTATCATCGCCATCGTCATCATCATTCGCTTGTGTGTAATTGAGATGTTCATCGTCTAGTGTCAACCACAGTGATGCTTTCATCCATCAAAATTGTACCATTAATCAATGAAAATTAGTTTTTCATAAACAGTTGAAGGGAAACTTGTGTGAACTCCTGTGCTTTATTTAGAAAAAACATTATTATTCAAGTGTGCTAAGTGAATAGTGTTTTATTCACAAGCACGTGATATTTAGATATTAATGATAAAGAGATTTGTATACAGTAACCTATGTTAATAATACATTGAAAATTTGCAAAAATTAGCATTTTTTATCTACTGCTACGATCAAATTATCTGTGATTAATTAATTCAATCATTAGTAGATTTAATTAAAAAAAATTTTTAGACATTTTACAAGTATAAAAGTTAATAGTGGTATAGTTAAGTGTCATCTACAGCCTAGTTTCATTACTGCATAAATATCAAAATAAGTTTAGTGCTTCATTCTTGATGAAGATTTTCAACTCCTGCCAGTGCAATCATCTATCGCTCTTTTAAAAAAGTCATAATAGACAATTTGGTTAACATTAGAGACTGTGGTGCAGTTTTGAGAGCCTTCAAAGGCTAATTCATTTGTTATCACACATGAAAAAGACCAAAAGCAAGACCTATGTTCTGCGAATTGATGGGTATATGCTTTTCCTGCAGGAAACCTACAGGTACCAATCGTTTAAATTGCAAGATTGCAGAACGTGCATCAACCTCATTGCAAAACATCGATGTTGGTTCTGATGAAAGCAAAACACAAGATTCGAGTTTGTGTGTTCCCACAACTCATAAAAGAGTATGTATCTAAATTTTGTCACTTATTTTATTGTTTGAAAATATTTCTTAATGTAGTGTTATCAATAGGGAAGACGAAGCTCTAAAAATATCAAAGAAGAAGAGAGTGGGAACGAACTACTTGTTTCGGAAAATAGTGAACAAAAGCAAAATCAACCAGCAATGTCTAACACAATAAGTAATATGAAAATGACAAATCCTATTAAGGGATTGGTCAGTAAACAAAGGAAACGCTTTACAGCAGATGGCTTTGATCTTGATCTCACTTGTAAGATTTATAGCAATATTTCATTTTTAAATTCATGGATTATTTTTAAATGAAACATACTCAATTAACTTTTTTTCAGACATAAAGAATAATTTAATTGCCATGGGCTATCCAGCTGAAAAATTGGAAGGTGTTTACAGAAATCATATAGATGACGTTGTAAAATTCTTGGAAGCCAAACATCCGGATCATTACAAAATTTACAATTTGTAAGTCCTGAAAGTTAATATGTCAATGAGTCAATTAACAAAAATTATTAAGTTTAAATTTTTTTTTAGATGTTCAGAAAGATCTTATGATGTTAGAAAATTTAAACAAAGAGTTGCAACATATGCATTTGATGATCATAATCCACCTGCACTGGATTTAATTCAGCCTTTCTGTGAAGATGTGCACTCGTGGCTCACTGAGCATGAAAATAATGTAGCAGCAGTACATTGTAAAGCTGGCAAAGGTAGAACTGGAGTAATGATTTCTTGCTACCTTCTTTACAGTAAACAATGTTTGACAGCCACAGATGCTCTTAGTTATTACGGTACAGAAAGAACACATGACAAGTAATATTCAAATACTTTTTATTGTTGTGAAGCAAATGGTTTGATCATTTTTTCATTCATATCATGTTACTTTTAAATTTTTTAGGAAAGGGGTAACAATACCATCTCAGAGAAGGTATGTTAACTACTTCTCCAGCCTTGTCAAAGACAATTTTCCTTATAAACCTGTACCCTTATTGTTTCGAAAAGTTATATTAACTTCTGCACCTGCATTTAATGGAGGCCAGGGTTGTAAGTACAAAATTTTTTTCTTCTTTGTCATTTGGTAACAAAATTTTTACAATTTCATATTTTGGTTTGAAGATAAATTTGTGATAACTGAAAACAAGAGAAAAATATATCATTCACCTTTGTATGATGCACCAAAAAACTCTGACACACTTTGTTTTACACTACCAAGCAGTGTGTCTGTCAAAGGCGATTTAAAGGTAGACATGTATTATGTGCCTAAAATGAAGCGAAAGGTAAGTACAATTAAATAACAGTTAACTTACTTTGATCAATTAACTTCTAAATGGTAATTAATTTTTTATAGGAAAAAATATTCCACTTCTGGTTCAATACATTTTTTGTTACTGAAGAATATAAGGCAGAAAATGGAAGCGAATGTGATAGCTTTGAACCAACAGAAAGAACCACCAGAGCACAAAGCTGTGATGCTAGTTCAATGTCAATGGTTCATCCAAGGCCTAGAACTGGTTCATTGGCAAGTTTAGGCTCTAACCCACATAGTCTTGTTCTTGCCATTGACAAGTGGAATTTAGACAAGGCACACAAAGACAAAACCAATAAAATATTCCCACATAACTTCCAAGTAAGTATTCAAATATTTATTTTATTTAAAAATCAATCACGTTATAATAATTATCTACAATTTCAATGTAATTTCACAGGTAAAAGTGGTGTTGGATCGAGTAGTTGTCAGAAATGGAACTACTAATATGACAGAAACTGATCTGGGTCAGAATGTGGGGGAAAATCAAGACAGTGAATCTAGCGAAGCTGACAGTAGCGAATGTGAAACAACTGGTGACGAGGATGGTTGGGAATCGGGTAAGTTGACACAAGAACCCTCTACTTCTGTTGGACACAAACACAAAAACAAAACACAACATCGACACTCGAAAAGAACGAAAAGTTCACCGCAACCAAAACCAAAATCATTGGAAATGAAAAGTCAAGCTTGTCAAACCGATATAACTTTGCTTATCGATTTGCCATCTTATAGATTCAATACCAAAGAAAAAACGCCTAAATGTTTATAACATTTTTTTTTCTCATTTTTTATCAATTAACATAACTTTATGAGCATTAATAGTCGAAAAAATTCGAGCTATTAAGATCGTACCATAAAATAGGCTAAATATAGAGAATCAGTCATTGTAACGATATAAAATTTAACACACTGAACAATAGTTGACATCAAATTTTGGTTACTTAATGTAGAAGTACTTTTATTAATTATCTGTGAGATTCTAGACCTATTCAAAACATCTTCATTGTACTTAAATTAGATATAATGTTCATTGAATTTAATAATTTTTATTAATTCAAAAGTTTTGATACGCGAAAAAATTCATTATTTTTTCAAATAAATTGGATTTTAAAATCACAGCTCAGAACATTTACTTAGCAGTAAAGAGTTCTTATGATTTCAAAAGTTTATTTTTCGGATATGTTCGGACGCGTCTTCACAAGCAAAACATACACGATTACAGACATATAAATTAGAAAATGGCTATAATCAATTGCATGATGAAAATGAGTTTTTGATTGTTGAACACCAAAAAAAAACTTTTGACAAATAGCCCACTAGTCAAAAATTTTCTGCTTCTCATTATAATAATTATATTTTCCATACGAGAAAATAGTTTTTTGGTATTAAATGCAAAGAACTATTTCTTTTGACGCCTAAGAATAGTTTATACCTTAAGCGTTTTTTATTAACAACTTGAATGCATGACTGAACAAATATATTTATCACAGGGCTTCACAAAAAGTCAACACTATTAATAGTGAACTATTCGTTCAAAAACTATTGAGAATTTGTTCTTTGGAAAACAAATTTATTTTGTGTTAGCTACCAAATACAATCAGTCCTATTTCAGAAATGCTGTTATTATTATTTCTATTTTTATCACGATTGTTGAACCAATTAACATTGAATATGTTTACACAAAATTATGGTCTATAAATGAATTCTCAGTGAAATGCTTGAATGAAATGTAATTGCAATTTTTTATAATTAATTGTGCTGTATATACCATTGTTAAAAATCGTATGAATTGCTTCCCCATTGACCATGTATATATAGCTATACAAATTGTATTTGGATAATTTTATATGACTGACTGACTATGTATAAAAAATTTTTTTTTAACAATGTGCATATATAACGACATATATAGCACTTGATCATTCGAGAAGCAATTTATCCTGATGGCTTATGTTATTAAAACATTAATTGATAAAAATCAGCTTTAAACCTTGAAAGATGTTTTTTTTTACCATTTGAAGTTTTTCATGTTAGAGCATGTGAATTTTTTCTGACTATTTAATACTTCATCTTTATACACAATTGTTGAATCATACCATATAGTACACACTCTACCATTACATTTTACTCAGATTTTGTTGTTGTATTCTTGAGCTCTCAGTTGATAATTTGTGAAAAATGAGTTTGTTGCTGCATGAGGACCATGACATGTCGCTCTGTATCAACAACGCGTATTGATGGTAAATTTAAAGCGTGAATTCCCCAGTAAGCTCGCAGTATACCCGTCGTTTGAACTATCCTGAAATTGTTTTTTCGTTTGATTTTGCGTTTGTATATTTAAATCTTCCTGTACTTTTCTCTCTTTCTCTCTTTTGGAATTTGAAATTGTTTTACCTTTCTTGCGTAGCAGTTGGATTTTTGAGGAAAAGTTTTAAATAATTCTGAGAACTTTTAAAGAGAAAAAAACCTACGTTTGTGTGTCTATTATCGCAGTGGACATGGATCGTGGACGCGTTGGGCGTTATAGGCTCCTCACGGATGGCGGTATGATCGACGTGTCGTGAAGCTCTCCGATACTGCTGCGGCATCATCTGCTAGTCTTGCAACGAGCACTACAGCGACTTCTCCGAGAGAGAAACACAACTTTTACACTGAAAAACTGATTTTATGGATTTATACTTGTGATCGAGAGAGAAAAAACAACAACAAAAATCATTGAATAACTTGTTCCATTCTTATGCATCCGTGCGTTGCCCTGATACTTATAATACTAATACTGTCACGTCGATGCGATTTACTGGTCACCCAATGAATTGTCTATGATGTAAATTTCACGCGGCATAATACTTTCCTGAAGACATGCCTCAAAACTGTACATACATATAACTGAAATCGATTACAGTTTTTCACCATAACGTTCAATATTAAATGCAGATACACTCATAAGAAAAATGTCCTTGCAGTTATAATATACATTATTTAGATAATATAGCCTATATATTTATGTAGCCATATAATATATGTATGATGATGTTTGTCATAGTTTTTAGAATTTCATTTCATTTTATGTTCACTACAAATCGGGTCAAACGAACAAAGCATTCAAGAAAATTACGTACCTCCAATCATTCGATATGCACTTAGCGCGATCATTCATGTAAATCTCATGAAAGTATGAACAACCAAAGCATCGCGATAATTCATTAGTGTGCAATGTTTTTTAAAGCATGGTCTTGCAAACACTGCATGATTAAAATAGATGAATAGCTATATCACCGTGCGAACGAAATATTTACCAACTTCCGGACGGAAAAAATTGAGACGATTCTTTTTTCATCCAACTAACGAGATAATTTTTCAAGACAATCCAAAAAGAGAACTTGAGCCAAACATGTATTACTTGTGCTAGCTGAGAAAGATATATTTGTAAATAATTTGACGTTAAAGAATCGTTGATGTTGAAAACACATCATCGTTAATAACACTGCTCATGCCATATAGTAATTAGTAACCGATACATTTTTTTTCTATATGTCTTAACAATGACATTTATTTTGAGAGTACTTATTCGATGACTATTTTCCTCTTTTTTCCAAAGTTCAACAAATTTTGCGTATCCCAAGAGGAAGGTTACCCAAATTCACAGTCATGGGTTTGCGTTGAGACAGAAGAGGATCAGCTTCGTGCGTTTTTCGTGTAAAATTAATTATGATTATATATTTTATTGATTGTGCGCTTAGAAATGTAACATTAATCGAGAGCGTGAAAGAATGTATTATAGATAACAAACTATTTTCGTATTATGCTCTATATATATGCGGAGAACGTCGTAAGAGAAAAGAAAAATGTAAAAGTCAATATAATGTAACTATCCAAATGTAGATTTTAAACTTGTGATGGTATGCATGATAGATTACAATAACTGTTACGTTCTAAGACATAGTTTGCAGAACGTCAATGTGACTTAATGAAGAGTAGTATGAGTGTTTTAAATAAGAGAATCAACCCTGTGATTTATGCAACTCACACATTTTCAAGCCTTTTTGAGTAAATTCATGCAGTGCAAAATCATATTGGATGGAAAACTTACGAAATTCTAGTCACGTATTTCAATTTTTTTTTTGTTTTCAAAAATTATATTTTAGAGAACGAAGTCGATGGATCACTGTTATGAACAGTGATCATCTTCGCCCTCAAATGATTAAAATGATCTCTTTATAAAAACATAAGTAATGTAATTCAACAGTAAAATCATAAAAATATTACTTGTGTGCGTCGAAAACATTCCATCTTGTCCTACCATGTAAATGTATATATTTTTATTAAAGGCGTCGAAAATGCGGGAAAACTAAAAACGAGCTTGTACGGGATGATAACTAATGTTAACTTTATTTTACAATTTAAAGATGTAAATTCTAATCGTGTAGATCTTAAAAGAGCTGAGTAGTTTTTATTGTTGAAGCGCCGATTTTTAATTTTCAATCGATTTTTAACCACATTTCCATATCTAAAATTAAAATTTGATGATATTTTTAGATGTAAACGATCATAAAACCTAGTAAAATTTTTAATTAATTGTGTAATAACGACGTGCTCCTATGAATTGTTTTGGGACAGTTAGATTAGAAATTAATTAACTCGTCCTATTTCTAGGTTTTCATTGGGAACTTTTAAATACGCTCAATTTTGATAAAAAAAATATCATGACATGTACTTCATCTTGTACATGAATTAAAACGAAAATAATTTTAAATAACACTATAGTGTCCCTTAATTTACTAAAATTATTATTTTTTGCCTTCCTCCCTCCTTTCAGATTGCTTCAATGGGCCAAAAAATATTGTTGGATGACTATTAAAAATTCTTACTTAAGGTTTTTTGGAAACTTTTTACTTATTGATCCAAAAATTTATCAGAAAAATTCTGCAAAAATTCAAGCTTATTCTTTAATCAATTTTAAACAATTTTTCTTTATTTTAAACAATTTAATTTATTAATTTAATTAATTTTAAACAATTGAAACTTTATTTCTTCATATGCTTACTCTGCGATTTCTAAAATCACAAGGTCTGTAAATGATTTAAATCATAGAAATGGGAGCACTTGTCAAAAAAGTTAATAATTTAAAAAATGTTTAAAATTAATGTATGAATTTTTCCGAATTTTCCTGATACATTTTTTTGAAAAATTAATTTATTCAGAGCGTTCAGAAAACCTTAAAAAAGAATTTTTTAATAATTATCTGGTGACATTATATGACAGGTTGAAGCAATATTAATAAGGGGAAAGCAATAAAAAATGAAAGTAAATTAAGGAACATTCGAGTGAACACAGTTTATACTGAATTCATAATAATACGAATTATAAAATCTTCAATCAAAAAAACTGATATTCAGGCTAAATAAATATAAAGTATAAAGACAAAAGGAATTAGAATTATTTGTTGAGCATTCGAGAAAATTTCTTGTACAACTGCCCTCGGCTTGAAATTAATCAATTGATTATTCGAGTATACATTTAATGAAACATATTTATTCAAACTCTGAACAATTGTGGTTTGTCATTTATATCAATATTAAGTCCTGAGATTTATAGTAAATGTAATTATAAAAATTCATATACGAGAAATATTTAGTGAAAAATCTGAAAATCCTTCTATTTAATCTCAGTTTTTAAAAAAATACGTTTTTTACAAATACTCGCCGTTACTTTCTTTATTTAATTTTCAAATTGCATCAATGATATACCACCGACCTAGTAAACGTAAACACTACAAATTATATTTGGTAATTTTTTCTCGTTTATACGCTGGGCGAATCGTTTAAAAAAAATGTAAATTTCCGTACAAATTTAGTTGATATTAATATCAATCGGGTCTTGGTATAAACGCGAGAAATGGATGAACGAAAGAAAGGATACTTTTTAATAAATGTAGGAGCTTATTCTTTGTACGAAACTGTCTGTGTTTCTGTCTCTTTGTAAATAAATAAAGTAGAGAAGTGCGTTACATAATTATTTGCTGATACAATAGTATATTTTTATTTGTACGTCTTGGATACTAGTGCGACAAGCTGTATTGCAAATAACAAATTAGTAAAAAATAATAAGATTGATAATTTAGAAAAGAAAATGTATGTAATGTATATTTAAATACCATATGAATATATATATATTTTAAGGTACATATAATAAATAGCGAAGATCCGCGAGGGCGTGAAAGATTTTTTTATGCCTGTGTACGCATAATGTTGATTTTTAACACGTTTTGCAGTTATTTTAGCATAATTGTAAAATCTCAATTTTTGCCCGTAACGAACAACCAGCAAACTTTTTGATGTGAAACATCTATATTCGCGTTTGGTATCAGGGGTAATTCATTTCTCTCTGTGTATTATACCTGCGATATTACCTAAAAATAAATGATTTAATTTGTTATCGAGCGACAGCATCTTTTGACGACAACGACCATTGCGTTGTTTCATGTAATTTATTTTGAATATTAAGAAATAAAACGAATGACAAATGTTGGCAACAATTGTTGAAATACTTTATTACACTTTGTATTTTATGGGTACGTTTATTTTTTCATCAGTTATATTTTGAACGGAAAGTGCGTTCTTACATTTTTAATCGTGGCATTTGATTTTTCGTTTCAAATTTACTTTTGGTTCTTCAATTTTAAAATAAATATAAAGAAATTATAATTTAAGTACAAATCTTCAACGATGGTCCCTATTTTGTTTTTAAAAGGATTCATGAAAATGATTCCTTTATCCATTATCAACTCTTCTTTTTTCATTTAAATTTCTAAATTCCTAACTCTGACTGACAAACATCTATCTCTATTTGCAGGCGAATCAACGTACTTGTGACTCAGGAAGAAATGCATTGCTTATCAACAGCTAGATAAACGAAAAGGCGCCGAAAAAGGTCTTCAGTGCTGACATACATACGTTCCGATCGTAGTGATGATATTCTTTTTTTATTATAAAAAAAAAAATCAAAAACTTGTGTATGGCGAGATGACGAAGTACTGTTTTGTGAGCGCACATTGTGATTGTTATACACGAATTTATCGTCGTTATTATCGGTGCCGGCGATCAGCATCATCGTTAACCAATGCATTATAATAATAATAGCGTTATTGTTATTATATCGCGCGTATATTTTTATTATTACACTTAAGAGAGACCTATAGTGAAAATTGCTATGCAAGCTAGGAAAATTTTGCGGAATAAACCTGTGGTGGTTTTGTAGTATAGAATGTAGTAATCTTTATCAAATTTTATTTATTTTTATTGCTAAAGTTCAAATTATAGTATTCTATGGCGAAAAACCACTATAGTTTGACTCTTTGAAACTATTTCTATCGAACGTAGCAATTATTACTACAGGCCTTTTCTTTGTGTAAGTATACAAAAAAAAGATTTTTGTAGAAAGTGTTTTAAAAATAAATTTTTGACGTGTACCTGCTTATGAAATGCTAACGAAAGCTCTGAATAATAAATTACTTTGTACGATGTATATGCTAAACATGTTCGCGCATAGATATTTCATTTTAATTACAATGAGTTCCTTGAAAAATAATTGAAAAATAATTGAAAAATTGGCAAGCTTTAAATTTCTTTTAGCACTCGCGGGCCAATCCTCAGTTTTAGTTTCACGGAATTCCAATCAGATTCGTGCGTGAAACTTGACGCACGTGCTCTGTTCAAAGCGCGCATAAAATGCCTAGTACCTCTATGTTTAAAAAACAATTAAATATATTTCCTCGATTTTTCATATTATATTTATAAATTAATATTAATGATTATCATGTAGTTCGTGATTGTATTTGTCTATCGTATACGACGCATCTTGCAACCATAACTGTTTTTTGCCCGATGGAAGTACGTTAGATGTTAAATGCTCCAATTTAACTGTATTGTTACGTTCGTACATCATATCTCAAAAAAACCAAGCAAAAATTGTTGAAAAAGTAACCACGTGGTTCGCCAGTATTTAGTGTAGTAATTGAAAACTTTTATTATTCACTGCATAAAATTTTATTTTGATCAGAAGTCGTAATATTAAACTTAAACTTTCCAACGAGTATCAAGTTTAGCATTTCGGTACCCTTGTGAATAAAAAAAATGTTTTATACAAATTTTTTAGTGACGATGCAAATAGATTTTTAATTTTATAGTACTGGCGAAAGAAAGAGAAAAGTAGTTTCCATGAAATTAACGATAAAAACATTTGTTATTAATATTTCGATCCACGCCTTTGTTTGAGCGGGGTAGTTTATAAGTAATACTCGTGATATTATGGATATTATGATAAAAAAAAACGAGTAATTGATTGTTGAAGTTTTGTACAATTTTGATACAAAATCGTTCCTTTGCTGTTTCGGAATGATGAAATTAGAAGGCACAAGTGCAATACTCATGTATTTGGAATTTTTGTGTTTGTTTTCAAGTAGTTGTTGATAAATGAAAATCAAATTTTTATTGCACAAAAACTTTTCGTTGGAATCATAATGAAAAACGATTACTATAATTAAAAAAATTACAATTTAATTGAAAAAAATATAGTCATTAAAAATGAAAACTATAATTTTTAGAGCTTTCTGCAACATTTTAAAAAACAAACAGATGGAGTAACCACAGCGCTACTTGGTTTCAACATTTTTAAGATTTAATGAAAAGCCACTGATGTGTAATACTTAGATATATAAAAAATTAAATTTTATAATAAAAATTACCTAAAGGTTTATTTTTTGCATAATGAAGTATGCTAGCAAATTTTTTCATAAATAATAACAATATTTATTCCATTTTTTTATATTTAAAATCATAAAATTAATTATATTCATTCATTCATCTTCCACGTCCTCTACCTCTATTGAAACCACCCCTTCCTCTGCCTGAAGATTTTCCTTTTGGAGGAGGAGATTTTGGTCTTAACGCTTCAATTCTCTCTGTACATCCTGTTGTTACCTGATTATTATTAAAATAGCTATTATAGATATCAGAATTGAAATTAGTGTTTGTTAATTCTGGTCCAACTGTTAGCCAGCCAGGTCTAATGGTACTATCTCGTCCAAAAAGATGTAGCCTAAAAAAAATTCTCTTATTAGTTGTGGAATAAATGTTAATAGTTCAATAAATTTACCTTCTCTTTCCAAGACAAAAATGTTCAATTATATGGAATATTTCAACAGGTTTTTCAATAGAGCCATATTCAGGTTCTTCGGATATAATTAAATCTATGTCTACATTAGCATGTATAAAATCACCATCAGTAGATCTTCTAACAGTTCCTTTAATACCCATTAAACAATGTTCTTTAGTCCTTTGTAACACAGCTTTGCTATCTAAATTTTTGCTGTGACCAGGATTATTTATATTTGTTCTGATCCAACATATATCTTCACAGCGTCTAAAACCCCACTTTCTCAAACAAAATCTACCCATGTCTAATCCATCACTACTACCACACCACAAAAACACAAAGCTTCTATTTGCTGATACTTCTCCAATATCAAGTTCCATAATCTGTAATAATAATATCATAAAAAAATTAGAATTTATCAAATAATTTATTACAGAAATATTTTCAACTTGGTTTTTGCTTACCTGATCCCAGTTCCATAGTTGAACATTAGTTGCTCCACAAGTTCTTTGATACTCTTCTAATGGTGGTTCAATTAAAATGACATCAGATTTACAATTTAAATCTTTTAGGTTGAAAGTAGATAAATCTGTTTTTAAATACATAGGAGGTGTAGCAGTTTCTGAAATGAGATCATCTTTGAGCTTAATAAGCTCCCTTAGCTTAGGATACTCTTCAAATCTGTCTGCAAGACCAACATCTCTAATAAAATTTTGAGGACGTTGGCCTGTATCGATAAAATGTTGACAATAATCATTGTGCGGATTAGATGATTGTGTTCCCTTCAAAAAGGTTGATGAGTCGGTGTAAACAATTTCGTCGGCTAATACTGTATTGTCATTGTTTTTTTCATTTTTGACTTTGCTCGAAATCGCATCGTCTTTATCTTTTGGCTTTTCGTAAACTTCTGTGCCGAGTATTTGTCGCAATTCGTCGACGCTCGAGACTCCCAACTGAAAATAACAAAACCCATTATCGCCCCAATTATGACATGATCATTCGGCAAATTTCAAAACATAACCTGCACGTCAGTGTCAAATGGATAAAACCAAATAAAAAGACAAGGTCCATTGCAAAACTTACCGTTTGAGCGAGTAGTTTTTTCCTTTTACGGGAACGTTCCCTTATTGTTTTCATCATTTTTATCACGAAACTTAATAAAATCTAGTTAAAGTATACTATTTACAAATTGAATTTTGTAGATTTGCAATAATTGCAATCGGTGGCATCGGTAGATTACAGACTGCGACAGCGTTATCTTATATTTACTTCGGTGTTTCTGCCGACTGCCACAAAATGCCAAACACTGTGTTTGTGCATAATAGTGACATCTGGAGGCTACTTTTGAATGTATCTTTAAAGTTCGGCTCTGGTCTGTTGCAGTTAGCGGCTTCACCACCACTCTCTGTGCTTTTGGGCTCTGCCGACTGCCACGCTGAGAGATCATTTCGTGTTTCATCTACACTCCATACACTTGCTTGCCGCGAGCACGTGTTGGCTATAACCTCAGTTATTATTTTAATAATTAACAAAAATGGAAAATACAAACAAACCAGAAAATCCAGAGCACGTTGACATGGACGTTGGTCAGTTGTTGATTTCAGATTTTAACAAAGTTAATTTAAAACCAAAATCGAACTGGGAAAAGGTCTTGACTTCAACGACGAGAGATAATGTTCAACTTTTAGTCAATCAAATCTGGACCTTGCCGGCGAAGTGCATTGAAGAAGTAATTGTTACAGATTTACCAAAACCCACTTACGTTTTGCCCAGATCTCGTAAGGTACCAAATCCTAAAGCACTCACAAAATGGGAACAATTTGCCAAAGAAAAGGGCATTCAGAAGAAAAAGAAGGGCAAATCTAAACTCCAGTGGGATGATATTCTCAAAAAATGGATTCCAACACATGGTTACAAGAAGGTTGAAGCTCAGAAAACTAATGAATGGTGCATTGAATATAAAGAAGGCGATGATACTGATCCAAGAGAAGCTTTGAAGAAGGCTAAAACCGAGAAGGTAGCCAAAAACGAACTGCAAAGGCTCAGAAATCTTGCCAAATCCAAGAATATTAAAGTACCAAAAGTTGGAGTACTTAATAGCGTTTCGGCTAAAGATCCAAAACTATTGGAATATGGTGCTAAGGTATGAAAATTTTATTAATAGCATTATGTATATTGTAGTTGCTCAAAATAAATTACATGTATATTTACATTTATGTATATTTTCAGGTTGCTGAAGTTTCTACAGCTTCACTAGGTAAATTCACTGAAAAGCCTCCACGTAAAACTGATGGTAAAGTCACTAAAGCCAAAAATAAATTGAAAAAGAAGAAGAAGAATACTACTGGCAGAAATCCTGGCCGAGCTGGTAAAGCACCAGAGACAGCTTCATCGAAAAAGCCAAAAGCTGGCAAAGGAAACCGTGATTTCCGTAAAAAAGTTGGTGGAAGGAAACGAAGGAACTAGCCTCATTCAGTTGATGTGTATATAGTGTACTTAGTTTAAATTAGCTTCAACAATTTTCAATTTCAATAATTTTCAAGTAAACAATGTGAATAAACTGTGGTACAGTTTAGTGAAAAAGAACTAAAGATCGTTTTATCAATAAATTTATAAATTTATCATAAATTGTTATTTTTGTTTTTATTCAACAATCAAAATCATATTTGAGATGGCATATAAGAAAAAGTCGCATATTATTCATCATTTGTGCCCCAAAACAATGAAATCTTAAATAATGCTTCATAAAAAATTCTCAAAAATTTTTTCATAAACAGTTTTTTGAACAACATTGTTTCTCATTAAAATATTTTTGGAAAATTTCAATGTTTTAGACAGTAAAGGAAAATCAAGTTTTCATTTCTTAAATTTCATTGTATTTATTTACTTTAGCGCCAGAAAACGTTCAATGTAAGAACAAATTACGAGTTTAAGGTGGTTAATGAAAATCTATAAAATGCCTGCATTTTCTACGTAATGTTTCCATGATACACCATAAAAGTAATAAAATCAAGTAATGTATTGAATCATTTGAAATGCAGAGACATGCCAGATAAAACCAATTACACGTGAAACCTTTTGCGAATAAACATTTTTTCTGTGCAACGCATATTATGCATTGACATCCAGTTTTATCTGCTCCACGCGCTCGTGTCAAGTTTTGACTCGATCGGTTGAAAATTTCATAAACAAAATGCGCAAGCTTATCGCCCATGTATGTACATTATAATAAACAACTATTGAGAAAAAAATCGACGCGCACCGATTGACGAAATTATTTATAAACAGAAACCAACGAAATTTGTCGCCCGCAGACTGCGTCAAGGGTCATTATAAAAGCGCAGACGATAACGATGCGTATTGCGTAGTTGTATCGTTTTTATCGCGTTATTCATATTTGTTCGACAAATTTTGTTCGGTGCGTGCGACGATCCACGTGCAAACACAATGTGCAAATTTTCTCGTTGTAAGCTCAAATATTGTTTTTGGCGCAGGATATCGTTCAATTAGAAGCGCGAGACAATTGGTTCGGAATAAATGATTTGGAAAAAAATTACAATTAGAAGACTGCTCGCATGAACCGACCGAGAAACATTTTTTACGTGACAGATCGCACGATGTTCGGTACAATCGATATTGAGAAGAAAAAAAATGGTGTGACTAAAGATTAAATGTTGCAACTTGAAGTGTTAAACAAGAAGAACCCCCCCGCGAAAAAAGGCGACGCATCATCTTGGGCATCAACGCGACGCTTCATACGGCTCGTATGTGAGCGATATGTCATGCATCATCGACGGCTAACGTGATAAAAAAATCAACACGATGCGTGGCGATGTGGTCGTAGCAGGCGCGCGATCGTGATACACGCACACGCACTCAGAGGCGACTCGTGAGCTGTGCTGCGCCAGCAGAAATGAAAACATTTGCCTTTTGCCTTCTGCTTTGTATGGCACTGCAACTGCACGCGTAGATCAGCTGAACGCTCGAGCCGAGCAGCTGCACTCGAGCTCGAAGCTCTCGGTGTGGTAAATGGCAAGACTGGTGCACGCGGCGCATACACGCATCATAAAAGGAGAAACGCTCAGCGGCAGCTCACTTTTATACATATATATTATAATACTGATAACCTTCGGTTTATCACCCGCAAGCATTATAGCAACTACACACATCGCGTGCATACGTGTGTGCCCCCTTCCGACTTTGGAGCGACGACAATTGCAGGCAGCGATGAGTATAACTCCCGCGGTGCATCGCTCGAGCTAGCCAGTTTTCGCCGATTCTCTGCATAAGCAGCACAACTCCGACTGCGATTGACGTTTCGACACGTAACGATACGTGACTTGTACCTCCCGCGCACGCAACGTTCAGTGCTTCGATAGTTTTAGAGAACAGCCGATACGATAGAGCATAAGCCTCTTTGTGCTTGCAGTTTTGGTTGCTCAACGTTCAGCAACTAAACTACGCAATAGTAAATAGAATATACGTTTTACAAGTGGCTTATTACACGTAGATAATTAATACATAGTCGTTGGGAAAAGCTTTTTCACCACCGACCTGGGTTCACAAAGAGGAATGCAAAAGGACTGCCGAGATTGTCTGGGTATCAGATACCGAATCAATTCGCTGGATAAAAGGTGGAAGTGGCTTCATCAAACTCTTGCTCTGCATAAGTACCTCACCATCACCGCCAACGAATCCAACTTTCAGAGCTACTCATCTAAGCCAGCTTATTGAGACATTATATATCAAAGCGAGATTTTAATAACTTTTGGCAGCTTGACTCAAACTCTAGAGTTTAGTTGACTTCATCATTTATTATTGTGCTCACCCAAAAAGACTGAGTGTTCATATTTGTCTCTAATCATCCCAGTTGAAGATCCAATACAACTTTGCGGTTACAGATTATTGAATTCTTTAAAAAGACTGATATTTTTGTATTTGGTAGACTTAATAGACTATTAGAGATATCTATATTTTTAATTTAACTAAGATAGAGATTCAAAATGTCTGTGATTATTAAATCCAGCTTATTCAAGGCCAAGAGCTTCTACAGTAAGTTTGGGTAAGTCAATCTTCTTATCTTTCATCTGCAATATGCTTGCTCATCTGCTCGTTTTTCGATAAAGAAAAATGTATGGTTATCTTTGGAAAATGTTTAAAAATAAATGAACTTTTTTTCATCTGACTTTGTTGTCTTGGCTAATGAAGCACTTAAAAATGCCAAAAGTTTCATGAATTATGTAACATTTAAACATTGTAGCAGCGCTCTGAATAGTTTTTCTTTTATCAACATAACTATGAATTTTAATATTTCCTTATGCTCGTCAGCAACTTTGTGCTATAAACATCTTTTTTTTATCATTACAGTGACTTTACTTTACTGACAAGATATGCATCAACAACGAAAAAACCTCTTGCACAAAATATTCCTGAGGAGGAAATAAAAAAATCTGTGTTCATATCTCAATCGACTGATATCTATACAAACTTGGCTCTGGAAGACTGGTTCTATCGTAACTATGACTTCAGCAAACATCACATCTTACTACTCTGGAAAAATGATCCATGTGTAGTCATTGGTCGTCATCAAAACCCATGGCTAGAGTGCAATGTAGCTGGCTGCGAGCAAAAAAATATCTTGATAGCAAGACGTAATAGTGGTGGTGGTACTGTCTACCATGACCCAGGCAATCTCAACCTGTCCTTTTTCACACCTAGAGAAAGATACAACAGAAAATACAATTTGGAAATCATAACTCGAGCTTTATTCAGACAGTGGGGACTAAAAGCAATTATCAATAAAAAGGAGGATATCATAGTGCAAAATGAATTTAAAGTAAGTTTTCTTTGTTCCACTGATTTATGTGTAAATGTGAATCGAGAATTCTTGCCAGTCATTGCGACGACTGTTTGTGATAGGAACGATTTTTTCATGAATTCTCGTTGCAGATATCTGGTACGGCTGCAAAATTGGGACGTCCCAACGCTTATCATCATTGCACGCTGCTCGTCGACGCTAAGAAACAAGATTTGAGTCTCGCTCTGAAAAAAACCGAGGTAATCATACTCGTATTAATTTTCAATGAATAATACGCGAGTTGTTGCGCTGGCAAAAAATAGTTCTCCACCACGCGCTAATCAAGCACAATGACTCGTTCTCGCTATAGTTTACGATAAATTATATCTCTTTCTCTTGTTTGTTGACAGACCGGAATAACAACGAACGCGACGCAATCCGTGCGTTCTCCCGTGAAGAATCTAAGCGAAGTCAATTCACACATAAAAATCGATCACTTGCTCAATGCAGTCGGCTGGGAATATTTACGCACGAAGGCAGTGACTCTGCAGGATGGTGGGCACAAGCTGGTTGAAGATCAAAAAGGCTTTCAAATGATCAATCCGACCGAGGACTGGTTCCCAGGTATCGATCAACTTACTGAGGAATTCCGCTCCTGGGACTGGACTTTCGGCAGATCGCCTAAATTTACGGTAACGCGAGTTCTCGAGGCGTCGGTGCCCGATGGTGGAAGGCACATAATCAAACTCGTCGTCGAGGTTGACAAAGGCATCGTGCAAGACGTCAAGATGACCCTCCCCATGGACGACAATCAAAACGCCAGCGTGATGACGAATTTACTAGGCAAACGTTACAGTCATGAGCTGACCGACAGCATTGTTGAGGCGACTGGATGCAAAGTCGTAGCTTACGACGTGAAAGACGATCAAAGCGACGTCGCGGCTATCTAGCCGAAATCGAAACCTGGTACACCTGATGATCGGTCTTGACTCCTCTTTGATCACTTATTGTGTTTTTTATTTAATATACTATTCGTTGTTGTACTGTAAATTATTAAGGTCAGCTATTGTGCGTGTTATGTTTGTAAGATAAATTGTTATCGGTGCGCTTGTTAATAACGATAAAACCAAGTTTATGTATAACGTGTTTCTTAATTCATATATTTTTGTTACAATATAATTATATAATTAAAATATATAAATATATATATTATATACACTGTTACTAAATATGTATTAGAATAATGTTTTGGCTGAACATTAAGACACATTTGTGAACCTTATTCCTGCACTGGTGTAATTCAGTCTAAAAATTACACACTCTCTAAGCTCGAGTAATAACAATGCATACACGGCTGGTATGTCTCCGTGCGTGTGTGTGTGGGAGATGATGCAAATCATTTTAGTAGAAAAAGCTCTACGTATACACACGTGTCCGAGACAATGAAGCATAGCGCGACTATCACGTGATTTCTCGATTCCAATAGCCGCGCAAATGTCAGAATCGCAATTGCAAGACTTCGTTTTAATATAAAACGTCTTGCTCCGTCTACCACGAGCACACGCGCACATACACAGGCGCGCACGCAGAATACAAATACAGACACAAGGCAAACAATAAACATTAAAATATTATCTTATTGATATGCATGTGCAGCGAAAATCCATGAAAAATTCTCGCAAATGATTTAAACGTTGGTCTCGGTAATTTACATATTGCGCGTTGGATCTTCAATAAAATACAGATCTCAATTTCTCTGGTTGCACTTGCTTACGACTAGAAAACTACTGGATAACGTCGCTCTTTCAGAAGCTCAGTTCATTTGCGTCGTTCGTTTCTATTGCGGTTTTACTTAAGATAAAAAAAGATGCAAAGCTTTAGTGTTCACGCAATTTATCGGATAAATAATGATATATAAAAATCGATAAACCATTCAAATTAACGGGTACGAGAGCAAAAAACATCAGTCATTCGCCTCTTATCGGACTCATTCTATCAAAGCGCGTAAGCATAATGCGAAGCCAGGAGATACAAGAAACACTGGGACGTTTGATAACTAAGTTTTTATAAACAAAAAATATATGCAAAACGTAGGTATTCAGTTAAAACATTCACTTATCATAAGTGTTATTGTTCGGAGCTCAATCAGATGATTTATCCTTTCATCGCTCAGTCTTTTTTTCTTAAGCAAGAATAATTAGTTACAGCTAATTAATTCGTTTTTTTCAAGATCAGACAGATCACGCTTAATTTAGACAGTACTTAAAGCTAATAAAAAAGCTCTCGCTTTCTTCAGAAGGCACGTGGTTTCGAAGTATACATATATTTTTTTCTTAAAATATCATTTATAAAAATTTTAATTGTTTTCATATCATGTACTATAACACGTGTTAATAAATATAAGTTTATATAAAAAAAGCTACATACCTAATTGTATGTATTGTATAGATTCATATAAAAATACGATTTTTCATGAAAAATCTTTTTCGTTACAACTAAATTCGTTCGAGATGATTTTTCTCTGACATATATAAATTTGTAGCAAAACTACCTAATTACATAATTAATATCATAAATAAATATACTGCATTTGCGACGCGTTGTATGCCCTTCAGCTTAAAAAAAAAAAATTAATTCGCGTGGGTGAGGGAAAAGAAAAAATAGAGTATTTTGTACAACATTCCTAGCTAAGTAATCGGTAAAAAACATTATCAAACATTTAAAAGTAATGCGTCGCAGTCGTAATGAAAAATTCGTAAAAATCTAGCATGTTCGATTATTCGTTTGACAAAAAAAAAAAAAAAAATCTTAAACTTTCACACGCACGGCATTCAATATTCGTAACCGTATGCATGCACCAATTGAATTGATCTGTCTGTCTGAAAAGTATTTGATATCCTAATAATTTTCAGTTACTGTTGGACGATGCATTGCCACCGGGAGAATCGATTCGAACAGCGGCTCGGTGAGCCCTCTCGGTCGCCATCTGTGGTAATATGAATCTCCCATTGAGGTAGATCCTTGGATAGCGATTTCGATGGGCCATGACTTCGCGATAGGGCGGAGGGGGTGTGCCCGGGCACGGGCTGTTCATGGATCGAACGGATGAGATCGAATCCATGTCACTGTGTTGCTCGGCCTCTTCCGCAGTAGTGGTCGTCGCCGTCGCTGTCGTATTATTTTCCTGTTGCTGATACAGATTTCTGTGGACGCGTATAATATCGTTAATTAAAATTATTTCGTCACCGATACTTTAGACTTTTGAGAAATAGAAAATTTACCTTAGCAAGGAAGCTCTCTGTGAATTCGTATCAGCTGAATTATTGGTCTCTTCGGATTCTTGTCTCATTCTCGGTACTTTGCAGGTAACGGACGTCGATAGCCACGTGTAGGTGACAATGATCGTCAGGGTGCAGCCGAGAAAGAAGCCAAGAATGACGAACCAGCCGGGCGTGACGTTGTGAAAACTGAAGAACGGCTGATCAGCGTGTTTGGCAGCCGCTGCCGCCGCCGCCAACTGATGCTGACGTATGGTCTCCTCCATCTGGTGCCAGGCGGTGAGTTCCCAGTTGTCCGTCTGGTCGTCGTCAGCCGTCTCCTCGCCGACCTTCGTGATGATCGGCTCAGCCTCGACGTTGTTCATGTCGATGATCTTCTTGAAGGCGGCCTCTAGGCCGGGCTTCTCGCAGAACGAGTCGTAGGTCACGTTGCGATTGTTCAGATAGTACTTGAGATCGAACATGGTGGCCTCGCAGAACCATTGATTGCCGCCGAGAGTCAACTTGGACAAGTTCGGCAGCACCCTGATCACGTCACGCTCGAGCTTGATGAATTTATTCCTCGATAGGTCGAGCGTTTTCAGCAATTTCAAATTCTGAAACACGTCCTTTTCCAGCGTGTTCAATTGGTTGCCCGCCAGATTGAGCGTGCGCAGTTGCTGCAACCCTTGGAACCTGTCCTTCTTCAAGTAGGTGATGTAGCAGTAACTCAGATCGAGCTCCTGCAAGTCGAGCAGCAAACAAACAAATGTGATAAGCATCGCTACATTACGAGGGGAAAAGCAAACCTTACAAGTTCTCAAAATGGGATCGGGTGGAATCAGCCGTAACGAAGAACGAACAAGTTAGAGAAGCAGACTACACGGAAAGCCGAGTTCGCGGGGGCGTTCAACTTCCCAACGAAAAAAGATAGCGAATTACACGTGTGTTTATACTGCGTAAGTATGAATTGCTTCGATCGATCGTATCTTAGAGCTTACACTCGTTTCACGCGCTTAATGCGAGCTTGGAATTTCCCGATTTTCCGATCGATGAACGTATATTTTTCGAGGTTAATACCACCGGAAGCTTATGTGCAATAGGAAGGGGTGCAAAGTATAATATAAACACAGATAACCCTTCGCGAGCGCGCGCACAAGCGAACGTGCGATGTAACACGCGTTACGACGACGATAACGTTATTATTATCGCACACAGGGGGAAGGATAGCTTACCTTCAGGGAAATGCTGTGAATCATCGGGACGAACAGGTTGAACTTATTGCCGGCGAGCTTGAGGACGACGAGATAGTGTTGGAAGAAGAAGGCGTCGGGATCGATGAAGTCGATGCGGTTATAGGACAGATCTAGGGCCGTGAGGTTCACCAGGTCGTCGAAGGCCTTCCGTCTGATCTCGTTGATCGAGTTCATCGACAAGTTCAAGTATCTCAGCTTCGTGAGACCAGCTCGCTAGATTACGAGAAAAAATACGACAAAAGAATATTATTATTTATAATGTAAATAGAACAGGATAGAGAGAGAGAGAAAAAAAGAAGTAAATGAAACGCATGATAAACGAAATGTGACAATGGATGTATTGTGATCGTTCATTGGCCTCGTTTTTACCTGAATAAAAGCCGACGTCGGCTCGCGCACGCGCGTAAATATTCATCGGTCAGCGTCTGGCCGATCGTTTCAGGCTAAACGCGAGTAATTAAGCATTTTACGCAAACAAACATACGATGCATGTGTGCGTTTATCGTCTACATAGAGAGATGAATCGAGTCGGACGGATGGGCGATAAGGAAAGAGCGTTTCAATTAAATCGAGGCCGCCGCCGCCGCCGCTACAGCCGCAGCCGAGAACTTTTGAAACGTTAAAGTAGATCAATCGTATGCTTTTTAATTGATATTACAATGCGCCTCGCGCGATTACATATCTCGTGCGTGCGTGCAGCAGTGTATATATGTCTGACTCTGCCTCTCTCTCTCATTGTGCGATGGAGAAGAAAAAAATTGACTGCGCGACGCAATTGTTATTGTTTTCGAACGCACAGTACATACACACACACACACACATAGATATATGTGTATATTACGCATTACATAGCATCGCGTGAAATTTCATTTGACACGAGAGAGATTGAGAGAGGCGCGCGGCGATGTTATCTTATTCTCGGCAAGCCGAGAGTGTCGCGCATATATTATAATGCAAAGCGCAACGGCGCTAGATAGCCTCGCGCGCGCGTTGATATAAAATTCGATCGTCGTATAGCATACGCGACTTCTATTCGTATACACACACACGATGTAGCGAAATATAGAAAACTAAGTTGGGATGGGTTAAGTGTTGCGCGAATCGTTGTAAAATAATCGATCGGATTTATTTTCTGAATACATATTTTTAGGCTCGATTCGTCTATACGTCAATATTAACATGGTGTATAATAAATTGCCAAGTTCTTGGCGCTTTTCGTATCTTATATGGTCGCGATAGAAAGCAAACACGTTCTCGGTTTAGAGTACAATAAACCCGTGAAAAGACGTGGAAGTCGTATAATAACGTATTATATATTGAAAAAAGTGACCTCATCGCGTATATGATGTGAATGTTTGAGACGGCGGCAGCGGTGTCTCTTTCATGAAAATGCCATGCTATATACACATGACTCTTTCCATCTCTCTTTAGCTGTCTCTGCGTTTGCAGAACCGCACAGCGAAAAAAGAGAGAGAGAGAGAGCGAGAGAGAAGAGAAACAGTGTGCGAGAGTCCAAGTATACATATATAAATACACAAACGCGCTCTCGCTCGTACAGACTGCACTTACACACACGCGCATGCCTCTCCATATCAAAAAGGCCGTCAACCTGGCGCCATTCGTATTATAGCGCTATATATCCTCCTTTTCGCACAACTCGCCACTAAAGACTCGGGCTGTGCACACGGGCATTAATTCACGCGAATTGATCCAAAAATAATCGAAATGTTTCTCTCTCTCTCTCCCTTGCCTCTCTTGCTCTCAAACTTCTAGGCGGGTATATGTTTTCTGACTAAAAATGGTGAGCCAGAGTTATGCGCGTAATGTTCGTCTCATCGATCTATCTATATACAAAGTGCGCTGACAAGCGCAACCGCGATCTAGCGCCAGACGGAGCGGAGGGAGCACTTACCGACAATTGTCGATCTTCCAACACGCCGATCGAGTTGTTGGACAGATCGAGGACCTGGACGTAGTAGGGCACCCGGGCGTTGACGCTGTAGAGATTCTGGCCGGCGCAGGACGCCTTGAGCAGCGACTGTTGCCCGATGAGCCACGTGCCGCAGGTGCAGATGCTCGGGCACTCGACACCATTGTTGTCGGGTAGCGACGCCGCTGCCTTGCCGAGGTTAGCAGCCGCCGCCACCAAGTTTTGATAATCCTGCAGCTTCGGCAGCTTCGGGAACGATGCCAGCGACGACGAGCTCGACGTGGTGGCCGCCCCGGGCGAGCAGCAGCAGCAGCAGCACAAAAGTGCTAAGACGGCTGCGAGCAGCGGAACCATCGCGCCAGCAGCAGCAGTGACCAGTGGCTGCAGCACCAGTTCACGTATTATTGTTATACGTAAAAATCGTAAGGTTATGGTGCTCGATCCTCTCGAGCGAAAGGGTTTAGTACAGAAAGAGGCGGTTCTCTGGCTCTGGTTCCGTCTCAGGAACGCGAGGCTGTAACGAGCGTCGACGCTGAGGAGGCGTCCATCCTCGCGAAGAGATTCGCTGCAGCAGCACTGCTCGCCACTAACTCGGAAGCAGCAGCAGCAGCAGCTCCGAGCATTTTATAACGAATCTTCGATCACACGGAACGATATTTTACACACTGTGCGCTGTGCAGCCACTCACTCGATCGTCGCACGCGGACACTTTTGCACCCAACTCTTCCCGCAGCGCATAGAAGAGCACACGATCTTCGATTATCGACGATTAGTTTGATCGTCGCTGTATACGGTCGCGGAGCATCTGTGTATGTATACACAGGCAGATACGAGCTTGTGTTTTTTCTCTCTTTCTCACGGAGATAAACCTGCGGGCGCGCGACAATATACACTAGAGTATACAGCTCACGTACTCTCCCCGACAGAACCGCACACACACTGTGGCACGTCTGGTACTGGCTGTGTTCGGAGTCGCCGTATGTGCGTGTGTATATCGTACGCGTGTGTGCGTGCGTGTGTTTGCGCGACTGACTGCGACTGCCTCCGCATTCGCCACTCGGAGTTCGGACTCTCGTGCAATTTGTATGTAGATGTGTATAATGTGTGCGTGTGCGCTATTCTACAAAGAATCGACGCGGACGATCAGTCAACTAAGATGATCACGAGCGGGGTTCGCCGCCGCCGCCGCCACCGCGAGAGACGAGACGTTCGTTCGCCAGGTAGTATACCAGCAGTGAGATAGAGATGAGAGAAGTGGCGCCACTGCGCGGCTCCCGCAAAACTCCTCCGCCGCTAGAATAATCGGTTCGATTTTGCATTGTATTGTGTATACTAAAATTGTAATAGGTTGTACAAAATGTACAATGCTTCGCATGCGCCTTCCTACAAATCGGTATGAAATACAAAAAGCGTTTTTGTCACGATTACTTGTGAATTTTACGGCTTGCAACAGTCAGACTTCAACTCCTAATGTTAAGCCATCTATCTAAAACTTTTGATGTATCTTCAGGCTCGATTCAAGATAGTACTCAATATTGTTCCAGTTCAAGTGTTCAAAAATCGTTTATAATTTAACTTTTCCACGTCCGGAACACCTTTTTAAATAATAAACCGTTTAGCTTAATTGGTTTACTGTGAAAGTTTTTAAAGAGCGAACCAATTCAAGCTAAAATTAACGCCTTTTTCTATAAATATTGTTATGAATGATCAATTTTAAATATTACGATTAAAAATTACTCTGACACTCAAAATATATGGGTAAGGCTCAGAATTTTTTAAATAAACCTGCGCTCGTATGTCACCGATCTTGACGCGCTTTTGGTATGTTATAGTACATGGTAAAAAAGACCCAAAACCAAAATTTTAGACCCCCTCCCCCCTCCTACCCCCCACTTCCGGTATAAACGTCCATTTTCTATCTATATTTTTTCTGAAGGCCTGAAGCAATTAAAAAATCTGAAAAAATTCACAAAAATACTTTTCAACAATCCAAACAACCTTGAATTTTTTCAGATTTTTTGAGTGCTTCAGGCCTTCAGAAAAAATTATTGAAAATTTTGAAAATTCATATACGGCGCTACGATGCAATACAAAGCCCGATCTTTTTTTCCACTTATTTTTGACATCAAAATACATAACCTCAAATTTTTTCAGATTTTTTCAGACAGAGCGCTGGCGGTTTTTAGCCGAAAAACGCCCTTTTTTTACGAAAATAATTTTTTTAGGGCGATATGAAGCTTTAAAAAATCTGGAAAAATTTTTTTCTTGTTTTTCAGGTCAAAATACATAACCTTGAATTTTTTCAAATTTTTTAATTGAAGGCGATAGCATCTATGGCTAAAAAACGCTATTTTTATGAAAAACGGTTCCTGGAACCCAGAGGTTCCGGTAAAAAAATTTGAAAAAATTTTTTTCGAATTCCTTGTCAAATTTTAATAAATTTTGACCGTCGCAAAATTTCGATTGGAGCTTCCTAGCTCATTCTAGAGCATAACAAAGATTCGAGCGAAATTCTGAAGAAATTTGAAAAATAATGTAATTGTGATGAACGTCTTCAGAATTTCGCTCGAATCTTTGTTATGCTCTAGAATGAGCTAGGAAGCTCCAATCGAAATTTTGCGACGGTCAAAATTTATTAAAATTTGACAAGGAATTCGAAAAAAATTTTTTCAAATTTTTTTACCGGAACCTCTGGGTTCCAGGAACCGTTTTTCATAAAAATAGCGTTTTTTAGCCATAGATGCTATCGCCTTCAATTAAAAAATTTGAAAAAATTCAAGGTTATGTATTTTGACCTGAAAAACAAGAAAAAAATTTTTCCAGATTTTTTAAAGCTTCATATCGCCCTAAAAAAATTATTTTCGTAAAAAAAGGGCGTTTTTCGGCTAAAAACCGCCAGCGCTCTGTCTGAAAAAATCTGAAAAAATTTGAGGTTATGTATTTTGATGTCAAAAATAAGTGGAAAAAAAGATCGGGCTTTGTATTGCATCGTAGCGCCGTATATGAATTTTCAAAATTTTCAATAATTTTTTCTGAAGGCCTGAAGCACTCAAAAAATCTGAAAAAATTCAAGGTTGTTTGGATTGTTGAAAAGTATTTTTGTGAATTTTTTCAGATTTTTTAATTGCTTCAGGCCTTCAGAAAAAATATAGATAGAAAATGGACGTTTATACCGGAAGTGGGGGGTAGGAGGGGGGAGGGGGTCTAAAATTTTGGTTTTGGGTCTTTTTTACCATGTACTATAACATACCAAAAGCGCGTCAAGATCGGTGACATACGAGCGCAGGTTTATTTAAAAAATTCTGAGCCTTACCCATATGTATATCACTTTAATCGAGTGTCAGTAGTTGGTGAAGAAAAAGGGACAGTGAATTTAAAATTTTTAAAAATTAACACAGTAATTGCATCCAAAGGCGGATTAAAAAAGGTTAGACATTTGCCACTGACGCATTTCGAAGGGCATCAATATAAGATTTTAAATTGATCAAAGTACTCAAAAAAAGGGGAAACAATCATGAAAGCTTGTACAAATTTTGTTAATGCTTGTAGTAACAGGAATGTAGAAAACATTTTTTGGTTTAAATTAAATTTATAAATGGTTTCCACGTTGGGGTTTTCAGTAAAAACTTCATCGCGTGAGGTTTCTAAAATATCCAGTAGCCAACTAAATTCTCGCCCCATTCACCTGCATATACAAGAAATTAAAAAAATTCTCGATTAATCGCTGCATGAATATATGTACGGACCACCAAAGAGTATTATTAGTAGTAGCAAAATCTGGTTCACAATAAAGCACCGTAACGACAGTGTACGAAGGTATAATGATAATCAAGAGGTCCGAGGTTCAGACAAGCACAATTTTTATTGAAATTTAAAATATGTACATCAATAAGTATCTATTCATATTGAAATTCATCAATCAATATTTCTTCTCGCAACTATCGTATATATACTTAATCTTTGTGACCTTTGTGGACTGTTTTATGATGAATGAGCCAATTCCTTTTTTGTCAAACTTCTTCTCATATTTGTCGCAAGCGTACACTTTGTGACCTTCATGGACTGCCCTTCGATGTCTCAGTAAACCTGATTTTTGTCCAAAGTTTTTCTCGCATTTATCACAACTGTAATCTTTCTGACCTTCGTGGACTGTCCTCTGATGCAAAAGCAAATACGATTTTCGTCCAAATTTTTTCTCGCACTTGTCGCATGCGTAATCTTTGCGACCTTCGTGTACTGTCTTTTGGTGCAAAAGCAAGTACGGTTTTTGTCCAAATTTTTTCTCGCACTTGTCACACCCGTAATCTTTGCGACCTTCATGGACTGCCCTTCGATGTCTCAGTAAATCTGATTTTTGTCCAAAGTTTTTCTCGCACTTATCACAACTGTAATCTTGGCAACCTTCGTGGACTGTCCTCTGATGCAAAAACAAATACGATTTTCGTCCAAATTTTTTCTCGCAATTGTCGCATGCGTAATCTTTGAGACCTTCATGGACTACCCTTTGGTGTCTGAGTAAATCTGATTTTAGTCCGAATATCTTATCGCAATTTTCACATGCGAAATCTTTACGACCATCGTGGACTGTAATTTGGTGTTTGATCAAATTGCTTCGTTCCCCAAATTTCTTCCCACACTTGTCACATGCAAAGTCTTTTCGACCTGCATGCACTGTTTTTTTATGTCTGATAAGATTGCTTGGAATCCCAAATTTCTTCTCGCACTTTTCGCAAACATAATCTTTGCGACCTGCATGGATTGTTTTTTTATGCCTCATCAGATTGCTTTGAACCCCAAATTTCTTTTTGCACTTGTCGCATACATAATCTTTGCGACCTTCGTGGACGGCTTTTTGGTGTTTTATTAAATAGCTCTGAATTCCAAATTTTTTCCCGCATTTGTTACATACGTAATCCTTGAGACCTTCGTGAATTGTCTTTTGATGGCAAAGTAACTGCTGCTTTGCTCCAAATTTCTTTTCGCAATGGTCACATGCAAAATCTTTTCGACCTGCATGTACTGTCTTTTGGTGGTTTATCAAATTGCTTCGAGTCCCAAAGTTCTTTTCGCATTTGTCACATGAATAATCTTTACAACCTTCATGGAATGTCTTTAGGTGAATGAACAGACTCGATTTTTGTTTAAATTTTTTTTCGCATTTGTCGCATTCATAATCTTTACGACGTTCGTGTACTGTCTTTTGGTGCCTAATCAATTTTGATTTTACTCCAAATTTCTTCCCACAATCATCGCATAAGTAATCTTTGAAGACTTTGGGGACTGAATCTTTCCGACCTTCATGTACTGTCTTCAGGTGAAAGAGCAAATGCGATTTTTTTCTAAACTCCTCTTCGCACTTGTTGCATACGAATTCTTTGCGATCGCCGTGTACCGTCTTTATGTGCCAGAGCAAACTCCGTTTATTTCCGAATCTCTTCGCGCACTTTTCACACAAGTAATCTTTGAAAACCTCGTGGAATATTTTTTTATGATTTACCAAATTTGATTTATTTTCAAATTTCCTTTCGCACTTGACACAAGCAAAATCTTTGCGACTTTTGTGTTCTGTTATTTGGTGTCTACTTAAATGACTTCTGAACTCAAATTTCTTTTCGCACTTGTCGCAAGCGAAATCTTTTTGTTCATTGTGAATTGTATCTCGGTGATTTATCATATCCTGGCAAATATTAAAAACGCACTTTTGGTTGTCCGAAACAACAATGTCGGGTTCACTCGAATTATCTTGAGAAACAATTTCCTCGGATTTCTTCTCACTTTTATCCATTTTAGTGCCTAAATTTAACGATGAATGCTTCTATATAGAATGAGTAAAATTTATTTCTTGGTATTGTGGTGTGTTTCTTAGGAAAGACGACAGTTTACTAATTGGTTTTTACTATAAGCATAATCAGAGTGTCAATAGATTATATCAAAACCGTTTATAATTGTATTGTTTACAATTAAGTACCAGATTTATCTGTATACATTATCCTTGGATTGGAAAATCATACTTCAACAGTTTAAAATTTAAAATTGGCGACGATTTCTTAGAGAAATTTTTTGGCCTTCTAAAATTAAGTATTTCAAAAAAAACATCGAGTTAATAAATAAATGAAGAATGAAAAACTGAAAAATGTTAATATTCATAACAAAATTGGCCGCCCCCACACCAAGGCGTGATTTGCGTGTTTCATAACCCACCACTGATTAGGTTGCAAAAATATTTATGGATAAGGAGTTAATTTTACCTCGGATTCGTTTGCTTTTTTATTATATTTATTTATTAATTAAAAAGGGGTCTAGAACATAGAAAACTTAACGTATTAATACTTTTCAGGCAGTTGCACTTGACTGAATAAACACGCTACCATGATACGCTAATGCATGTGATTTTCGAACATTATTTAACATTTAAAACTTTATTATGCTCCATAATTTTTTTTTTCAAGGTCCATAAGATCAAACTGACTATAAAGGGCTTCATTATGGTGGGGATCTGTGATCCAAAAATGAAAATCTTTCCTTGTTAGTGGATTTGTCGACTACTGATAAATATTTTGGGACGTAAAACGAAAAATCGAATTTCTTTTAAGAATTGAAGCTTTTTGCAGAGATTTTATGAAGCTCAAGTAAAATTTTTAGCTCGATCTATTCTACACTCCCAATATTTCTTGCCGGTAAGTTTGAAAAATATTGTTCCAATATTACAAAGTTTCAAATGTTTTGTATTCGGATTTTACACGAAAAAACATAAAGAGCCCTTGGTACAAATTAAAAATTAAGTAAGTTGGAAATGTTTTTTCCTTATCGAACCACTTTGATGTCGTTCTTAAAAACTAAGTACAGTTGTTCTTTGAAAAAAAGGAACAGATTTCTTTAAAAATTCTAGAGTAGCCCTACTTTTTAATAACTACTAAAAAACTTGAGTGTTTTCATTTGAAAATTGAAAAAATTTCAATCAAAATTGTTGTTGCGATAATTTTGTTGCAGAGGGAAAATTCGTATAAAATACAATGGAAAATCATAGACGAAAGAAATTTAGTATGTCCTTAATCTCAACAAATCTATAATGTATCTTATTATTTATCTTCTGACCTCAAAAAAAAGTTTCAGCACATTTGGTGACCCATACCTCAATACCGAATGAATAGTCATGATTGGTGATGATCGTGATGATAGGCCGCAACTACAGCGTCGGGCGGCCAATAATACCAGATTTGAAACGCGACTGTACTACTGGGCGAGCTTCGTCATACTCTGTCTCTCCATCGTACTGCTGTGGAAATTTGTTTTGGCCTTTCTGACGGCTTTGTAAGAAGAATTTCGACCATGAATGTAATACACAGCGATTATTGCAATGAACTATTAATGTACTTATTATTTCATTAAAGTCTTTTAACAACATTTAAAACCATGATTATTAATTTATTAAGAGGAAAATTAATTTATTAAGGGAATGAGACGTAGTTGATCAAAACAAACTCAACAAAATTGAAAAAAATTCACAGAATTTAAGTACATCTAAAAAAAACTGCTATATTGTTGTAAATAATTTAGCGTTTAGTGCAAGCAATATTTTTTCTCGTTCTTGCCAAAGTATATAATCAATGAAGGTTAATATTATTATCATTGTGTACTTAGGAAGCGTTATAAACAGTAGCTGATTCAAGCGTAAAAGTAATAGTCATAAACAGCTTTATGAAAACAAAGATGACATCAAAGCGCACTGTTTTAGTGGCTAGTATCCTGTATAAACTAGTATAGTTCCTTCAGGCATTAGCTTGCTTGGTGTCACGAAAAAACAACTGAATATCTCTCTAAATTTTTCTCGAAAATTACTTCAGTTCATTATGATAGGTCGTTTTACCTCTGTACATCAGACAGTTTAACACTATCAATGGCACAATTTCATCTTAGTTTAGTAAGCAGTAGATGAAATAATTATAAGGCTTAAATAAGGATATATTGTAAACTACGTTGGAGCCAATGAAATAGTACTGCTCAAAATTGATTCGCATCGGCTCATGTAGGAAGAAAATAAATATGCTTTTTATTAGATTTCTAATATACCAACATTTGAGTAAATAACTGTAAAAACTGATACAAATGAAGGCAAATGAGTTAAAATGTGTTTACATTTTATTGAAAATTCACTAATTAGACATGCCGTAAAGTTATGTAGGGTACTTTAGCCACGACGTAAAATTTTTATATTATTTTATTCTCGAGTAATAATTTCTTCATATGGTCTGACATGTAGTAAGCTCTAGCGCTGTTACTGTTGACTTCATAATCTTCGAGCGCACAAATCAATAAGGTGTCGATTGCTACGTCCAGCAGCAAAAATATTGAATTAATCGCAACAAAGACGAGGAACCAAATGAACAGCAATGCAGTCATACTCTGAGTACTGTCCATTGAAAAGGCTGAGGTCAAGCCCGAGTACACGAGAGCCGAAATGGCCACAGTCGAGATGGAGCAGAGAAATATCAATCTCTGAGCGATCTTGCGAAAGAAAAATTAAATAAATATGTAAAATTAATTTTCAGGCAATTTAAGTTATAAAAAAGGCCTGTGCTGGCAGAAGGGTTGGTGTCACCTACATGGGCCACAATGGCGACATTTTCCCAATTTCTACCCAATAGATTAAATGTGTTTGTCACAGACTCCTCAAAGTTTTGGCCGTGGAGCGCGATGTAAACGTAAGCCAAATCGCTTGTTTTCATAATTTCGTCGTAACAGCCGTTGCAGCACATCGGGCAGTACCGTTGCATGCAATTATTGGGCCTCTCTCTTTGTTTTCTATAGTCTGGTCCCAAGAAAATTCGGAAAACCTTGTAGATTTGCGTGCGCATAAAACCACATGCAATGGAGCCCAAATGGTACCTAAGTTGAGTTCATTTCAATTGCGTTATTTATATGAATCGCGTGAATTATGATAAAGAGTAGACCACTTCAGAAACCATCTACGTTTAAAAGTTGAACTTTTCATAATCACTATTGGGTTTTCTCATAGTCGTTACTACTGTTAACTTTACGTATTTGCTCAGAAGTAAATTAGCAAGGCGTTGCGGGTTTAATAAATGAGAGACCGACTTTATTTTGCCTCCAGTTCAATGCAGTAAAACGACCAGTAGTAATGACTGTGAAAAAAGCCTATAGTACGTCTCACAGGACTAAAGCAAAAGTGTAATATTTACTTTGTTATTAAACTTGTATTAAAAGTATAATTTCTTGATCTCAATTCAAATGAAATTCGAATAATATTTTCATTAAATTTGTCGCCTTGTGGCGATCTTCAAATCTTTCTGATCACTCATTATACTGAATGTGTCGCTTTCTAATCATCTTAAAATTAATATAAAGCTCGTTAAAGCAAGAGCAAAGAGAATAAAATGAACAATTGAGATGTTCACATTTAATGACTTTCTCGTGGAGGAAGCTATGTGATAAGCTCAAAAACGAGTTTTTGAACCTGATATCGTAGAAAAATTCCGTTTACATTATATGTGTGTGTGTTTGTTTGTATGTGTTTTCGCAGTAGTAACTTGCGAATAGAACATTAAATCGCATCGTATTCAACTACATTTATTGCCGATTTTTTCGAAATTTTCGGTTTTTCGTTTTATTGATATTAATCGAGATGAAATAGTTTTTTGAAATACTTAATTGTCCAGTGATTATAAAAACAAGAATGATTAAAAACTTTAGCGCAGTACGATTAATGAAAGAACATAAGGACTATAACGTGTGGTGGGGCGTGAGTGTGAAACAATTCAGAAAATTTATTTGAAGTTAAAATAAAAAAGGGACAAATAAATACTACTTATGTTTATTTGGTCTGAAATGATAGTTTAACCGCTCTTTTTTCCTACAAATATGAAGATATGATTTTTCATTTAATACTAATAAGATAATGTCTAATTAAATTAGTAAATTAGAGGAAGCTCTTTGTCAATGTATTAAAGCAATTTTTTAGTCGTATTTACTTTTCATATTGCAGTTTATACTTTTCTTGGTAAAAATAGTTAAATCTTGAAAAAATGAGTGTTAGAAAGCACTACAAATTTGCCGCACGACCGATAAATTTGATTGACCAATTACTTTTGCTTCAACTATAATTTGAATTAAAATAATTTTACTAATCTATCAAGGGTTTCGATTTTGATGTAAGGAATTTTAACAATTTAGTGATTCAGATATCTACTCAGTAGTTGTTAATTTACTTCCAAGTAATCCCAATAAACCGCATGGCCGTGTATTTGGATACTTCGCCCTTGTTCTTTATCCAGTACCAGGTGCCGTAAGTTCCAGAAAGTATTACGCGGAAGAGAGGGAAATAGAACGTGTTTAGTCTTAAACACCCCAAGAAGTTCACAAAGTGAAAGACAGGGGTGAGGCAAATTAGAAACCATGATTGATTGATCGATTCGATCAGCTCGACAACAAATACAAAGAATCCTGTCGTGATAAGAACAAGCATGCAGAGCAGCAGTGGGAGAAAAAAGAGAGACGGAAAGAACAGCAAAATTCTGGAAACGAAATAAATACATAATTATCACATCACGTTAATTTGAATGTATGGCGAGGGTACGACAGTAAATATGCTTGCTTGGTCGATTCTTGTATGATTTCGCAAGCTACTGGAATGAGTTTAATTTTCATTTTCCAAATCGCTGTTATGATTCCCACAACCAAGAACAAAATTGCAATGAAGATAATTATGTGCTTCCATGTAGTCTCAACGGCCAAGCGATATCCCAAAAAGCATAAGGCAGAAAAAACCATTGCCAATAATACGGAAATTGACACGTAAATCGTGGGCCGAGTTGCAATTCTCAACAAGATTAGAAACAATGAAGATAACAAAGCAGCAAATGTCAAAGTTCCTAATATGATCCATCTGTAATTTTTATTAAAATAATTAATTCCTTTGTTGTTGAATACGACGATTCGCATTAAAATTGATCTTACATTTGGTCGTAAAACGATTTTTCAGCGTTCCATAAAATATTGGTAGAATCTGAATTTTGCCAATTGAAAACTTTCTTGAAGTCAGCTTTGAGTACATCTGTGCAAAGAATTGAACTATCATTAGTGCTTACTTATTCGTATAAATTTGTACAGATATATTCAATGTGAGCTCCTATACCTATAACTGCTAGGTTGATACAGACGCAAAAAAGAAACCAAAAATTTATCAAACTCAAAAGGTCAGTCTCTGATCGTTCCAATTCCCAAGGGCCTGTCCAGGATGGATCGTAGGTTAATTTTGAGCCTGTAATCATGAAATATTTGTCAGACAAAGTATACTTTCTGTACTTATTTTTCAAACATACCAAACTCTTGATGGTTTGACGATCCCATTCTAATGCTGCGTGAAGATGCCATTAAATTTCCAGATTCAAATAAAAAATCTACGTCGAAGCATTCTGAACGAAAACAAAACGTAACCTCTATGAAGATCTGATTTTTACGTATCTTTTGAAATACTGATTAGAAAATAAACAAAACTTAAAAACTATCAAAAATCTTGTTTATGTAGAAATCCCTTCCAGGAGGTTCAATACAATTTATGAGCATGTTTAATTTTTACGAAATGTATTTATCGAAATTTATTGTATAATTAATAATTAATTTACTTATCACAATTTGGAATATTGAATTTTTAATTTATAGTTCTTCATTCATTTTACATTCGTTTTTTAAACCCAGATATACATGTAATGTTATTCTTTTTTAGCCAATAACTAAAAAATCGCAACAAATTCAAATAAAATTAGGGAACTTGTAGGCGCAGCATCATAAATAACGAGTTTCTTTATTTTTCTCTAAAAAAATTTTTATTCAATGAAAATTGGTCATATAATAGTACTTTATGATACTAGTGGCATAAATAACACTTTTTGGCACGGCGTAATTTAGGGCCCGAGCGCAGCGAGAGTCCTAATAGCTGGGCCGAAAAGTGTCCCCTATGTCACGAGTATAGTATACAAATGAATGTAAATTAGTTTAGATTATAAACTGCAATTTTTTAAAAATTTAGGACTGATGATTTAGCCACGAAGTAAAATTTTTATTCTATTATTATATCCTTGAGAAATAATTTCTTCATATGGTCTGACATGTAGTAAGCTCTAGTGCTGTTGCTGTTGACTTCATAATCCTCGAGCGCACAAATCAATATGGTATCGATTGATACGTCCAGCAGCAAAAATATTGAATTAATCACAATAAAGATGAGGAACCAAATAAACAGCAATGCAGTCATACTCTGAGTACTGTCCATTGAAAAGGCTGAAGTCAAACTCGAGTACACGAGAGCCAAAATGGCCACAGTCGAGATGGAGCAGAAGAGTATCAGTCTGTGGGCGATCTTACGGAAAAAAGAAAATGGGAAAGTAAATGTGCAATGATTGTTGTTAAGATTTAAATATTGCCTACACCAGAAGAAGGGATAGGTGTTACAAACATTGGTCGCCACTGCAACTTTATCATAATTTCTACTCCACAGTTTGAAGGTGATAGTTTCGGAATTCTCAAAATCTGTGCCATGCAGCCCAATGTAAATGTAAGCCAAGTCGCTTGTCTTCATAACGTTATCGTCCTGATCGAAGTTGCACATTGAGCAGCTTTCATTATGGAATATGTATGCTGATCCCAAAAAAGTTTGGACAATCTTACAAATTTGTACACGTAACAAATGATTCAGGACGGAGCCCAAGTGGTACCTGCATTACGGTCATTTTTATTGCGTTATTTATAAATCGCGTGAATTGTACTGAGGAGGAGACTACTTTGCAAGCAGCTCAAATAGCTTGTATTTAGTTTAGAAGCTCATTATGCCTAAAAATAAAACTTCTTATAGTTACTTCAGTCACATAGGGTTTAGAAGAAATTTGTTAAATTATTAAAATGAGTGGTCAAAAAGTACTCTAGTTTGCTGAGTGACGATAAACCTAATTATTGTTTCTAACTCAATTTTAATTTGGAAATCAAAATATTGAGTTATTGTTAAGTTTTGGCATGTGGGGTGCGACTGTGTGGGGCGCTTGATGGGAGAATATCGCTAATAGAAATTAGTATTTTTGTACATATGGCAGTGGTAGCCGATCAACTGCCAGATCGGAAAGTCAAAGCTGGACCTCAAAAGCCCATCAAGCTCTTGACACAGTCGCGCGTCACTCGCTTTTTACGCTGACTAGCAATGTCGAATTACTGATGAGAACTTAGTCAATAAATATATAGTTATTTTTTACTTGATTGGCTAGAGCAAATAATTTATTATCCTCTCATTGAACACAACATAATTTTTTAAAATAATTTCAAGGTTTATGGTACTGAAGTAACTATTAGGAATTTTTTTATGGGAACCTACGCGTAATTTTATGTCTTTACTAGTTGTCAGTTTACTTGAAAGTAATCCTTGTGAATCGTATGGGCGTAAAATTGGGTACTTCGTGCTTGTTCTTTGTCCAGTACCAGGTGCCATAAGTTCCAGAAAGTATTACGCGGAAGAGAGCGAAGAGGAACGCATTAATAAAGAAAAAGCCGTAGATGTTCCAAATGTAGAATAACGGGCAGAGCCAAGAAGGTAAGATTTGATCAACCGATTCCATACATAGGACAACGAATACAAAGAATCCCGTCGCCATAAAAACAAGCGCGCAGAACAGCAGTGGGAAAAAGACGAGAGATGGAAAAAACAGCAAAGTTCTGGAAACGAATTAAATACATAATTATCATATTACGTTAATTTGAATGTATGGCGAGGGTATAATAGTAAATATGCTTGCTTTGTTGCTTCTCGTATGATTTCGCAAGCTACTGTGATGAGTTTAGTTTCCATTGTCCCCAGACAGATTGAGATTTCCAGAATCATGCACAACATTGTGGTGAAGACGATCCCATGCGGCCATGTTGTTTTGGTGGCTAATAAATACCCCCAAAAGCATGAGGCGAGAAAAACGATTGCCAATAATGTGAAAATTGACACGTAAACTGTAGGCCGAGTTGCGATTCTCAACAAGGTGAGAAACAATGAAGATAACAAAGCGGAAAATACCAGAATTCCTACTATGATCCATCTGAAATTTTTATTAAAATATTTAACTCTTTCATTCATGAATACGTCGATTTGCATAAATTATTGTACATTTGTTCATGTAACGATTTTGCAGCATGAGACAAAATAACGTTAGAATCAGGATTTTGCCAATTAACAACTTCCTTTGCATCAACGTTGAAACAACCTGTACAAAAAATTGAACTACCGCAATCGTATACTAATTGTATTATATTTAGTTATCATATCGATGTAGTTTGATTACGTAATAAAATAAAACTCATCCAGATGGTAAACCGAAAGAAAAATATGAGTACACTCGAATGATCGGTCGCTAATCGCTTCACCCCCAAAGGACTAGTCCAGGATGGATCGTAGCTTAATTTTGAGCCTGTTATCATTAAATATTTGTCAGACAAAGTATACTTTCTGTACTTATTTTTCAAACATACCAAACTCTTGATGGTTTGACGATCCCATTCTAATGCTGCGTGAAGATGCCATTAAATTTCCAGATTCAAATAAAAAATCTACGTCGAAGCATTCAGAACGAAAACAAAACGTAACCTCTATGAAGCTCTGATTTTCACGTATCTTTTGACATACTGATGGTTTAAAAATAAACAAAAACTTGGAAATTATCAACAATCTTGCATCTATAGAATTTTTTTACTAGAGATTCAATCAAAATTGTTACTCGTTTTCATTGATTAAAACTTATTTATAAAAATTCAAAATAAGTTTTGAATAATAATTTTTAATAATAAATACTTTGTTAGTCAGCTCCATTTGTAAATTATTATTTTAAAAATGATTAAAAAAAAAGGTAGAATATACTTCCAATCAACACTCTTTTATTAATTTTTATCAAATTTTCTGTTTAATATCGACTACTTTTATAGAATTATGGTGTTAAAATAAAGTTAAAACACTGCAAGTAATTCAACGACATTAATTAGACTTTTTATTTAATGCTACATAAACGACAAGGCAATATATTTTTTAAAGCATATATATTTTTATTATTATATATAGATAGTGTTTTATTTAAAAACTCGTTCCTCTTTTTGCTCGATAATACTTATTTTTGAGTCTTTCCCAAATACGAATGCAATCGGTCTAAATAATAAAATTTTTGGATTTCAGTCGAAAAATGAATTGCAAATTTTCATTTTTTTTTTTCGATTACCATAACACCAGTTGTAGCAAATATAAAAAAGTAGGAATCGTTGCACATGATGTATACACCTTAATTAATGTAACGCATGGCGAGTTTGCGTTGTCCTAATTCACCATTGTGCACAGAGAAAGCTGCCATAGAGAATTTTATATCAGGAAAAAAGTTACATAAAATGTTATTTAATAAAGGCAATTAATTCTGGAATAGGGTATGCGTAAATTCTATATAGTCTAATGCTCCCGCGATGGGTCGCTCGTTCTTCGGATCGACGTATGGTTTCATCCTCGCCACACAGTAGTCGGCCATTTCTTTCGTGAGGTTCTGTATAAAACACGAATTTCGAAGATTAATTTCGCTCTATCAAGTTAAATATAGAATTGGTAGAAATCGAAAAGTTTATAAATAAAACGTACGTTGTAGAGTTCCTCTTTCGTGACATAGGGTCGGTCGGCTGCTGTGATAGCTCGGAAAGCATTTTCGATTTCTTGAGAACTCTGCACATTTTCTGTCTCCTTACTTATCATAAAGGCCATATGATCCTGTAAGGAGACAAATCCATCCCGATTCGGATCGACAATATCTGAAAGAATTAAAAGATTAACAATTATTAATTATGAACATTTGCCCGTATTTTATTTCGCATCTTAGAACGCAAGTCTTACCAAGTATATTTTCGAATTCTGGATCAGGCTGCCCTTCCTCTACCATGGGCAGGTCGTAACCCAATGCCCGCAGACAAGATTTGAATTCCTGGTGATTGAGTCGACCGCTCTTGTCCTTGTCGTAATGCTTGAACATCATAGAGAATTCCTTGAGCGCACCCTCGGAAACACCGGACTGGTTTCTGGCCTGTATCTGCTGTTCGAGATTGTGTTGCATGCGCATACCCAGTTGATCGAGTTGGTCCCACTGCTGCGCGAGACCAACCGTACTATGTTCGGTGTATCGATTGTCGAGGATCAGATGCTCCTCGAGTATCGCGCCAAGATCTTCAATATGCTTCAGATCTTGTCTCCGGGCTCGTACTTCTTGTGTTTTCTTCTTGGTCGCTTCAAGCTGCTGTTCCAGCGAACCTGATCCTTCCATCATGGATGTACGAGTATCGGCCAGCCACTGGTGGAAAGCGTTTGCGTGTTTGGCGAACTCCTTGCGCAATTTGTCGTTCTCTTCTTGACGCTGAGCCTCTTTGGCCAGCTCGACGTCGCGCTCCTTGATGATCTTTTGCAAATTGCGCCAAGTATCCTCCAGAGCTTCCATTGTAAACCAAGTGTAAGGGTTGGGACCGACGTTGAAGGTCTTGATCTGTCGATCCAAGGCACCGAGGGCCTGAAAGTCGGCTTCAGCCGAGGACAAGCTCGCTTGGAATTGAGCGTGTGCCTCGCGAAGAGCCCGAATTTCTTCTATGCTGTTGCAGCGCACGGGATCGGTCAAGTCCTCCTCGGCGTTCTCAAACCAGGAGTTGAAAGCCGAAGCCTTCTTGGCGAAGCTTAGGTACAGCTCCTCGATCTGACGGAACTGGTCTTGCATCTGCAGCAGACGCTGTTTGCGAGCCTGAGAATCGGACAGGAGTTTCTGCCAGCGCGAAATTACATCACCGTGGCGTCTAGTTATGGCGTGACGCTGCTCGTGACCGGCATCGGTGAGGAGCTCTTTGAGGGTGGTTATATTTTGAATACCTTCGTGCTCGAATGCGTGGAGGCCGGCATCGAACGTCTCTTGCTTCGTCAGAAGGGTCTGAACACTCGAGAGATCGCGTCCGAACTCCTCGGAGCGAACGTGAGTCTCCTTGTCGGCGATCCACGACTCGACCACGTCGGCCTTCCACATGAATTGCAAATAAGCCGAGTTGTCGTTCAAACGGGTCTTGCGGCGCGCAGCCAAGCCACCGAGCTGTTCGAGCTTGCTGCCGAGTTGTTGGCAGCGCTGGGCAATGGCATCGGCGCGATGGTTTCCAGCCGCGATCAGAGCTTCGCCAGCCTCGGTGATGTCTTTGCAGCGCTCTCCGTGAGCCGCGAAGTCGGTCTCGAAAGCGTCGTGTTTCTTCAACAGACCTTGTACAGCAGCCATCGTATCGCCGTAGTCCTCGAGCGACAGTAACTGTTGTTTCTCGGCGATCCAAGCTTCTTCCTCCTCGACCTTGGCCAAGAATTGTTGGTAAGCCAGAGACTCATCGAGTTTCTGTCCTCTAGTTGCAGCGAGTTGTTTGAGCTCGGCCCAAGCCTGGTTGAGCAACTTAAGACGTTGTTCAATTTCTGGCACACCCAGATTCGATACGTCCATGAGCTTTTCACCGGCTTCTTGTACGGCTTGAATGGCCGGTTCGTGGCTGCCGAGCTCGGCTTCAAGACGCTTGTGCTTCTTCTTGAGATTCTGGACACCGGTAAGATCGCGTCCGTAATCGTCCGATCCGACGAGCAGTTTCTTCTCCTTTATCCAAGACTCCTCGTCGGCGATATCGCGGAAGAATTGGTGAAGAGTGTTGGCTTCGTTCAATCGAGCTTGACGATGAGCCGCGAGATTGCGTACGCGCTCGTAGCGCTCGTTGATGCTCTGGCGCTTCTCTTGGATGCCCGCGGCATCGAATTGACCGCTCTCGATCAGAGAGTCGGCTTGAGCATTCATGTCCTTGATACGTTCCTCATGAGCGGCGATGTCGGCTTCGACCAGTTGCTGCTTCTTCATCAAATTCTGCACGGAGGCTAAATCTTTTCCGGCATCCTCGCTGGTCAAGAGACTCTCGACTTCACCGAGCCAGAAGTCCAGATCTTTGACAGCGGCAATGTAGGTACGCTGCTTATTGGCTTCCTTCAATTTCATTGATTTTTCTGTGGTCTTTTGGGTAAGATACTCCCACTGATCAGCGATGGAAACAAGTCGCTTCGATACAGCATCTTCGGATCCTGCACATTGGTGTTTTTCAATCAAATTGTGACCCATCGCAAGAACACTGGATATACGATCTGCATTGGCTGCCAGTTCTGCTTCGAAGGCTTGATGTTTTTGATGCTTAGATTGAATGTTAGCCGGGTCTTTGTAATTCTCTTCGGTGGCCAGTTGTAATTTTTCGGCGATCCAATTTTCCATCTCGTCGGCATCGCGAGAGAACTGCTGCAGAGTCTGGGACTCTCCGAGCTTGGAACGTTTTTCGATCAGAGCGTCCTTGAGGTGACGCCAGCGATCGAGCACTTGGCAGCGGCGCTCGTCGATGGGTTTGGACGCGTAGTGCTCGGCAGCAATGAGCTGATCGGCCAAAGTCTGCAATGCAGCGATCTTTTCCTCGTGGGCGTTGATGGCCTTGTCGAAATCTTCGTGCTTCTTAATGAGCGCCTCGACGTTGTCGCCGCTGTCCAAGGCGTCCGCGCTGCTCGTGCTGAGGAAGGCCTCGCGGGCTGACATCCAGTTTTCGGCTTGCTCGCAGTCGCGGCAGAACAGTTGCAGCTCGAGATTTTGATCGAGCTGCATGCGACGCTGGATCCATGCTTTCTCGAGCTCTTGACGGGCCTCGCTCATCGACTCCAACTTCTCTTGGATTTCAACGCTGGCATAGTGATTGGATTGAAGCAACTGCTGACCGAATAATTCGAACGCCGTGAAGGTGCCAGTGCGGGCGTCAATTTCCATTCGGTGTTCCTAAAAAGTAATCCATTGAAATCAGTCGATTCTATTACAAGAGAATAAAAATTATGCGCGCCACGCTGCGAACGTTTTAAATCTCAAGTGCCAAGTCAGTTTATTGATAGGCAATTGATGTGAATTTGCTCAATGGTAAGTAAATTCAAGCAGAGAGCAAATCTCAAAATTAAACATAAGCTTTCTCTAAGCACTTTGATATTAATCAAGTTATTTAATTATTTCATACTTGTTCAATTATTTATTTATACGAGGGTCTTTGTACTTTTACCTCAGTAAAAATAATCGCTTTTTGTGAGCTAAAAAGCTTCCATTTTAATAATTTCAAGCGTGTCAACATTGTAGCACAATAAAACATTTAATATTTTTATGGTGACAATTGGGGCATTGAAATGGACAATAACAATATCAATTGAACAGCATGGGAAAACTTAAACTTTATAAAAATGCCGATCATTTAGTATAGCTTCATTAACACTTAGGCATGTAATATTTGCATCAGAAGATGAAAAAATTGCAAAAAAAAAAAAAAAACGGCTGATTAGTGGAGCGTATCGTGTTTACACGTATAGCGAAAACAAATCATTCTCCATCAAACGCTGAAGTCATTTTGGAATACCTGTGGAACAATGCCATATCGCGCATCAATTTCCGTTCTGTGATTCTACAATAGGAGAGAGAGAGAGAGAACAACACTTGACTGAGTGACATCATAGATGAACATGATCGCGAGATAAAGTTACGCAACTAATGCGAAGAGTCGACTTCGGCGATGAAAAAAAAACTTTTAGAGCCAATTACATACCTGATGACGTTCGAGCAGAGCCTCGGCGCCGGTTACGTCATTGGCCAGCTCCTCGGATGCCACTAGGCCCATCATCGAGTTGATCCAGGCCATGAGATCGCGATAATCGCTCAAGTAGCGCTGCAAATCGTACGAGTCCAGGAGCTTCTCTTTTCTGGAGGTGGCCTTAGCGGTCAGCTGGGTCCATTCCTCGTTGATCTCCGTCTGCTTGGCGTAGGTCTGCTCGGCGGTGTCCGGGTGCGACTGCATCAGCCTATTGGCCGTCTCGTCGAGCTGCTTGATCTTGTCGCCCAGAGCGGCCAGGTCTCTCTCGAGGCCCTCGTGCTTGCGCTGCAGGGCTTGCACGCTGCGCAAGTCCTTGCCGAGGTCGTCGTTGTTCAGCGCAGCGTCCTTCTCGCGAATCCAGTCCTTGGTCTCGTCGACGTCGCGATGGAATCTCTGTACCTCGTGGGCAGAGCCCAGCTGGCTGGCGCGCTCGGCCGTCAGCGTCTGCAAGCTCGTCCACTTCTCGTTGAGCTCCTGTATCTGGGTCTGGATCTTCAGGGCGGCCTCGGTCTGTCCGAGGCTCATCAGCTGAACGGCGATCTCGTTCATCTCGGCCAAGCGAACCTCGTTGGCCTTGAGGTCGGCGCGGAAGTCGTCGAACTTCTTCTGCATGACCTCGACTTGCTCGAGATCCTCGCCAACGTCCTGCACTTGGGCGTGATTCTCCTTGTCCTTGATCCAGGTGGCGAGCTCGGCGGCCTCGCGCACCAGCACGTAAGCTTTAGCGGTCTCGTTCAACTTGTCTTGGCGCTCTCTGGCCAAATTCAGCAGGTCGTCGTACTGAGCTTCGATCTGAGCTTGACGAGCGGCAATGGAGCCTTGCTCGCGAGCCAAGGACTGCTGCGATGCGTTCAATCCGCTCTCGGGCTCTACGCGCTTGACGTATGCGGCCGGTACGAATCCTTGACGGTCGTTCACCTCGACCTTCCACCAATCCTTGTTGCTGCTGTTTAGCAATACCAAGTTGTCTCCCTTCTTCATGGACACCTCGCGCGGTGACTTCTCGGTGTAGTCGTACAGAGCGACGACGCACTCCTTTCCGGCAAGCTCGGCCGCCGAGGGTGCCTCCTGCTGTCGGCAAGCCGCGGCCTGCTCTTTCAACGCGCCGATGGTGCTGGCGAACGCTTCGAGATCGCTCACGAGTGCCTCGTGCTTCTTCAAAAGGGCCTCGCTGCTATCCTCGTCTTTGCCGTAATCCGCGCTCGTCACAATCGGACGTTTCTCCTTCATCCAGGACTCGGCCTCGTTCGCGTCCGCGAAGTACTGGTGAGCCTGAAGCGAGTCATCGAGATCGCTCTTGCGCTGGCGAGCTTTCTCCTTCAATTGTCCCCAGCGTTCGTCCAGTCCGGTCAATCTCTGGCCAATCTCGTCGGCGGCAAAGTGGCCGTCTTGAAGCATACGTTGTCCGGATGCGCATACGGCGGCGACTCTGGGTTCGTGATTGTTGATCTCGGCCAGAACGGCTTGATGCTTCTTTTGCAGGTTCTGCACTCCAATGAGGTCGCGACCCCGATTAGTGGAAGCGGCAACCGGTTCTTTCTCACGGATCCAAGCCTCTTCGTCCTCAACGTCACGGAAGAGTTGCTGGACTTGCAGAGAGTCGAGCAAGCGCTGTTTGCGTGCGCGTATCGGCGCTTCAAGGCCAGCGTAACGGCTCTGCATCTGTTGAGCTTTCTGACGGATGTTGTCAGCGTCGAAGTGTCCACCCTCGACGAACTGCTCGCCAGCTTGGATGATCGAGTCGATGCGCTCCTGGTGGGAAGCCACGTCGGCCTCGAGAAGGGCGTGCTTTTTCAATAAGTTCTGGACGCTGGTCAGATCTTTTCCACTGTCCTCCGAAGTCAACTGTCCTTCGATCTCGGATAGCCACAGCTCGACGTCCTCGACGCTGCGATTGAATTGCTGCTGCTGGGCGGCTTCTTGCAGTTTTGAGCCTTTGCGCTGGGTGGCCTCGGTGAGGCTGCTCCACAAAGCAACGATCTCGTCGAGACGAGTGCGTACGCGATCTTTTGCGTAATGATCGGAAGACACGAGCACTTCACCCTGGGCCACTGTTTCTTCCATGCGGGTGCCGTTGGCTTGAAGTTCCTGCTCAAAATTCTGGTGCTTCTGCAATTTTCCATTCAAATTGGTCGGATCGAGATAGCTGTCGTCTGTGGCAAACTTGAGTTTCTCGTTGACCCAACCTTTGGTCTCGTCGCAGTCGCGTTCGAATTGCTGCAATTTGTAGGCATCCTCCAGGCCACGACGGCGAAGAGCCGACTTTTCTAATAGAGCGGATCGACGTTGAAGCAAAGCCGACCGACGGTGAGCGACTTCGTCAGCTGCGTAATGCTCGCCTTCGATGAGTTTTGTGGCAAACTCATCCAGAGCCTTGATCTTCTCCTCCTGAGCAGTCAGGGATTTTTCAAAGTCTTCGTGCTTTTTAATCAAAGCTTCGACGCTGTCGAGAGAATCTCCAAGGTCGTCGTTGGCCAAGAAAGCTTCCTGTTTAGCCATCCAGGCGTCAGCTTGCTCGGTGTCACGGTAAAACAGCTGAAGATCCATGCATTGTTCATACAAAATGCGACGTTTCTCCCACAATTCCAAAAGTTGAGCCTTGTCAGATGTCAAAGACTCAAGCTTGATGGCTACCTCCTCCGCAGCATAATGTTGACGTTCAAGCAATTTGCTACCAGCTAAGCCAGTTGAATCAAAACTGTCAGCTCTAGCATCTATTTCACCTTTGTGTTCTTGATGACGTTCCAGAAGGGCTTCGGCGCCAGCAACATCTTTAGCCAATTCATCAGCAGAAATGATGGCTTTCATATTATTCATCCAGGATACCAGATCTCTGTAGTCAGAGAGGAATCTATGCAAGTAGTATGATTCGTCGAGCTTAGAGCGACGTTCTTTAGCTTTGGTGGTAAGACTCTCCCACAGTTGGATAATTTCAGTCCGCTTGTTTTGAATTTGCTGAGACTGATCCGGATGATGAATACCACAGAGGCGATCAGCTTCAGAGCTCAATGTTTGAACTTTATCTTCAAGAGCAGCTAAATCTCGCTCGACATTTTCGTGTATGCGTTGGAGCAATTGCACACTAGCCAAGTCACGACCGAAATCGTCGGATGAAAGCACGGCATCTTTTTCGGCAATCCATGCCATGGTTTCGTCGGCATCACGATTGAATCGTTGAATCTCATGAGCACCAAAGAGTTTTTCTTGACGAAGAACAGCCAGCTGTCTCAAGCGTTGCCAAGCTTCATTTAATTCTTCCTTGCGACGTAAAATAGTGTCGCGTTCTGGATGTCCATCAAGCAATAATTTATCTGCAAGCTCATTAACTTCAGTAACTCTGTACTCTTGACTTGTCATATCTTTTTGGAATTCATCAAATTTTCTTTGGAGAACTTCAACGTGTTCTAAGTCATGACCATATTCTTCTGTAGTAACAAATGCTTCTTTGTCATTAATCCAAAACATTACTTCATCGCAATGACGAATGAACTGCACAAGGACAAGGGCTTGCTGAAGTTTAAGACCTTTGTCTGCCAATCTCGAAAGAAGCAATTCCCAGAGGCGATGTAGTTCCTCTGCAAAGTTATAAGGATATTATTAATATTAAAAAAAAATTAGCATATAAATTTGCATGTGTTACACATATTACCTAATATTATAATTCAAAAATATTCATAAAATTGATATGTACATATTTCTTTGTCAGTAAAAGTTAAATCATTCAAACCAATTAATAATATGTTTAGGTATTTAAAAGAAATAAATATGAAAAAAATTTTAATTAAAAAAATTCCAAAAAATATATATCATGACTTATTAGTGCTCATAAAATAATTTTACTAAACAAAGTCATTAAATTCAGTAAACAATAGATTGATTGAATTCAGGTAATATGTGTCAGAAGTTAAATTCTTCAAATTGCTCAATAAGACAGATAAGATGTATATTGAAATGTATTTGCTTACCAAGCCTCTTACGAATGACATCACTGGCAAAATGGTGCTGAGAAATCATCTCAGTACCAGTATTGTCAAGTACCACTATGGCATTGGAATGAGCGGCAACTTCAGCCTCGAAAGCCTGATGTTTCTGAATTTTGGCTTGTAAATTTGTGGGATCTTTGTAACTTTCATCGGAGGCAGCTTGAAGTTTTTCATAAATCCATCCCTCGAGCTCATCGGAATCTCTTTTAAAATACTACAGATAAAATGTAAAATTGTTTCATTGAGTGCAACGTCAAAAGAATGCATTGATTTGTCATAAATGGAAGAGTTGATGCTGTTTTGAAAAACATACCTGGAAGCGACGCGAGTCTTCTAGCTTGTCACGTTTGCTGCGAGCCTCGGACTTGAAGTTGGAATATCTGCCGAGGACCTGCTCACGACGTTCCTGAATGTCCTCGGGATTCTCGAGGATCTTCACCTCGTTCGGAGTTATTTGTTGATCCATGTTGAAAAGCTTGTTGCCTCGGGGCGTTTAGACCCGTCAGCTATGATAGACAGTCCACTTGAACCGAAGTGTCGAACTGCTGTGTATATGTGTGCGAGAGTTTAAGTATTGGAGCTCAATATGGCCGTAAACAGCGCTGTCGGCCGTCGGGTGTGGCGTTTCTCGGCAGCCACGACTATTTTTATGTATGTGTGTACTTTGCAATCACCCACGCGCAACAATGCACTGGCGGCTCTTTTTCCAAGCCCTTTTAACCTGGAATTATGAAGTAAATATCTATTAAAAAACAGATCGTTCACTTGAATTTTCACTCAAAGAGTTGGTAAAAAAAAAAAAAATGCTAACGGTCTCTCGTCTGCGCGTGATTTCACTCGCTGCTTGCGCGAAAACTACTGAAATCTCCAGTAACATTCGCAACTCCACACTATCTTCCTCCACTTTGGCACTTGCGTGGCTGTGTATGAGTGTACATTATATATATAGCTATGAGGAGATTAATGTGATGTAAAAAGGGAGCAGCCGGCACAAATGGGTGTTCCGTTAGAGCCGACGCATTCATTGGTGCCTTACCCTATCGTATCGAGACATTCGCAAACGAGCGTGGGGATTTAATTAAAAAAAGACCTATTTTTTATAATAGAATCGGTCGGTACGGAGGGCTTTAAGCCATTTAGCCTGTGTAGCGTAGAATACATCGACACCCACGCATATGCAATTTACACTTACAGGTCTAAAAATAGGTGAAGATCGTGAGTCACTCATGGGAAGTGGCAATCGTACATCTCGACTAAAAGTCGCGATAGAGAAGCACAAATTTATACGTGTGTTTATTTTTTTACCGTAAGAAAGAAGATAAGATCCGTATGATAGAAGTTTTATAATTCAATTTAATGAAAATCGATGCCACAGTTATAAGTTTGATTCAGTTCAATCTTCGGTTCGCACCTCGATTATCATCACATTGATTCATAGCGCATTTTACTTTTGAATAACACTTAATTATGATTAAAAATTTATCAACTCCTAAAATTCAAAAAAACTTTAATGTGAATTTTCGGAATCAAAAAACTAAATATTTTTTCGAAATAAAGTTACTGACAAACGCAACTAAAATCAAATAAAATATCTTGCTAAATAATTTAGATGAAACCCCTTTTGTCCAATACATGAAATGTATCAATTACAATGTTATAGTTAAGACTTTAGTTAAAGTAGATTTTTTATGTTTAAAAAATATTTATTACTTGAATAGTTTTTCAATATTCTATGACCTCTGAATGGTAACAAAATACTTAAATATCAACAAATCCCAGATATAAATACAATTGCAATAAATTAAAATGAAACATTTATTTACGATAAAAGGATTAATAAGAATTAAAAAAGTATACTGTTAAAAACATTTTAATTGCAAAAAAATAAAATTACAGTTTAGAATTTCATTCTATGAGGATACTGGCTGCTGCGCAGACCAAACATAGTAGCTAAGTAAGCAAACAGGGTCTTCTTTTCACTGTTTTTCTTAATTGCATCAATTACTAATTTATCAACCAGTTTCTGGTCAATTTTTTTCTGTTCACTCGGTTTGTATACTACTTTTTTTGTTGCAAATATATCTCCTTCTTCTTTCTTGGCCCGCTTTTCATGTACTCGCTTGAAATACTCATCATTGAGAGTTTGGGGAATTTTGACATCACTCAAATCAATTCTGGTGCTGGTAGCAATAACATAGTTTTGATGGATCCTTCTGAGTGGGCATCCATTAATTAAGAATGGTCCTGAAATTGATTTGGGTATAGTAGGATGGAGTTACATAATGTAAGTAAAATTATTTTGCAAAACTAAAATTTTACTTAGAAACTAACAGTTTTAATAATTAAAAATAAAACTAGGCATTTATGTTAGATTTTTTAAAAAGTAAGTTACAGAAACTAAATATTTACAAAAAAAATTACAACTTACCATTGACCAACAAGAGTCCACTTTTAAGAGATTTGAGAAAAACAACACGTTTTCCCTTGTGAGGACCAGCCAACAAAATAAGAATTGTACCTGGGAGGATGCTTGATCTTAAGTATCTTGTATGGTGTTTGAAACATTTTTTGGCTGGTCGCTTTTTGATTGCGTCAGCAGTTGGATAATTAGATTTCCTCTTTTTTACAAGAACAGTTCTAGTTTTTCCATTTTTTTCTCCTCCAACAATTTTTTCAACAGTAACTGGTTTCTTTGGAACTACCTAAATTTGAGTCAAATAGATACAATGATTTAAAATTCTTAAAATTTAACAATATATATAATGAATATGACTAATTCTATACCGTTTTAGGAGTTTTTTTATCTTGAAATTTCCACAATGCTTTTTTGTGGTATGTTCTGCTCCGACTAAAGCGGTAAACTCCATTGCCCAGATCATAGTTCCTTGGCTTTCCGACTTTCTTCACACTCTTGGTGTCAGTGTTTTCTGTTGGAGCCATTCTGATATAAAACCCTCTTCTCCTGTGTTTTTTTGGTTTCTGAAAATAAGGTATATTTTAATATTGAAATACAAATAAACACAAATAAAATAAAAATACAATAGTATCAAGTCTTCATAGTAATTTAAACAATTGAAGATTGTGTCAAGTTGATTCATTATAATTAAGATATGGAGTTTTACAAGTAAGACAGTAGAACATTTCAAAATTTAGCCCGAGTTGAATGGAATAAGAAAAATGCAAATGTTTCCTACATTCTCCATATAGTCTTGTGGTAGCAATGTTTTCAGTCTCTCTAAAATTTGATCAAAAGAATCTAATTTGACATACGTCATACATGGCTTAATTTTATCTGGGGAGGGATTGGGTTCAGAGGGATTATTGCTCATGATGATCGCACGAATGAATGTTATGATTTTGAAAACTACTGAAGGTAGTTTAGGGTGGATAAATGATAACAGATGTTTTCAAAATCGTGCATTGGTCAATCATGCAACTGCAACATTCAATAATCATATAGATTAATTATTTTCAAAACATCGGACATAAAAAACTTACCAAGAGACACGAAGTCGAACCGTTCTTCGCGAGGTTAGACTTTTGGATAGAAAACTCGTGGCGGCTAGAGACTGTAAACAACGCCACCTAGGCGAAAAATGTTCGCACCAAAATTCGCTCAAGTTTCATTTGATGATATCAAATTTGAATTGCAGTCTTCGAGACTCACCAGTCATTAAAATTGAAATTGAATTGATGTAACCGTTACAGAATTTTATTCAAGGTATTTTACACCAATATTACTTTATTGAAAATGTATCAATGTTCATTTTTTATTGTATAAAATACTCAAAAAATGCACAAACACAATTATTAACTTTAATACAAAATAAATGAAAAAAGTTACTTCTGTACTATCATTTTTTTGAATTTTTATTAATTTCTTAAGCTTGAACGAAAAAAATCAGTATTAGAACTTTTATTTTCAATCAAAATGTTTCAATTTGAGTCAACTAAATTTCCTACAATAAGCCAATTCTCTCCGTTACCAAGCAAGTTCTTTTATCTGTTAATCTGTATTTATATAAAAATACTTGTATTAGTCTGGTGTTCTACATTGTTTGATTAGTCGGAAAATTTTATAAGGCAATATCATTGTTGCTTAGAATTGCACCGTATATGATTTATTCATAAGGATAAGCATTAATGAAATTAAATTTCAATTGATAAATTTTGTTTAAATACATTGAGCTAAAAAAAAGAAGAAAATAAATATTAACACATTACATGAGAATTATGTAGTATATTGAATTAAATTCAAATTAATGCACTACTTAACAAAATTATCGCAACACAAAATTTCATCGAAATTTTGTGTTGCAATAAGTTTGTTGTGTAGTGTATTTTACAATTTATTCATTTTTATTCGATTTAAGAAAAATTTTATACTGAATTGAAATACTTTTAATCTTAAATTAATTTTTTTGTGGTGCCACTTTATTTTGCGTATCAGCTTTCGGTGTTGTCACCAAGACCTAATATAATTTGTAAGACCAGTCAATTTGTAACATTAGACTTATTGATACTTGTAAATGGATACGCCCAGTCGTGCATAGAAAGGGATAATATGATCAATAATTATTCAGGTATTTAGTTTCATCCTATTAAAATTATTTATTAAGTAGGGAATACCATTACGCCAAGGCATCGATGCTCGGCGTGCATGCGCACGTGACCATGAATCCATGTTTTATTGCTTTTTTTATGTATAAAATAAATTTAAGTTGCTCCTCTTCCTCGCGTACATATCATTGTCCAAATTAAGCGCAAAAAGTGCACTAATAAATTCGAGTGCCTTAGTTCCATCGTTTTATATTTTTGTCAGTCTACCAGTGCAGTTTTTGCGCTGGATCGACGATACATAATTTTCGTACATGAATATATTTCTCGGACTTGATGGAGACGATGTTGCTGGATGCGTGTACGCCTGTAGTGTTTACTTAGTAATTTCTAAAATCAATGATGCGGCGTTTATTTACACTCATTCATCTCGCGTGTACCAGTCTGATATACGCCGATCCACGAGAAAAAACTTGAGCTGCTGGATCTAATTTCCAAAAAAGACTTTCATGCGAGCGCACATGCCCACCACCACATGTTGGACAGCTCCAAATAGCTATTGCGAGAGATGTATTATATATTTTTCCTTATCTGCAGGATTTTCAAAAGTCATTATTTCCCCTACCATCGGGATCAGTGTTCAAAAATGTATCTTTCAATCAGCTGTACCAATAAAATGATCTCTCTCTCTCTCTTTCTCTGATGATGATGTGAAAGAGAGGTGGGTGTATAGCAGGGTGGGAGGAGGCAACGGCGACTTTTAGAAAGTTCTAAAATATCAGATCTGATCAGTGCTCTATGAGTGTAGTCGCACGTGTGAGAAGAAACAGGCAAGAAAAATGGTCGCACCGGTGGTGAACAATATAACCGATCAAAAGGGTGAGTAACAATTTGAATCTGCCAATTCGTAATTGTTATAATGAAGCTTCTCCTCGTGCTTCGAAATGGCATTTCTATGATTTGCACAAAGAATCGTTAGCACTTCTCAGGCGGTCGTACTAGTATACGCGTCACAGAATACGGATAAACAGCAACGTTATTTTATGACTGGATCTTGTTTTGATAAACTCAATCATGCCAACTTTGAACGTTTCACTTTTAATTTGCAGGGAGCAATGGACCGGCAGTACCCTTCGGGGAGGGACTTATCGACAATGCCACTCGTCGGAGGTCTAGAAATGACCAAATCTACACGGCATTGAGTTTCTTCCTTATCGGAGGGCTTTTAATTGCTTACTACATGTATCGTAAGTCACTATGCGACGCATACTTTAATCCTGATTTTCAAACTTTCTATGTGAATTTTAATAATCGTGAAATTTTGGGTAATTTTCAGTTCACCTGGAATATGTAACGCCGATATCACACCATCTTCCGCATGGAACCGGTACACTGATGAGACTACTCATGCACGCGTGAGCACATTGATTTATTACCTAAAGCATCGTCCCCAATAGAGGTCCAATTTAATTTTATGAATTCATTTCAGGATATTGCCGTCATGCCTTTATGCACTGGTCTTATTGGGAGTCACCAGGATCGTGATTTATGTGTGCTTTTTCGTACTGAGGCTATTCCCGATGCTGTCGGTGATGATGGACGTCACCGTAATCGCGTCCCTCGTAATCATAACTGCCTGGAGATTCTCCTCGACCGATGTGCTCAGGGGTTACGACGGGCCGATCATCGTCGGCTCGCTGGTGGCCGTGGCCTTGGTCTTCCAGCTGCCGGCGACTAAGCGCGCCGTGGCCATCGCCGCGCAGACCGTGCTGGCCTCGGCCAATCTGCCGGACTTCAGACTCCCGGTCTGCAAGGACGCCGTTTACGCTGCCTACGGGGCCTGGTACTGGACGCGGCCGCGACGAAACATACCGCACACGGAGATCAACGAGCATCTCCGCGCGGTTCGTCGCTTCAACTGGGGCACCATGGCGCTACCTCGCCTCGTCGTGGCCATCGGCGAGAGCCTCTTCAATACCGAGTCGGGCAATCGCTGCAGACGCTTCCGCAGCCTGATGCGCGAAGAGCCCTACATCATCGCCAGCGTGCAAGGCCACGACATCAGGACTGCGGCCGAACAGTTCGAGGCCAACGAGGATCGCCGAAACAAGTCCATGCCGAATCTGCGATCCTTGGGCGTGGAGCGTTTCGTAAGTCACGCGTTTTATTGCCAAGCAATTCACCATTTCGTTCGAGCTTTATTATACTAAACGAGCTTTTTCCCATTCACTTTGCAGATGATTACCACGATCTCTTGGATGATGATGATACGCATACTAATCGTATCGACTATCTACATCCAGATCACGTTTCTCTTATTAGGAACCACTGTCCTTTACAAAATGTTCATGTTCACACCGGTGCTACCTATTTTGGATGTGTGCTTATTTATGTACATCTACCATAGTAGATTCGTAAGAGGAGCCATGACGATCATCGAGTGCGCCAAGCAAGACATTCAGTTGAACGGCCTTGCTTTTGAGCACCTGACCCCGGAGATGAAGAAAGTTTTTGTGAAAGAAAACAGCATCTCCAATTGTTAAAGTGATTGATTTTAAATAGTTTTTTAAGGGATCAAAAGGATATCGATTGCAGTAAATTGATGTCTGTTTTTTTAATAGTTATTACTTTTAATTCTGTTATTATGTAACTATATATAACTGCGTTATAAATATGATGATTCACTACAATCGAAAATAATGCATAAGATAAATGTATGCAACACAAACAAACATTTTGACTGATCCTGTACTTAGTTATAATATATTACATTTATAATATAATTTAATTAATTATGAACTAAGCCAATTTACCTCGATAATTCTGTAGGTCAAACACAGTTTTTTTCTATTAACGAATCAGTTATTTGTGATAATTTGATTACTTAATTGTACACAAATATCGGCAGAATAAATGTCCACACGAGTGATCGTTACATCGACACTTTTAATACATTTGCAATAAAACTAATTATTAAGTATCTTTTTCGATTTTTTATCATAATATATTTTTTCCTACTAACATTGGTCAATTTTTCGTTCACTTTTTAATCACGTAGTCAAGCGTGCATATAGCATTATTTACCTCTGCAAAAAGCTCCAACAACGATGTGGTAATTTTTGCCGAACTTTTGCGATCGTTTGGCCATCTATAATAATGAAGCTTTAGTGCCCCTATGGCGAGCTGACAGATTTGCACTAGCCACTATTTTTCTGCAGTGTCAAAGAATCGTGGAAGACGTGACATAACCCTACAGACAAAGCTGTCAGTTTTTATACATTGCCTATACAAATAATGTAAATAAAAGTATTTTTATAAAAAAAATACAAGAATTTTTTAAACTGGAGTAGCCGCAAGAAAAGAGATGGACAACGAGAGACTTTTGGCCGCAAAAAAGAAGGTGAAAGTTGTCACATATTGTCAATTTATTTTCACACGTTGACAATTATTTTTAATGACTGTTGAATTTATGTAAAATGTATATTCGTTTAATAATTTCTCGTACGTATTTACATTAATTTTGACGTTTCAACAGCTGCGGGAGTATCAAATGAATAAACGTCAAGATCAAAGAAGAAAAGGGAGTGTAGGTAGTGACGGTGACCCAATAAAAGTGAATAATGATCAGGTTTTTAATTAATTGATTATTGATTTTCGCGTTCAACGATAAAAAATTCTTTCATCTATAATTATGATTTTACAAATTTTAGAGGTCCTCCGAAAATAGCACACCTGAAAAAAGTCAAGAGCTGTTTCAGTTTATGCAAACATATGTGGACTCAACAGAAAATAGCAATAAGGATTTAACTGATGCTAAATATTTTTTTGAATCTCCTCAATTCAATAAAGAATCAGACCAAAGCAAAAATTTTATAACATCTGAAGTGCAATTTGATGTAAATAATCAAAATAATTTAGAAACTAATCAAGTCATTAATGGAACATCACAGGTGCAACCTTTTGATGGTACCTTTCCTGATAATAGCAGAAGTAGTTCGACCAACTCGTCTCAATTAACGAATGAAAATGTAGAAAAAAATATGCAAGATGAGAATAACTCTACATTACCAGTGCAATTAACAGGAACAGCTATTAATGAACCTTACAGTACTTCTACCTCACTTCAAAAAGAACACTTACTCCAAATGGCTAATGATGTGGCTAATGTTTTGGAACATGACTTGGGAGCAAATGATTCTGTTAATTCATCCACTCATTATTCTGATTTGGAAGAAAAAAATCAATTTTTAACACAGTGTTTAGAAGAACAAAAAAGGATGGTCAATCAACTACATATTCAATTAGGACAATGTGTGAGTTACAATTTTCCAGAATTTTTTAAAATATTGTGTTTAGCTTGAATAATCATGGTAATCCTTTATTTATAGAGCACAAGAATATCTGAATTAGAAGCAATTGTTGCTACTAAAGAAGCACATTATGAAGGAATGCTGCTTAGAGAACTTGGACCCTTGAAAGAGCAAATCCAACTTGATGCACAAACCATTGGAATTTTAGTTGCTGAAAAAGCTGAGCTGACTGCTACTAATACCCAATTCCAGACTGTAATTCAACAAAAAACTGGTAATCCAAGTTGCTTTTTCAATTATAAAGTTTTATTCATAAAGTCTGAAAATGAACATGTCAATTAAATTTTATTTTTCAGATGATGTGAAAGAGTTATTTAGTAAATTCAAAGAATCACAGTATAAAATAAATAACTTGGAATCTGAATTAACAGCAGCTAAAAACAGTATTGAAAATATTTCTAGTATGTATGAACAATTACAAACCAATTACAAAGATCTGGATGAAAAAGCTTCACAGCTCAAGTAATAAATATTTATAATTTCTTTAAAAAATTTTTTTACAACATAATTAAAATAATATTTCTAAACTATAGGAAAGAAAACGAATCTTTTGAAATGGATAATTCTGAGCTAAAACAAAAGTTAAATTATAAATCTACAGAAGTATCCAATTTACAACAAGAATTACAAGAAAAATTAGCTCTTTTACAATTGAGTGAAATAAGATTAAATCAAGTAAATCGAATAATTTTACATGTTTAATTTTAGGGTTGAAATAATCATTATTTATTTTTCTCACTTAGTTGACCAATGCTCCACATGAAATGAGTTCTCTTGAAACTCAACATCAGACAACTAAAGCTCTAGAACAACAACTTTCTCAAATGAAACAAACATTAACAAGTTTAAGTGGTGAAAAAGATGAAGTGAGTAAAAACTATCAGAACTACATACAGCAACTAGATGAACGAAATGCAAAACTTGTTGCAGAAGTGAGTTAAATAATTACAAAGGTTCAAATAAATATCAAAAATAATTGAAAAAATTTAAATAAACAAACGGGTTTCAGCTTGAATCATCGAAAAAGCGAATCGTTGATTCTGAAATACGTGAGCAAAGTTACATTCAAAGACTATCTGAACTGGAACTTCATCTTCAAAAAGAAAAAGACAAGATACAAGCTGAAGAGAAAATATCGCAGCCATTTGAAGATCAGTCTGCAAAAATTGAAATGTTGACAAAAAGCATGGATAATCTTGTTTTAGAGCAAGAAAATTTACAATCATTAATGAATCAAAAGGTAAAATTTTATTAATTTATATATATTTTGATATTTAAGACCAGTTAATAATTTACAGGATAACGAAATTGAAATTTTGAAACGTGAACTTCAAGAATTACAAGAATTTAAAGAACGTAGTGTTGAAGCAACAAAATTAGCTACTGCCTTACAAAGTGAACAACTAGGAGCTTCCAGAGCAGTGTCTCAAAATCAACAACTAAAAAGTCAACTAGAAGAAATGCAAAATGCATTCATTAGTTTGGTAAATATATATTGTCATACAATTTTAATAGAATATTCCAATTTCCTGTACAAAGTTTAAATTAACAAAAACTTTACAGAGCAATACGAAATTAGACCTCACAGAACAATTACAAGCTGAAAGAACCATTGGTAAAAAATTAAATGCTCATCTCAATCATGTAGAAAAACAAATGGATGAATTGAAAGAAATATTAGCAGAAAAGGAAGCAACTTTGGTTAAATACGAAAAGGAGAAGTTGCAAGCTGCTCAAATTGAAGATCAAATTCAACATTATCAAGCCCAATCTCACAGCTCAACTACGCTGCAGCATGAGCTTCAAAAAGCAATGGTAACATTAAGAAATGAAAAATTATATAACATTCTTTTTGAGGTTTCAATATTTTTTTCAAATTTTTGTAGTTAATGATCGAAACACTTAAAAGTGAAAATAAGTTGTTACGACTGAAACTAGAGCCTGATCAAGAAGAAGGTGTAACTGAAATTGAAAGCTTGGAAGAAAATGCTACTGAAAATGAAACTGTAAATGAATCTGAAACGATTAAAAATTCCAATGATCAGAATGAATCATTAACTGAAAAGAATAATCAAGAAACTCCAAAAAATCAAACTGTGATATCAGAAGTTAAGGATAATATTAAATTAGCTGAATCATTTAAAAAACTGGAAAAGAAGTTTACAGAATCTATGAAAAAACTTGCCGATGTCGTGGATGAAAAACAAAAATTAGAGCATCTTGTTTTACAGCTACAAGGCGAAACTGAAACTATTGGTAATTTTCTATATGAGTTTTTTGAGTTATTATCCGAATAACAGGAATAACTTTGCAAATAAATTTTTAATTTTTTCAGGAGAATACGTTTCTTTATATCAAAAACAAAGAGCTGTTCTAAATGAAAAAGCAAAAGAACGCGAAAATACATTCCGAGTAGTGTTGGAGCAGCGCAATCAACAACAAGAACAATTGCATAAATTAAAATTGCTTGTTGCAGAGCTACTTAAATCGAATCGTAAAATGTCTGTACCAACTGCAACTGCTGCAGAAGAAAATTTAAATATTTCAGAATCAACTGGTATTCTTTCTTTTAATTGATATTTTTTTCTTATTTATTCGGATATTCAATTAATTTATTTGATTTCTAGGTGAGGAAATCGATCCAAATAAAATTAAAATTATCGAAGGACAATTAAATAAAGTTGACATGTCGAGTAATCTACCAGATGATACAACGTCTCAGATAATGGATCTTTTGACCGAAATAAAAGACTGTAATACATGTGTTCTTGAACCGAATTTCCAACCATGTCCATGTTGTTCTGGAAAATTAATAACAGTTTAGCAATTATTAGATCATACAATCTGTTTTAATGTTTATAAAATGTTTATTAATGATTGTATTATAAAAAGAGTGTACAGAAGCGTCACAAATATTGTAATAATTGTACATAGGAACCTTAACAACTTTGTTTATTGTTATTGATGTAATATTAATTTAAAAACTGCTTAAATAACACATATAGATAAAAAAATCTTGTCATTTACAAAGGTAAAATCATGTTTTCTTTGCATTTTATTTAATCATGCTTTTTAGATTTTAAAAAACAAAATATATATACATATAGATAAATTTAATGAAACTTGTATATTGTTGGTATAATAAAATATACTACAACATTTTATCCAAAACCAAACTCGTTTATTTTATCATTGATTTACTAATCAAAAGTAAATACAGGTAAAAACAACAGTGAACTACAATAAATCAGATTTATTTTCAAGCTATAATAAATACAAGTAGTACTTTCAAACAGTTTTCTAAAACTAATCCAACAGACACGAGTTATAACTATTTTTTACTTAAATTTATCATCAGTCAATGCAAAATTATTCTATATCTCTAAATAAGTATAGCATAAAATATTATTAATCGTCTATTACAAATTAAAATAATGTTTAAAAAGTTTTATAGTAAAATTGATTGAGCTGCGTAGCAGTCCAGATAATTAAAAAATCACATTCCATTTCTTCTAATGCGTTTAGAAGAAACAGATTAATACTTGAGTCATTAAAAATATCATAAAATCGTTAATAGTACAGACTTAATAATTTATGCTTTTTACATTGTAATGTTAAATTTTTTCCGGAAACGATATGTTAGGTATTGATACATCGGCACTTTCATTGTGTACAACATTAACAGAACGAATACTAGCTAGGGTCGATATAGTGCTGTCCGAGCCGTTAAAGGAATTTTTTTCATTGTTTGAGTTCACTGTTTCAACTTGACGAGTGGAATGAATTGATTCTACGACGCGATTCGAGTGAATTGATTCCATTCCGCGATTGGAATAAATCGATTCAAATTGGTGATTTGAATGAACAGATTTTTCGGTAGTGTAACAACCATTCGAATTCAATTGATTATTTGATTGAACGGATCTGCGATCAGAACGTGTAGAATGATGAGAAACATTTGGGTTCAACGGATGATTCGGGTGATTAAAGTTGATCCCATGTTCAGAAGGATTAGATCTTTTTACAGAATAGTTCGATGTATTTGAATTATTACTGCCTAATTTTCTGTTGGGTGTAGAACATCTTCCTTTGACTAGAATTGAGCGGTCAGTACTCATGTTAGTGTGCTTAATCGATATGGAAGATACGTCACTAATTTCAGGTATTTCTATTATCGAGCCATCTTGCTGTTTTTTGAACGGAGAAACCAAGCGAGTCCCTGTGTTCACGGGTGTCCCTTCAGAACTTGATGAAGAACCAAGAGCACTCGCTTCTCTTGTTTTCTTCAGAGTTGAGGCAGCCCAGAACAAACCAACTTGTTTCAGACCTTCTTCCATCTCTTCAGGTTCGGATGGACACTTTACACGGTTGCGATCGGAAGAATGCGAAGACGTTATTTCAGATACTCCAGACAAACCAGACATGTTTCTGGAGTTCGAATTGCTGAAATTTCCGTCTCTACTATTATTGGAATTTAACGCAGGTGTTGTACTCTTAGATTTACTTTCCTCGCAGATGTCACTGATGATCAAATCGTCGATATTTTCATCCGGAAGCGAATACATGGAAATTTGACTGATGCGTTCATATCCGTCGTTGTTGTCTTGACTCTGTTGCAATTCTATGACCATATCAGGCAAAGTATGCATCGAATCCGATGAAGCCTTTTTCAATTTGTCCAAAGATTCAATTGATTTCTCCATTGACTTATCCATGTTTTTAACTAAGGTTGATTTAGCAAAGGCAGATAATTTGTTGAAGTGTTGTTGTGGCTGTTGTGTTTGTTGTTGCTTTTGTTGTTGTTTTTGTTGTTGGTGTTGTTGTTGTGGAGATCGCAACGCCGGGAAGGGAGCAACGTGCACTGATGGTTTTAACTTAGGAATTTTGAATGGATCGCTTGTACTCTTTGAAGGGGATGAAGCAGTAGACTGAGTCTCTTCTGTACCAGCTATTTTTCGACGGCACTTGGTGGATGGGCTTCGGGTGCTTACTTGACTCTTGTTTTGCGTGTTGGGAGTATCGAATTCAACGATAGTCGATAATTCATGGGCAGGTGAAGCAAAAACTTCTGGTCTGTAAAAGAAAATGTGAAATAAAAAATAACATCATTGATAACTAACAATAATAAAATAATATAAACCATACTTGAACGGTCTACTAATGAGAGTAACTGGAGGCCTGGACCTTTCCGTATTGTTGCTTGTGCTTATATTGCGATTGATTTTCGGTATACCAGCGAGGAACGGTTCATACTCCGAATTAAGTACCTAAAAGAAAATTAATGATTTAATCTGAATAATATCATTTGATTAAACTCCGTCATCAATTTATACAAATCACTCACGTTCGAATTATCTGACAAATTATTTTGTCTTAGGTCTTGGTTAGACGGTGAATTACTGTCTTGATTGCTCAGGTCTCTCACGGGTGTCTCCTTGATTACAGGTTCTACCTCGGCATTTCCCTGACTTGAATGTTTCGAGGGAGAAACATCAGATTTGGATTTAATGCTATTTGGCGTAGATTTATTAATGCTTTTACTTTGTTCTAAAATCTCTTTCGACAGCATTTTCACCACCGGATCTCCGTTATTTGGATCCGCTGAAGATCTCGTCGGTTCCGGGCTCTTGTTTCTCGACTGTTGTCGCAGCAATGAAAGATCGACATTAACGCGCTCATCCTTTAGTATTTTCGGCTTAGCTGGGGATTTTGACGAATTAACGATTGTTTGATCTTCTTCATCGTCACTTATAATTATTGTACTATCTTTAGAAAGTTCGATTGTACTGTTTGACGAGTGATCAGTAGTTGGCACTGTTCGGGGTGTTTCCTGCATGCTCTTTCCAACGATTTTCCTTTCGGTTTCAGTGAAGGTCTTTTTGAGTGCTGAGTGGACTGTTTCAATTTTTTTCATCAGTTCACTACTTTTTCCCGTCTGCGATGATGTTTGTGAACGCTGCTGATGAAGCTGCTGAGATCGCTGTGAGGTTCTACTCGATTGCGAGAAACCTGCAACTGGGGCTGAATGATCGTGTAAAGATTCTGCTGAAAACTCCATATCTGAAAAGAAATATTTCAAGTTGTGAAATCCGTTAAATAAGTTGACTCGTTAAAATTTAATTTAATTCCTACCTTTCTTTTCTTTGCGAAGAGTTGTAATGAGATCTGTTAGAGATTCGATTCTTTTATGGCATGTATATTGCAGCTTGTCATACTCTTTCAATATTTCTGGGCCATGATTTAACGCATAATTTAGAGCATCGTCAACTTGATCGTGAAGCAATTTACACGTTGGGTTTTTACATTGGCACGTATTTTCACTGGGTGCTTTTTCTCTAGCAGAAACTGTAGCAGCAGCGTCTCCTTTTGTACTCATCATATATAAAAGTTTTAGACTCTCCGGCATGGGCGATGGCTCTGGGGTGACTCTTCTTTTCAAGCTACCATTTGCATCCAACATGTCATTTATTGAAGTACTGTGATTGTTGGCCGATTGATCAATATACATTCCAGGTGTAGTTTGAGGTGGACTTGCGTAAATAGTCGACCCGTCCGAAATGTCTTGTCGCCTATTCATATACTTTTGAGCAGCCACCGTTTCGATTCTACAGTATAAACGTTTACTACCGTTGCTATCAGAGCAAAGTAGAGAAGAAGTGTCAGTAGTCGTAGTACTCGAATCAATCGACACCTGCGTGAATTGGTGTCTATATTCGCGCTCTTCTTGTAAAGACTTGCGCGATTTCTTTGGACTGTTTGGTACCGATTTCGATTGCTTCTTCACTGGAGACTGCATCCGACTACCGGGCAGCGAACGCGATTTTGAACTCGTAGGTAAATACGGAAACAGTTTACCAGCCAACTTAGCTTTTTTCGACGCGGACAATTTTTCTTTAGTTTTAACTGTAGATGTACCAGTACTGGTGCTCTTTGTTTTCGGCGGTGGCATTTCGGTGTTTGTCGAGGTAGATTTATTTTTGACCGAGTTTTCCTTATCATGCTTACTTTTACGTGGATCGGACGCTTTTTGGACCCTTGATCTCACGATGATTTCTTTTTTCTCCGGGTCAATAACGTATCCGTCGACTTCAAATACACCTTTGACGGGATCATACGTCAACTGGAACGACTTGCTTTTTTGCTTTTCAACACTAGCTGAACTCACGGTACTGGTACTTTTCGATATTTTAACCGAACTGTCGCGAGTTTTAGGAACGACAGTAATTTCTTTATTATTGACATCGATTACCATATCGGTAGTAGTGGAAGATGTACTGCTGGTGCTACTGTCGTTACCGCTATCTGCTGCAGCAGCATTCGATACAATCTTTACGGTTGGCTCAATCACTCGTTTCTTAACTGGTTGGCGAACTTTTTTGCAAGACTTGTTTGATTCAAGCTCAACTTGTACTTGCTGATCTTGCATCGAAACAGTGCTCTCTGTTCTGGAAGATTTTTGACTGCAAGTTGAAGTTTTAGTTCTGAATATTTTCTTTGGCGGTCGAACGGCGTCATCGCGCGACAAGTTTATCATTTGAATCTCTGATTGATCGTGATGATGCGACGAATGACAACACTCCACCTTTTCCTGACTCGATGAAGACGTCATCGAAGATGGCACTTGAGGTTTATGTTGTTGATGTTGATGTTGTTGATATTGATGATGGAAAGTGCATGTTTGCGGTTGTTCAACTGGTTGTTTGTAGGGTTCAGTTTGTTCATTTGCGAACAATGGCTTTCGACTAGCTTGGAGTATACTGTCCGGTAAACTAGCTCCGTAATCTTGTAATATGTTACGTTTTAGCTGATCGATCTTTATCAAAGCCTTGATGACATTTCTCTCGTCAAAAGCTTCGACATTAGTGACATCGTTGTAACTTTCATCTGTATAATCATCGTTATCGTCGTTACGCGCACTAGGATTTCGGGTAAACGGAGCTTCTGACCAAGTATTAACTGGTGTGGGTTTATCGTGTATATAATCACGCGGAGTGATCGTTATTGGTCGCTCGGTCTGGCTATCGAGATTCATTCCAGCATTTCGTGATGTTCGTAAAATTTCTTGAAGGGCGCGATCCATTTTCTTTTGACGCTTAGTTTCATCTTTAATTTTTTTCGATGGCTGAGGTAGTGGCTGTAATTTCGTGATAAATAATATAAATTTTACATTATTTTTTGAATATTTTTACAAAATAAGTTACTCACTGCATTGTTTAAAAGTTCGGCAGTTTTAAACTTTTTAGATTCTTTTTCAAGCCGATCAAGATATTTCAATAATTCCTTGTAATCTCGGGCGATATTTTCTCGAGCTATGGCATCTTCACTACGTTTTTTAGTCAAATCTTTGCGCTTTTCAATTACTTCGGAGTTTCGACTTTCGGTTTTTCTCAATTCTTGAGCTAATTTCTCGGCTCTAGGCTAATATTTGATTTATTTCATTATAATAATTACATAAATTTTTCATTTCAAATGTAAGCCATATTTACCTTATTTTTATCGTTCACTTTTTCTACCAAGTCTGACGGGTGATCATAAGATTTGTTTTGTCGAGTTTTATAGTTATACATATCAACAGTAGACTTGGTTGATGATGGAGGTTTGAGTAGATTTGGTTTACGAGTTGATGTTTTTATTAAAACATTATCTGAGAAATATGACGAATCTTCACTATTCGTAGATGAAAATACAGTTGATGTACTGCTAAGTTCAGATGAACTATGGCCAAGATTATTACTTTGTTTATTATACCTAAAATAATCATATATTTGGAAGTGGTGATTTAGGACTGGTAATAAAGTTTTGAAAGAATACAATTGTGTAGTGGAAGATTAATAGTAAGATATGTAATCATAAAAGCATCAATTATTTACCTCAAGAGATTTTCAGGTTTTTCAGATGATTGGCTTGTCGTAGGCACAATTTTTCTGGGTTCATTATCATCTGACTCCAGTAAACTATCACGACTTTTGTCTTTCATAGAATCTAAAATTGTTTTCGGAACATCAGGCTCATTATTTGGAATTTTTTTATCAATATTTTTCCTACAAGAATCAGATGGCACAGTGGTGATATTATCATTATTTATTGTTACTGATACTCGGGGCACATTCTTGGATACCTAGAAAATTTTTTTTTAGTAATGATTTGAGATCATTTAAAACATGTATTTCCTTGAACTACCTTAGAAGATTTAGATTTTTTCACAGGTGACTTTTTTGGAACAACACACTTTGGTTTCTTCTTTAAACACACAGGAGGAACTGTTTTGTTGACAAAATTATTATCGGATGATTCTGCATGTTCTTCAAGGCTATGTGCTTTTTGTGCTAAGCGAGCAACCATACTGGATCGCTCATTCTCTAATTCACGAGCTTTCCTTAATCGCTCTGGCACCTTATGAATAGCAGCTTGTGCCTGCAGTATGAAATAAGACAGATATCATAATCATCATCATATATAAACTGTTAAATGATTTATAAGTACAGGTAGTTTACATTTTTAGCCTCTCTCAACTTTCTAGCAGCCTCAGCTCCTCTTTCCTTAGCTCGCAATCGATTTCTTTCATCTTCAGCCCGACGTATGGCTTCGACATCAGGCTGTCTGGCTGCATTTTCATGAGCATAACCGATAAACTCGCTTTCAGGGCAACGCCGTCGTACCTCCTGTAGTTTTCTGTCGCGTTCACGAGCAGTCAGCTCATTGTGGTCGTCATCGGCCAAGCGACGATGCGATTCTCTCTCGGCGAGCTTCACTCGTTCAAGTAAATTTCTCGAAAATATTTTATTTTGTTCTTGAACCTTGATATTGTTGAAAAATGATAAGAATTATTATCTTTTTCTTCTTTATCTAAAAAAAGATGGATCACCAAATGAGTGCATCGATACCAACCTGCTCTAGTCTCAGCTTTTTGCGTTGATCTCTGTCGTACTTCTTGATCTTGTCAAGATCCGAGAGTATCATCTTGCCCTTCCTGATACTTATAGGATTACCCTTGACGGTAACGTTAATCGACATTTTGAGCAAGAGCTATATACACTTGGGTTATTTTAATACTGTAACTAATGAACAACGACACAGCATTTGCACTGCATTTGCTAAATCAACGCGCACTTGCAGGCTATATCAATGTGTATACAAAACTGAATTGGCATGATAATGTAAATGCGGTCAGGAGGCAGTGTTTACACGTAGTATGCGTGTGTGTATATACTATACATCAATGGTGAATATCTTCCGCGCGCACTACAACCTAGAAAAATTCAAGCGGGACCCGCAACGGTTGAACCCAAACAAACGGACCAATCGCGACGTGCTGACATTCAATCCGGCCGGCGTCTCATATCGTTGGCGGCTTGGCGCTCTGGTTCAGCGGCATTTGCCGAATGCTGCTGCCCCCCCGCGTGCACGTGCCAAATTTACGAACCCTGTCACGGACTGATATCGAATGGAATCAAGGGAGGTCGATGAAAAAGAAAAAATGCATTTTCTATTTAACATTATATTCATATTTATTTGTAATCATATGCATATATTATGTATACGTAATAATTAATAAAATATAATGTTCATAATGACAATAATCATATGCGCGTCTACAATATAATTCATATATTTTAATTTTTTTCTTTTATTATCTCGCTTTCAAATAATTTTTATATTTTGTCCGTCCGGCATCTTTCTTGTCGTCGATTTCGATTGAGGGGTATTTTCTTGTCGTTTTTTTTACGTTTTTTATTTAATTTTTTTCTTGCAAACAATTTCGTTGCTGTTTATTGCTACACATGCACTCGTCGAAGTGAGCGTGTGCATAGCTCAAGAGAGAGAGAGAATATTTTCATCATCGATCAAATGATTTTTGTATTACAGAATTCGACGACAAGGACGATGCCCTGCTTCGTGTATTAATATTTAATTTTTTATAATCAATCTCTCTGGTAAACTTTTTTTTTTAATCAATTAATCTTCCATTTTTCATTCGTTATTATTTTTGGTTTGATTTTTATTCCTTTTTTTTTTTTTTTTTTAATAAAAATGAGACTATTTTTGGTTTCTCGAGTTATACGGATTTGTTTGCGTTTCACAATGGTTTCTCGTCGTGAACGCAAGAGGAATACAATGATAATGTTGAAGAAAAACGAAACCACATGAAACGAGATAGAGAGGCGTGAAACGCATCATAGTTACATCGCTCAATTATAGTCACACTCATTTTTCGCATTTTCGTATAATAGGACTCATCGAAAATATTGTACACTTTAAAAAAATCTACCGGATACACGTTTTTTTTATATGTAAGAAAGACGAAGAGAAAAAGACGATCATTGCTATCATATATATTTTTGTTTTTCCTTTTTATATATATAATATATAATATATATAAACGATTGTTCATTTTAGTGGTGTACGTGTTTTTTGTGTTTGTGTTTTGCTTTCTTCTTGTCAATGATATATCGTTTTCGTTAGTTGTCATTATATATATCATAACGATGAGTTATGATTTTATAATTTTTGTTTGTTTGTTGTAATTACATTTTTTTACTAAACAAATAACGCAACACGTTCGTCTCAATGGAGATATTAATGTTTTTTTATGCTTTATCAATATTATATTTTTTTTTTGTTTTATATCTTAGCCTTATTTTCTGGGAAACGCACATTTAATTACGTAGGTATATGAATAATTGCTTCGTTTATCAGAATGTGGCGTCGATATTCTGCGCAAGAAAAAGAGTTTTGCTCTATAATAGAGTAGATATATTTTTTTATTTTTTCACTACGATTCTTTATAAATGTGATTATATCCGCTTTAATTTTTTTTTCATTCGCGGTTCACACATTGACATATTCGTCCACATCTCTTTACGATAGTTTCTCGCCTTATCGCGCGTAATTTTCTTGTTAATTAAAAATTATAACTGTAACTTACGGCTAACGTTATGTTATGCTAATTTTTTTTTCTGCCATCTCTTGTTGCGTTGAATATTTGAGGAATCGAGAGACAACGAAGATCCCTGGCTGTTGGTAATTTTTATAATTCATCTTCATTCGTCTTTTCGCTTACGAGTCTACGTTTTATTTTATACACAATTATACATCTGTTTTTTTCTCGATAATATAGACATCGCGTGATTTTTATACATGGCGCGCTCCCGCAAAGCACTTGAAGTACCAAATACAACACGAGTAATTCCTTCTTTTTTCTTTCGTTTATTTCTTTTTCTAAATACATATTTTAATGATGAATTGTATCATTCTTTCTGGTTTTTTTTATTTTTGAAAATAAGTGTTGAGGACTTTTTACTATATGCATTTTAAATAAAACTTTGAATTCGTTTCTTAGTTTTAGTAGAATAATTGTTTCTTTTTATCATTTTTTTCCTGCGTCGGAATCATAGTATTACAATAATAATATCAGTCAGAAAAACAAAATTTCTCTTTGTCCATTACTTGCGTTCATTCTTAACACAACAAATGATTGGAACCGATATTACTTATCATCAGCATTGCCCACAAAAATTATTTTTTTTGTCAATTAATGCTTTTTGTTAAGATGCTGCATGACATATTGTTCACAACATAGAGACAATCTTCATTGGTATATATATATTTTTCATATATCATTGATATATATCACGAATCACAATTATCATTTCAGTGATATGAAATGCCAAAGTATATTTTCCTCATTTTTGTTTTTCATATATAAGATATCATAAGAAGTTTTTTTATCATATATCACAGCTGCAAATTGCACTTGAAACAAGTGTCATTGTGTCTTCATTTTTTTTGGTAGTTTTTTTTCGCAATTTTTATATTATAGCCTGTGTGTGAAAAATATCATCCTGTATCATTATTACATCGTTAAATACAGATGTGGTCAACGAAAAAAATATATTTATATTCGGTACTTTTCGGTACTTTCAGTGCTGATCGGGCCTTTTTCGTTCAGTTAGATAATATTTTTATGTACAGTTTCTCATTGGAAAAAGTCGGGTAAATTCTTAAATATATATCGGGAGCAAAAATAGTTTTTTTTTTACCAATAATCATCGCAATTGTTTTATTGATTTTTTTTTTGCCTAATAAAATTGTATACAGTATTAATTTCACGAGTCGGGCGTCATCGCTTTTATTTACCAGACTTTTTCCACATATTTTACACCTTTCGTTTCTCGATTAAATACGTATATATAATGTATTTTTTTATGAATATATATTATATATATATAATTATTTTTAAAATACTTATAATTTATTGCGAAATTTTCTTGTATCTATACAATATCAATATTTTTCGCATTATGGGCTGCATGGTGTGTGCCTTTTTTTATTTAACTTTACTAAATTACACAACGCATTTAATGTACAGCAGTTAAGCATCGATCGACATTATTCGAAAATATAATATAAGCAAAAAAATTTTTTTTTATCCAATTTACATTAGGGTCGAATCTTGAATGCTTGCATAGTAAAAGTTTGTATATGGATTTTTTGTTCAATTTGTTCACCCCATTAGAATAAAAAAATATGGATGCAGAGTCGAATCTCATGTATAACACACATTTTTCCTTATGGATCTTCCGGGCTTTGTTTTTTTTGTAAAAACTATGCAATTATAGTATAGGTACTGTGAGTTATCGGGAATATATTGTTTATATTTACAACGTATTGGAAGATTGTACTGCTTTATTAATTTTTTTCACATAAACAAGACTTTGCATCGTAGTATTGCTATACAGAATAAGAATTTATATCTATATGTATATTAGTTGTGTATAGTGATTATACCGTATTTATTTGTGAATTGTTTATGTTTTTTAATTTCTGTTCTTGCTTTGGAGCTTATGGCAGGAATGTATATATTACACATGCGGCTAAAATGTCGTCTCCCGAATGTATTTATTATAAAGCATCTGAACAAGCACTATTTAGTATTTTAGCCGCAGAAATTCTTTTTATCATATCAGCAACAGAAAATTATCAAAATTAAAGTTTATAGTTATTACAATTTACCATTCTACTTTTTTGTGTATGCTTTTCTTATGTTTTTTATAGAATTATATACTTTTTTTTTATTTAATACGTATTTATTATTGATTCCATTTCGTATTCGTAATTGTTCGTCCACACTCATCGCCTGTTATCGCGAGAGCTTGCATCGTCATTTTGTTCATCGCCAAAATGTCGAGATCATCAAAAGATATTTTGTATTCGTCGTAAAATTGGGGTTTTCAACTTTTTCGTGAAGTACCTCTCTATAATATAGATTTACTTTATTTTATGGCTGTTATTTTCACTATGCGCAATTTTTATTCACTACGCGCCATGATGCATGATTGGATAATATTTTTTATCTCAAAAAAAAATCACGTACGTTACGAGTGTACAGATTTATTTTGATTACAATAACTTTATAGCACCATCATCATCAGTATAGTTTTTTTTTTTTCAATTTGTCTATTTGAGTATTTGTCGGCGACCAAATAGGGTTGTCTTATATCATATGTAATAGAAATGATCTTTGATGCAAAAATTTTGGCATGCATTTCAGAAGTAATGTTATTATTTACTCTAGTTGAATATATTTTTAATTTTATTGTGAAATCTGTCCGTGTAATAAAAATTAATATTATTTTTGTTAAGATGTTAAAATAATCATGATAAGAAAAAGAAAATGAATACTACGATTAAATAATATTTAATAATCATGTTTAATAATAATTGTAATAATAATAATCATAAGAATAATAATGTAATAATATAATAATTCAATAATAATATTTTTATAATGTAATAATAGTAATAATAATAATGATGTAATAATAATAATAATAATAATCATGATAATAATATTAATCCAATGATAATATAATAATAATCGTAATAATATGTTTATATATGTTATGGTCGACCACAAAAACTTTGTTCTTTCTGTAATCAAGTCGAAAGAGTATTGGAAGAATATACAACATTCATTTTTTTATTTCAAAATATTAAACGTAACATCTTTCCAAACATCGAAGTTTTAGCCGCGTCCCACCTGTATTTTATTGCACTATGACATATATAAAAATTGATGAAAAAAAATGAGGGCCGTGTCATTTTTTAACAGACCAAGTAAAAATAAATATGTTTGTAAAAATCTTAAAAATTTATATGTTACAATCAAAGTATATTTAAATTATTTCTCATTGCATGAAAATTGTGTTTTTTTTCAACTTGTTAAATTTTGGCGAGAAACGGGCAGTGTGTATCGATTCCATGATTCTATTCCCGAATGACTTGTAGAACAGTTGAGGTCGACCATACATTGTTATGGTTTAAAAATTTGCAATTAAAAAGTTGTCTTTCCATTACAATTAATATGAGATCGGTTTGGTATTTATATTATATATTATATATTATATATAATATATATCCAGGCCATCAAGGTATCATCAAATTAAATGAGACATTTTGATTAAGCACAAGATTTGCACAATACAATGATATTTAATTAATTAACTAATTATATGAATTCTATTATTTGAATCATATTTTATAAACGACCATCTCATTATATTTTTCCATCAACAATAAAAGAATTTGCATTGATATAGTTGCATTAGCGATTTAACAATAAAAAAAACAATGTACAATAAATCCGAATCGATAGACAAATGATGAAGGGCGACAATTGCATTGACTCTCACCATCGCCAATTAAAATTTAATTTTTTTTCATACTTTTCATTCGTGGCTTTTGTTCTCTTTTGCTCTAGACTTAATAATACTAATCACTGCATTCTCCCTCGGCACTCGAATTCTTTTAGTATTGCCCAAAAATCAAAGTGTTTTCTTGTTTGTTAAGAAGTAGCTGTAGAAACTACATGATAATTATTATGTAAAAATCTCAGAAGTAAATTCCTGCGTACCTTGTGACATAACGATGAAAAAAATCACTTGGTTTTAACGCATTTTCTATTCAGTCACATCGAAATACACATTTCCAATTAAAGAAGACTTGATATTTCTCGGTTTAATCTTATAAAAAAAAATTAAATAATTAGCACGATAAAAACAGTTAAACAATTTTTTTAAACATTAAAATACAGCAATCACGTAATTAATATTTGTTCAAATCATAACGTCCATACGAATACAAAAGGTGGCATTGCTTAAAAAATAAAATTCAATAAAAATCTAATTTATTCTGCCGTGATTGTGTGCACAGTCACTTCTCAATTAATGAATTTTGACGAAAGAATCATATTTTTTTCTTACGTCTAATCACGAGGGAGGAAGCGTTCGTTATTTCAAGAGCCCAGGAGAACAAAACTCATATAATGCGTGTATTATCTGCAGTTGCACCGCACAATAAATATATATCGTTTAAAAAAAATGATTTATAACAATCATAATATAATGTACATAATCATATTTATCGCGATACGTAATCGTCTCGAATAATCGATTCGAGTCCTTTCGAGAGGCGAAAAATCTCGACGAGCATTCCTTTTCATCTTTTAAGAGCTTATATGCATACACGTACTCTTCATTCACATATATACATAATGTATCATAAGATTTGGAGATGTTTATCGAGACTTTGCGTTAAAAAAATTCATTTAAAGTTTTCCGTTTGTTTTGCTTTGTACACTCATCGAATACCAAGGCCTGGTTACATTTAAACAATTTCTCGTTTACATATATATCTATATATATATTTATATGTCGTGAATGTGTGTAGTACGTTATGATTTTTTTTATTATTCATATATATTTATTTATTTATTATGTATATAATATCTTTCTAAAATTAGATTTTATGAAACATTATTTTAATGTAACTTTTTCGTATTCTCGCGATTTTATGATTATCATTTATGCTATTAGTTTAATCATCACATTCATTCAAGTTTACAAATACAGGTTTATGTTTGCAGTATAGATTCATATATATTTTACGTATGCTTTATTCTTTCTTCTAATAATAACTAGCATATATATATATTTATACTTATTTATTATAAGTATCATATATATATACTAAGGGAAAAATTATTAAAACTGAGAGTGACGCGCGGTTCTCAGGAAACCTCAAATAAAATATGAACAATATATATATAATATACAGTATACAACGTATTAATTATTATAATCGATAATAAACAACGACCGACTTTTTATCTTCCTTTTTCTTTGCATATTATACTCTCGCAACAATAATCAACTTTTCACGCTGTATCTGGCAGTTATGCGTTTGTTTGGTGTTATTTATCGATCTTGGAATCCTTTCACAATTTGTCTTTCTGTACAATTAAAATCAATGATCGTCTTCGTTATTAGTTTTTTCTTTAAGCTCGTCTCGTTGCCTGATATATTATGTACTCTATACTGTCCATTTTGTTTTACTTTTTTCTAACGAGTTCGATTCCTTCGCTTTTTTCTTAATACATTTACAAATCGTATTTTTGTATCGGTTATTGCAATTTTTGTTGTATCGAATAATAATGACGCGGTATCCCTCTCGTACACCCATTCCCTCGCCAGCAGTAAAGTCAGTTGGCAGATGGAAATTTGGAGTGTCGTTTTTTAAGGGAGTCTCTCCGATTTAAATTACAATTTAATATCACATAATTGCTTTATATTTTTCATATATATATATGTATATATATACGTCACTTTTTCATTTTCTCTCATATATTCATCTTTAATTTATATAATATATTTATTTAACTTAATTAATCTAGACACAAGATTCGCGTGAGGAACCTTGTGTGGAGTTTTGTTTATAAACGACGCGATGCCTCGTCAGCCAGCCGAGGGCTCGTAAAATGATTCTCTAATATTTTTATTACTTAATTATCGAGCTTTCGGACTGGCTGACGATCACCTGTATACATATACATAATCTTGTTATTGGTATATATACTTTAATGTTTTTTTTTCGTAAACTTTGCTCTAACTACGATATTTGCATATATATTCCATCTTCTTGAATTCATTTATATAGATTTAATATTATTATAATTCATATATATGTATATTATCATAATATCCAATTTGTTTATGTATATATATAATCTTGGTGAAATTTGTCAATAGTATTTTACGCGCGACGCGGACAGAGCAAAAGGAAAAGGTTAGATAAGCACCAACCCTTTCATATATTTTCCTAATATAACATATCATTTTTGTATATATATAATTCATTGCTTCGGACGCGTCATATATTTACTATGCGCATTCTCGATTATGCGTGTATGCATATAATCATGATAATTCATCTAATTAATCTTATGTACACGTACATCCGCCAGCTAAACGTCGATCTGTCATGAGATCGGTAACATTTTTGCATATTATCTCTGTGCACATTTTGTGTATGTATAATTATAATGTGTGTATGTATGTGTGCGCGAGTTCATGGTCAGTTTATTTATTATATTTATTATATACACCCGCATTTTTGCATTAGCAGTGAGAGATATTTCGTTAAAGAAGTACAGAGCATGTATGTGTGGGTGGCTTTATTTATGTCATCCTTAGTTCGAGTCTCTGTATTATATATGTCTGCGTATGTTTATGTGTGTCTGTGTGTATGCATGTGTGCGAGTCTTTGCTAATATCTTACACAACTATTTTAAAGACAATAATTTGCTATATACGTAGGTATGTTTGTTCCTTACACATTTACGAGAGGTCTCCGTCAGACACGTACGCGCGTTTATTTTCATTTTTTTTTCTTATACTTTGTCCTCCTTTCTCGATTCGCTAATTGAATGCGATCTATATAGAATTATCTATTCTCTATAATTAGCCGTCGACGAGGACGTTAATCGCCGTTAGCCGATCGTCGAAATCGCAAATTCCCCGTGCTCGCCTTGTACGCCGATTTCTTCCTGTTTTTCTCTCTCTTTCTCTTTGGCTCTTCCTCCTTTCTCCTTTCTCCTTTCTCTCCCTCGTGCGTAGTTTGCATTGTTGTCGTCGCACGTTTTGTCTACAATTCAGAATAAATGTATGGTACGAGAGAGATACGTATCGTGACACGATGAGTGCACACGAACATACGTACGCAAGTGTACGAGAGAGAGAAAAAGAGTACGCACAAAATATGCCGTACACATTTATTGTTAAGAGTATATAGATATAGATAAAAACGGCTGCGAGTGCGCACACGCGCACACTAGATGGCATGTACGACTCTGTTATATGCGTAAAATATGCGCGAATCTATGCATTATGTTTGTTCTAAAAAAATTAACAACGTAATAATTAAGTGTAATAATATCCATGTAAAAATCATATTTAAACTAAAAAAATTAAAAAGTAGAGAAAGAGAGAGAAGTCGAGACTTGACAGGTCGATCGAGGAGCAGATCGAGCACCATATAGCGCGCAAGCCAGAGGCACTCGATGTATCTCATCGCTGCTGCTGCATTTATGCCTCTTTGTTTTGCCTTTTTACTATACGTTCATGCATGTTCGATACGACGCAACGATTGCGATCATCATGCAATTTAATAGCTAAGATTTGTGCATTGCCGTTGAGAGGTATAATCGTTATCGGCACGGTGGCAGTTGGCCGCCGTGATGACGAGCTGCTGCTGCTGTTGCTGCGCAGTCGATCTTTGCTGGGTTGCGGCAGCAGCACCGCCGCCGCTCGCATTGTCCCGATGCTGATTATTGTGATTATTATTGTGTTGCATCAACCTGGCCGAGGACGGACCCGCGCGGCTCACGAGCCCGCTTGGCCTGACCTAGTCGTTGAAGCGCGTGCAGGCCTTCTTCCACTTGCACTGCGTGCACCAGAGATCCTTGTGCTCCATGCCGTAGACCTTGCGGCACTTCTTCGTCTCGCCGCGGACGCGACGGGGCGAGTGCGGCATCTTGCCCAGCGACACCGTCACCAAGCTGATGTTCGCAGAGCTGTTGTGTGCCTGCAGTGGACGCGGGGTGGCCGCCACCGCTGCTTGGGCGTTCGGGCTCGAAGTCGCCACCTGCGCTCCTCCCGTGCCCGCTGTCGCGGGGCTCACCTTGAACTGCTTGCCCACCGCTGCGCCGTTTGCTTGGCTTGGCTGGAAAATCGGATTATTGTGAAAAACATGAGTCGTTGCGCGCGATCGATCGCGAAATATCAACGAGGGATAACTCACCACTGTGTAAACGTCGCGCATGATGTCGATATTTTGAGAATTGACGGCAGCTACGGTGGCAACTTGATTGTTGCTCGTGTGATGGACCTGGTGCTGCTGTTGCTGATGCTGCTGGTGATTGAACTGATTGTGCTGATGCTGTTGCTGCTGATGGTGGTGTTGCTGCTGCTGGTGATGCTGCTGTTGTTGCTGCTGATGATGATGATGCTGATGGTAATTGTTGTTGTAGTTGTGATGCAGATGGGCCACGGAGGCGGCGTTGGCGGCGTTGGCGGCCGCTGTCAGGCGCAGCTGCTTCTGGTACTCGGGGTCCTCGGTCCTCGGCCTCACCATGTCCCAGTGCGATTTGGTCGGCGGCGAGCAGGCCGGCTTGACCATCTCGTCGATGTAGAAATCCACCTCGTCCTCCTCGTCCTCGAAGGACGACGAGCGGCTGCGCTGCAGATGCTGGCGGAACACGTGGTCGGCCACCTGGTCCCAGGTGTCGGCTACGTGGCCGCACGAGCGCGAGTTCTGTCGCGAATTGTCGTCGCGCCATGTGCATTTGTAGACTATTCCGTTTTTCTGTAAAAAGCAAAAGAGGTAAGAAACATTGATTAATTTATTCGTATATCTTTTTCGATAGTTTATATCATTGTGTTTGCGTGCATATTTTATGGGATTTGAAAAGCGCAAATACGAAGCGAATACATCGGGCAAGGATTGCGCGCCCGAAACGTGTCGATGCATAAACATTGTAACGCGGCGTGAAATTTCGAATCAGCGCAAACTCGATCGATTTGCGTCGTTGCGTGCGTGCATAAATTGTCGCGCGAATCGTGCGATTTCATAAACTCTCTGCGACCCATCAACGAGGACACTCGTAATCATGTAAATTTCGAGCTGAATAAATCTGGCGGCGTTGATATTGTCCCTCGAAATTAAAAGAAGGAAAAAAGTCGAGAGGAATTTTTAAAAATAAAACGCATTAATGACGCCTCGCAATTGTCATCGCGCTCAAGATCGCTTAATTAATGATCTCGAGTTAACGGGGACACTAAATGAGGTGTTTTTTTTTTTTTTTTTTTTTAATTTAAAGATGATTTAATTGCGCGTCCGTGTAGCGTTATTCGCGCGAGTGCGCGCGTAAACGATATAAACACACACACATACACATACAAAAAGACCTAAAATATACACGCAATAACAGAACGCGAAGCGCTAAGTAGAACGACTCGCGCGTCTCATGGCGAGCATGAAAAGTGGAGGGGAATTCGAAAGTGTGTGTATGCGCGCGCGCCCATGATGCCGAGCGTGCGCGCGTATATAGATAAATGCGCAATAAGCGTAATCCTGAAATCAATTTGCGTCATTCAAGGCTCAATTTTACGATTTCGTTAATTTCCTCCCGCACAATGTGCAATAAAGCTTCGTCCCTCTCTTTCTCTCTCGTTCGTAAAGTTTTACATACGTTTACACGGTCGGAACAAAGCCTGGCGCAAAATTCCGCAAAATGTGCAACCGAAGGTGAGCGCGCGCTCGCTCGCACACACACACACACACACGTTAACATAGCTAGCCCACATAGTAGGTACCTAGAGGTGGATCGTACCGTGAACGCGTGTATCTCTGTATAGGTGCCCTGCACGAAAATCGATGTTCCGGGGAAACCGCGTTGCTGTCGCTACTGGCGCAGAGAAGGTATAAGGTAACCATACCAGAGCTGCTCCACTGCTGCGGGTGAGGGAAAGTCGTGCGCGCGCAGCGCACGCTTCTTTGTTTACATCCATGGGGCTCTAGCAAGTTGCGTGTTGTGAGTGTATATGGCGGCATCCGGCATCATAACACACACAGACAGACATACATACACACATCGATGCCCGGGCGAATCTATATCAAGTCGCGCACTCGACTCTATACGTCGCATAGGCATAATGAACTTCCAAAGGTTGTTTATGTGTCTATGTGCGCATGTGTGTGAATAAGGATGCATACGTAAACAGGAGCCAAAACACGCTAACAACCACGTGCTTATTGATCGAACAGAGAAAGAGGTGAATTCATAACAACTACCAAGAGACTGCGTTCGTTTTCGGCGTCGTCGAATCTCAAATCGGAGTTGCGAGCATGACGAAGCTCCGAAACAAAGAAATAAAGAGATGGAGAAAAAACTTCACAATCGGCGAAAAATCCGCGTTCGTGTATTTTTTTATTATCTCGGGCGGCGTTAAAAATGCTACAAGGCGATGACACATTGCGCGAACGAACGAGCCTTCCAGCTACGAATTCCTTCTGTTCAGCGAGCGCGCACGACGCACGATAAAAAAATTCGCGTTCGTGCCTCGTGCCATCATGCAGCTCGTCGATGCGATGACACGAGATCGCGCGCGCATCGTTGCACCGCACTACGCGTCGAGTCCTCCGCACACACACGCGGTTTTTATCTACCGCGCTCGTGCTCTCGTTGCTGCTGCTGCTTTTAAACAAGTGCATAGGCCGGCAGCGGCTCTTTAAATTTCTCCGAACGAAAAGTAGGAAAAGAGCGTCGCAGCGCGACGACGACGGCCGCGCGTGTCGTGCTAATCGCGCGTTAGGTATCGCGGCGATGTATTATCTCTCTCTCTCTCGCTCGCTCTCGTTCTTCTTTCTCCCGCACACCCACGCACGCCTCCGTGCACAAATAGGTCGTCCGACGCTCGGCCGATTTTACGTACCATTACTACTAACAAATGTGGAATCCATATTGACGCGGACAAAAAAAGAAGGATACCATCGGTATAGGTGTACTCTTTGGCGTTTAAAAAACGTTAGACGCCGACTGTCCGTCGTACATAAGGCTTTAAAGAGCCCGTGCGGCTGTCAAAGTTTTGTTTGTATACAAACGCGGCGCGGCGAAGATGGCGCTGCTGTTGCGCCGCTGTCATATGCTGTTTGTATGTACACAAACATCGACGCGCACCGAGTTGCGTGCTGCGCTGCTGCTGCTGCCGTGCTGTATGTAAGCCATCTCCATGCAAGAGTCAATAACCTCTCTCATACTGGTGTACTAAGTCCCCCGTATACACACATATATATAGGTGTGTGCACGCGTCTGTATGTATACATGGCAGTATAATAACAGAGAAAGAGAGAGAAAGAGAAAGAGCACGATAAAGCGAGGAGCAGCGTTGCTATGTGCTGCTGCTGCTACGAGAAGCGGAATATCAGTAGTACGAGTCAATCGCTTGTATATCACTTGCGTGTTATGCGTGCTCGTGTGTGTGTGTGTGTATGTTTATGAGCGAGCAACGTTGTATACATATGCCGAGTGCACTATGCACTCGTGGACGCGGCTGCGGCTATGCGCGGCACTTTCATCTCGCGACAAGTGCGTCGTACGCACAGAAGCGGCAGTGAAGGCGGCAAAAAATCGTCTCGTGTACGTATGTGCACACATTATGTGCGTGTCCCTCGCGCTGTACGCGAGCAGCTGATTTTAAGTGCGCAATGTATAATATTTGCGTACACGTAAACTTGGCCGCCCGAAAGTACATCGATCATCGATTCGTCACCCATTCCAATGTATAAAGGACGAGAGATACGAAGCTGCTCTCTGTATTATCAAAGTTTAATTGGCCGCGAGAAGTTTGGGAAGATATTTCGATGTTTGACACGTATACGTGCGCAGGGGCGGACGACGTACGACGACGATGCGTGATAGTCCGTGTATAATAAACGCGGCCGGGAGATAGGATGCGGCATAAACTACTCGCCGGCTCGACTCGGCAAAGTTAGAGGTCAGAGACCTTTATGGGCTTTATACACATATCCACATAGATATATGCCGCGACGCGTGTGTAGCTCTTTTTCCCTTTCCCCGTGCTGCGCATACATGCACACACACACATAGCACATAGCACACAAAGTGTACGTCCTCCTCTTTTTTGCTTTGCTCCGTTCCTTCTACTCTCTCCTCTCCTCTCTCTCTCCTTTTGATTCTCTCCTCCTCTCGCGGTGTGCTCGGATCGTAGCTCGGGCGCACGTTACGAACTCGCAGCGGCACACAGCTATAGCGTATCATTTTCTAGATTGTTATACGCGCGTGAGCCTATCAGCTACCCTATGTCTATGTGTGTGTATGTGCGCGTGTGTATGATATATGCAATTGGCGAGGAAAAAGAAATTATTTCAGCCCTCGCTCGTAACACACATGTAGAACTCCGCTCATAATGCCCGCACATTCACAAAGGACTGTAGCGAGCCGTGAGAGAGCTGCACTGCAGCGAGACGTCGACGACGACGGCGGCGGCGGCGGATGATCGCGTGTCCAGGCGCAACTACGCGCTACTTAATCACGCAGATGTGTCGAACGCAGCGTACTCTTTTACTCACGCATCGCACTTTCTCGTGTGTGCGCGCACACATTATGCAGAGAGAACGAGCTTGCCGAGCATATATACGTGCTTCGGTGCAATGTAGGTAGTATGCGAGTGTGCACAGTACAAACCGATGATTACATTACAAATATATGTGTAAGGATCACGCGCGCGCGGGCGCGAGCTCAGCCAGCCATGGATCGAATTTGCATATTCATTTTTTTGTTATTGTTATTCGGTCTTTGTCGCCGCGCGTGCTCTCGCTGCTGCGGCTATACACTGCACACAATGTTGATTCGCTGCTCGTTTTTTTTTATATACACAGTCACACGTATTATATATGCAACAAATAATGCAGCCGGCGCGATAATCTGACTAAACTGCGCAGTTATGCCGTCGAGTTGCTCTCCTCTACATACATGTGTGTTTGTTTGTGTGTGTGTTGGTGGCGTGCAACACATACAACAAGAGAGCAACAGCAGCAGGCAAGCAGGCACCGAGCTACATTATACGGCGGGGTTGCCGGCTTCTTCGTGACTCTCTTTCTGCGCCTCGACGATGTGATACATACACACACCGAACATGTATACACAGCGGCCGCCGAGCCGTGCTCCGAACCGACTGTGTTGTGTGTACACGTGCTTGGTGTTCGGAGTCGGAGTGGGGATAGACGTACCGGCCGGCGTACTCTACATGTATATGTACACACATTACGCTCACATGTGCGCGAGCGCACGTCATACACACACGTATATGTATACACGCAGCGTATCTTACGTATCTATATACGACGTAGAATATATATATAATACAACGTTGCCAACAGCCCGAACTGCCGCACGGTGCACACACACACACATATATAGGAGCACCGAGCCGAGCTGCTACTGTGATCTGCCGGTGCGCGGGTGCGCTCCTATGTGTTCGAACGCGTACATGGATTATAAACGCATGTCTGTCTATGTGCACCGTGTATGTGCGACTATGCCTGTATATAGTAGGCGCGCTGTACAAACTGCGCAGTTAGATTTTCGGTTACTCGGGCTCCTTTTCGGAGCACTCCGAAACTCGCTCGCTCGCTCGCTTGCTTCCTTTTATTTCTTTCTTTCTTCATTTTTTTTTCTCGCTGTAGCCCGAGCGATCGATGACTACGATGCGTCATATCCTAAGCTCGGCTCTTCTTTTTTTTACGATATGTATTTTGCAAAAGATGACGAATTACCATCGTGT